GGCAGTCGGGAAAAGCCCCCAAGAGCCGCACACAAGCTCCGTGCGCTCTTGCGGGCTTTTCCCCAGGAGGGAGAAGGGACTGACTGGCCGCATCAGTTGCTTCTCCCACCTCCCAGAAAAGCCAGGAGAAGCCGTGCAGCCCTTTTAAAGTGTGCGCGGCTTCTGCCGGTTTTGCGAAAGGTGAGGGAATCCCCCCACCTCCCAGAAAAGCCAGGAAAGCCCTGCGCAGCGTCTCCCGGCAAGGAGAGGCTGCACGGGGCTAAAGGGGAAGCCAAAACAGCGAGCGGGATCCATCCTGCTCGCTGCCTTGGCTTGTGCCATAGCCGCGCGCAACCCCTCCAGCAGGGAGAGGTTGTGCGCAGCCTGTACGCTGCTCTTTGGGGCTGGGGAAATTTTTTTTTTTTCTTGATTTCCCCCCCTAAAAACTGGGTGCGCCCTATGATCCGGTGTGCCCTATGGTGCGAAAAATACGGTACTTGCACTTTGACGTGCTTTCGAACTGCTATGTTGGCAGGAGCAGGGACCGAGCAACGGGAGCTCACCCCATCACGGGGATTCGAGCCAACAACCTTCTGATCGGCAAGCCCTAGGCTCAGGGGTTTAACCCACAGCGCCACCCGCATCCCTTGTACATATCATATTAAATATACGGATTCCCCACATCTAACCCTATACCCTATTCACCATTTATCCAAATACACGTGACTTCCCTCACCCACGTCCATGATGTCCTTCTTGCTACATTAAAAATCTATCATATCACTGTGCTTGTATTTATTCATCACATTAATCAATCCTCTATTCCAGAATCATTGCATCTTAATGAACTCAATCAGTACTTACCCAAAGATTTCCATTGAACTAATATTGTACCATATATTCTTGAACACACTTCCATTCGTTTCTTAATTCTTGTTTAGATTGCATTCTAATTAGAATTTATACTGCTGTTCTATTGGTTCTGGTCTATATTTATATTTTAAGGATATATTTTGTCTTTTATATGGCACACCACTTATATGACTATAAGAGCAGCTTGACAGTGAAATGGTAGTGGATTCTCCCTCAATGGAGCTTTTTAAGCAGAGGTTGGATGCTGTCCTAGACTGGCTGGATGCAGTTAATATTTAAATCTTAGAATAGCTTTGGAAGTGGATATAGGCTGTAGGGTTAGAAGTAGAAGATAGTGTATTTTAAAACAGTATTATTTGTAAGTGATAAAATGTGAAGTTTTCTATGGTTAAAGTAAGTGTGATTTTAAAAAATGGTTAGAAATTATGAGATATGTAAACTGCTAAAGATGAAGTACAGTGGTACCTCGGGTTAAGTACTTAATTTGTTCCGGAGGTCCGTTCTTAACCTGAAACTGTTATTAACCTGAAGCACCACTTTAGCTAATGGGGCCTCCCGCTGCTGCCGCGCTGCCGGAGCACGATTTCTGTTCTCATCCTGAAGCAAAGTTCTTAACCTGAAGCACTATTTCTGGGTTAGCGGAGTCTGTAACCTGAAGCGTATGTAACCTGAAGCATATATAACCTGAGGTACCACTGTAAAATGAAAATCAGATAGGTGGGACGTGGGGAAGCCCACCTAACAATGTTTAGAAAAGTAAAGATAGGAGAAGAATCTGTTGGTATTGTTTGTTTTTCTGTTTGTGTTCTTTATTTGTGTTATAAAATGAATAAAAAAAAATTAGAAAAAAATTAATAGACCGGCTGGATGCAGAGGAATGGTGGGAGGCAGCAACTGAGGAAGAAGGTTCAGAGCTTGGGGATTGGTGGTGGGGCGACGATGAGTGGCCAGAGGGAGCAGACTGAGAGGAGGAGAAGGAGGTGTCAGAAGCCTACAGGTGGTACCTAACACCAAGGAAACTAGCGCTAATACACCCAGGAACCTCACCAAAATGCTGGAGAGGGTGCACCTCCACAGGCACATACCTCCACATGTGGTGGGAGTGTCCCAAAATCCAACTATTCTGGACAACAGCCATACAAGAAATATGTAAAATAACTAAGCAAGTAATAGACATCACCCCAGAATTGGCCCTACTAAACATCTTCCAAGACAACAATGCCCATTTACACCACAAAGAACTCATAACCCACCTGCTCTCAGCAGCCAGAAACACCATAACCAGACACTGGAGAGACCTGTCAGGAGTAAGCATGGACCAATGGTACCAAATAGTATGGGAAACAGCCCTACTAGAAAAATTAACTAATAAACTGAAACTGACACGGGGACAAACAGAAGAAGACGCCTTCACCCCGGTATGGCTCCCATTTATCACATACACAGCCCAACAGGACAATGACAATAATCCACCAACAGCATACAAATCAATATGGCTAACCTGATCCAAAACACCCACCCACCTCACTCACACACGAAAACAAAGATCACCACAGCCAATCACAAGCAAACAATCACACCCTAGGCCAACCCCAACCTCTCTCACCACCAAAGGAACACAAGTGAACAACACAAGCAACGCTGACACCAAACTCTACATACATTAAACATAATAGAAACACCGCCACCCGACCCCACCCCATCCATCTTCCCTCTCTCCACCCCCCTTTCTTTTTTCCTTTTTTTTTTCTTCTCCCCCTATTGCCTCAACAAATGAAACGGATTTGTAAAAATGTTACATGGGAAAAAAAAATACGAGGCACTACACTTCTGTAAAACAAGAAAATCCTTAATAAAATATTTTAAAACTTCTGATTAAAAAAAAAAAAAAAAAAAAAAAGAAGCTGAAGAGGTAACAGGGTTTAGTGCGCAGGAAGAGGCTGTGGCAGAGAAGTCCAGAATCGGAGGCAGAGGTAGAGAATGGAGAGGACTGAGGGAATCCAGAGGCAGAGATGAGGCAGGTTGGTGAAGAAGCCAGGGTGTCTCCCCCTCCTGCTGCAACCAGCTCCCCTCTTTTCTGGTCTGCCGGAACCAGAAGAGATATGAAGAGAGAGGAGCAAAGGCAGGCATGCTGGCGTAGTCTCAAATTGCTTGGGAACAACCCAGAGGAGGAGGAGACTTAGACAACTGTTGGAAGGTGGGGAACTTCAGTCCCTACAACTGCCTCATCATCACCATCATCATCATTTTATTTGTAGGCCGCCTTTCCATAGTGAAAACAATGCTCAAGGCGGCTTACAGCACGACAAGATTTACAGTCACACCTTGGGTTACAGCTGCTTCAGGTTGCGTTTTTTCGGGGTGCGGACTGCCGAAACCCGGAAGTACCAGAACGGGTTACTTCCGGGTTTCGGCGGCCGCACATGCGCAGATGTGCTAAATCACACTTTATACAGGGCTGAGGCATGTGGAGGATCCTCCATTGGCAGCTCTAGCCGTGAGCAGAGGATCCCGGCGCTGGCGGCAAACCGCTATGTACAATGTATGTGCACCGTCGCATGCATGTGCTGTATGTAGCGACGCACACATGCGCTGTACATAGCGGTTTGCCGCCACGCCGCTCAAGCACCGTACAGATGGCAGTGGGATCCCTTCATCGCTGCTACAGCCGCATGTAGAGGATCCTCCGTTTGCGGCTGCAGCTGCAAGCAGAGGATCCCTGCACCGTTCATACGGCACTGGAGCGCCGGCATGTGCGGCATTTCTACGTATGGTGCATGCGCTGTGTGTAGCGATGCCCTGCCCTGGGTGTCACAACGCCTTCGTTCGCCCCTGGTGTTCCGTGTTCACGATCTGCTGCTATAGTCCAACAATTGGGGGAGGCAAGCGTCTTGTTTGTGGGAGGGTTCTTGCCCCCCAGCCCCCAATCTGGGGCAAACCATAGCTGCAGCTTCCAAACCAAGGGCAGCCCTGCACAGAGAGCATTGCAGTAACCCAGTCTCATGGTAGCCAACGCCTGCATAGCATACTGTAGCTAAGCTAAGAGCAAGAAGGCAGGAAGTGCAATATGTTCCTAGCTGTAAAAGAAACAAAAAGTTTTCCCTGTCCTGACAAGACAGGAGTACTGTTTTGGGGGGACAGGGGGCGGGCAGGTGAGGAGGACTCCCTGGTCCTGAATGGGGTAGCTGTGCCCCTGAAGGACCAGGTGCGCAGCCTGGGAGTCATTTTGGACTCACAGCTGTCCATGGAGGCGCTGGTCAATTCTGTGTCCAGGGCAGCTGTCTACCAGCTCAATCTGGTATGCACAATGAAACCCTCCCTGCCCACGGACTGTCTGGCCAGAGTGGTGCATGCTCTGGTTATCTCCCACTTGGACTACTGCAATGCGCTCTGCGTGGGGCTACCTTTGAAGGTGACCCGGAAACTGCAATTAATCCAGAATGCGGCAGCTAGACTGGTGACTGGGAGCGGCCGCCAAGACCACATAACACCGGTCTTAAAAGACCTACATTGGCTCCCGGTACGTTTGCGAGCACAATTCAAAGTGTTGGTGCTGACCTTGAAAGCCCTAAACGGCCTCGGTCCTATATACCTGAAGGAGCGTCTCCACCCCCATCGTTCTGCCTGGACACTGAGGTCCAGCGCCGAGGGCCTTCTGGCGGTTCCCTCCCTGCAAGAAGTGAGGTTACAGGGAACCAGGCAGAGGGCCTTCTCGGTGGTGGCGCCTGCCCTCTGGAACGCCCTCCCATCAGATGTCAAGGCAATAAACAACTATTTTACTTTTAAAAGACAACTGAAGGCGGCCCTGTTTAGGGAAGCTTTTAATGTCTGATGCTGTATTGTTTTTAATATTCAGTTGGAAGCTGCCCTGAGTGGCTGGGGAAACCCAGCCAGATGGGCGGGGTATAAATAATAATAATAATATTAATAATAATAATAATAATAATAATAATATCACCACATTGGCAGTATTGGAAAACCGACACCTGTGGGTTCCCCACCACCACCAAAAGTGTGCACAGTGCAGGATCCTTCCTGGGGGGGTCGGGACATAGTAGTCATTCCTTCCCCTGTTTTCTGAGAGATGCTCTCAGAAAGGATGTGAGGATTTCTCAGCAGCCGTTTCACTCCGAACCTGACAGCAAGCAGAGGCATAAGCCAGTAGCAAACTATTGCGGCCGATTCCAGCCTTTTCCTGGCATTTTTTGAAAAAGCGCCTCTGTTGCTTTAAATGAGGAGAGGACTTCATCTTCAGGTGGAGTCAATTCTTGCTGGGTTATAAATTTGCTGGGAGCCGAGATAGCAGCTGGTTGTTGTTTTTTTGCTGGAATCTTAGCAAGCGTATAGAACCAGTATGGTAAGCTGATGGCATTGTAGTTTCTCGTTTGGATTTGAAACTGTCGCTTGAGTGCTGTATGTATTGATTTTATCTGGGCTGTGGATCTTTTTGATAACTTTCAGTTAACTTTTCTGGAAGGGTTATTGATGAATACTTTAAGCTCATTTGGGCTGGTGTTTGCTCCTTATAAGGTAAAAGCTAGGCTGTAGCAAAAGGGAGGTTTAGAAGGAGGGGGGTCTTTTCCGTACACCCCTCCCCTTAGTTTTTCTCTGTTCGGTGGCTTAGCTGATCTTCTTGCAAAGTTGTGGGTTTCCTTTCTGACAGCTGAGCTCTCTTTTCCCTCTGGATCTTTAGAGGCATAAAATGTGTTCTTCTGCCGTATAAAGTCCCGCTCTCATTTTTCCACCTCCCCTTTCCTCCTGCCCTTTACCCTACATTATTTCACACTTCAGTTATGAGCATGGTTTAGGTAGGAGATTACTGTACTTTTGCAGATTTCTTCCCCTTATTCCCCTCCCCTGTATAAGAGGAAACTGCCATATTGCCTTTGTCTACTGTAATCCCAAGGGCTGATATGCTAAAAGAATAGAGTCGCTCCCCCTTTCCAGAAAATATATATATTATTTGTGAATGTTTCAAAACTATAGACTTTCGGACAACCTCAAAAAAAGTTTAACTGAAACTTCTGGGAAGCTCTTACAAAGGACTGCTGCTTGCATTTCATTTATTTATGCTAATCTTAATGGATTTTAATTAAGATAGCTGCTTAGGGGGTGTAGGGGGAGTCCAAAAATCTAGAGTGCTTTATCCCAAAAAGGAGATCCATTGTTGGTCTTTACTCGTGAGTAGGCCCAGGTCCACTGACAGGGCAGTTCTGGAAGTCTATATTGCATGAGCTGAATTTCTGAGCTGTGACTTCACTCCTTAACCCAGCAAAAATTTGGATTCAAAGACCTATTGTTCTCTTGTTATCAAGCTGCCCAGTTGAGTATTTGCATGGAAGTTTAACTAGGAAAACCTGCCAGTCCAACAGTGTTGAGTTGGAATTCCTGGAGGGGAGAAAAAAACCCTGTAGAATTTTGATCTTGTATGGTCCTGGAGCAGAAATGGATTAAGCTTTTTTTAATTTCTTTAAGTTGGGCGGTGGTATGCTTTAACAGTTGCACGTGGAAGCCAAGAGACGGCTGTCTCTGGCTGAGGATATCTTCTGCAATTCCAGACTGGCTTCATAGAATCATAGAGTTGGAAGAGACCACAAGGGCCATCGAGTCCAACCCCCTGCCAAGCAGGAAACGAGCTTCTTTGCTCTGTTGTGGAAATACCAGCATCGGTTGTGTCGGGAGCAGGTGCTACCACTTGGCAAACTGTTGAGAGAGAGGGAAAAGGGGAGTGGGGACTTCTCTTCTTTGCTGGCCGCAAGGAATGTCCCCTGAGTGACTCCAGCAAATTGGGACAGAAGAGCTACAATTAGAACTCCCATCACAGATAGATGGACGGGGACTGTGGCATGCTGCGGAGGGCGGTGTGAAAAGCAGCTGTCAGATCTGATGAGCAGAAGCTGGTGTGGTCATCTCGCATTTTGATCGCCTGTAGGCTTCCCGGGGCTGACCGCTGTAGGATGTGGGAGGGAGGGAGCGAAGGACTGGATGAACTCTCCTCTGATCCTTCGCGTTGTGTTCTTGACACATGACTCATAATCTCGCCGCAGTTGGAAGAACGCGGATCAGGCTGTGGCTGACCGTAGTCATCTCACTGGGATAAAGCTTTTTTAAAAAAATTAATGCTGCTTCTCCTTTATTTCTCCGCCCCAAAAGCACGCATGTGTCATGGTCGTGGCATCTCAAATATGCCGAACAGATTTCGCCGGGTTTTACACCTGTTATTGAGGCGCTCTTGTCTCTCGGGCCATTTCTGGGCTCTGAACCAAAGTCTTGCCACAACCCCCTCTTAAAAAAAAAAAACCAAAAGGGAAGGCGCTATGTGGAGTCATCGAAAGTAACTGCGGGAGTTCAGGACAGCTGAATGGAAGCGGTACTGCATTTATGGTCAACCAGGATGATTGGCCTGCTTCCATCAGTTTGGGGAGCTTCCAGGATGTTCCTAATTTGGGGTAGGATTCCATTGCGTTGCGGCCAATCCAGGTGGCGCAATGTTAGTCGATCGAGAGCTGCTTTGCCAAAAGCTTGGGCTTTTTTGCAAGAAGGAAAATGTCTGGAAGATGTGCTTGCTTTGATGCAACATCATCTCGCCTCCCCCTGCGAACAAGCCAGGACGAATGCACACCAACTAGCCAATGTTATCCAGTCCCCTTGCAAATGAATCGGGATGAATGCTCAATATAACAGAGTCTCCTCCAGACCATAATTCAGAAGCATCCATTCTTCGGTGATCAGCCTTCTTTATGGTCCAGCTCTCACTTCCATACATCACTACTGGGAAAACCATGGCTTTAACTATACAGACCTTTGTTGGCAAGGTGATGTCTCTGCTTTTTTAGGTGCTGTCTAGGGTGGGTTACAACAATTTACAATTACAACCCAGTGTGGGTTACAACAATTTAAAATACACCTTTTAACAACGATTTAAAGCAAATGGTTAATGTTGCTGGCTATGAAATGACCTAGACCCTGCGATCCCCTCAGGCCCTTCTTTGTGTGGCTCCTCTTTGAGGCGTTTGGAGGGTGGCAGCAAGAGAACGGGGCCTTTTCAACGGTGGCTCCCTGGTTGTGGAATGCGCTCCCCAGCCAGGCTTGCCTGGCGCCTTCCTTAAATATCTTTAGGCACCAGGCAAAAATGTTTCTCTATAACAGCTGTTTTCAGCCTGTGGGTCCCCAGATGCTGTTGGACTACAACTCCCATCATCCTTGAGCTCTGGCCTTGCTAGCTAGGGGTGATGGGAGGTGTAGTTCAACAACATCTGGGGACTCACAGGTTGAGAAAGGCTGCTCTATAACTAAGCTTTTTGGCTGATTAACATTCTATGGCATCCATCTGTATCGGGAGACAATACAATGCACCTCTGGGGGCTGAAATCAAGATGTAGGAAGGTTGCAGCAACTGCTGGAGACAGATGTGGGAGAGATTACTGGTTTTATTACATATTTCATGTCCTCGTTTTGTATTTTTCAGTTGTGAGCCACCCTATGATGTTTAGATGAAGGGCGCTATATAGATTTAATAAATACCGTACTTTTCTGTGTATACGACTATGGTTTTTTTCTGTAAAAAATTCATGCTAAAAAGTGGGGGCCGTCTTATGCATGGGTAGTGCATAGGGTGGACGTTTGGTTGGTTGCTGTCGAGGCTGTCAGCGGCTATTGTGCACGTTATTGGTTGCCGCGTCAATGGGTGGTGTTGACTGGCTGACGCTTCGGCAGTTGGGCGTGCGATTGGCAGCTTCTGCCGGCGATGGGACAGACGAGAGGCGGATTTAGCGACGCGTGCGGGTGAGCAGTTTTTGGCAATCCCCCCTGAAAAAAACTCAACAACCCTGGGTAATTCCCCCTAAAAAGCTCAACAACTCTGTGGCATCTTCCCCCATTTTCTTAAATTTGAGTCCCCAAAATAGGGGTCCTCTTATACATGGGGGCGTCTTATAGACGGGAAAGTACGGTAATAATATTTGAATTTTGCTCAGCAACACCTGATTCCACACATGTGTGTGCATGTGTTTCTGTCTGTGTCTCTCCCTCTGGCAATCTTCTCTCCTCCTTCTCTGGATTATGTTGTCTTTTGGATGCATTAGTCCTCCTCACCATCACCACAAAATACAACTCATCTTTGGCCTTCTGCCCCAGACTCCTGCCTCCTCCTTTTTTAGACTCTCTGATTTGAGCAGCGCAGGCAACAGTAGTTAAGTTTCTCCCAGGGAGGGGGGATAAATTTGATTCCGTTCACATTTAAAGGCAGGCTTGCTGAATCAGCATTCACTTTGCAAAAATGCGAATAGTAGGCAAAATTGCATCGAAAAATGTGTATAGTAGGAGAAAGTCACATGAAATGCTGACAAATTATCCCGAAGACTTTTTTTTTTTAATTCACAAACTGGTGTAGAAATGAGGATTGGGGAAAATGAAAAGCCAAAGTAGCGAAGCACATTTTCCCATCCCTCTCTCTCCTGGCTGCCCTGTCCCTCTGTGACATCACAGAAGCTCATCCAATCCAGGCTGGAGGCTCCAGCCACAAAGAGTCTCTGGCATAGCACACTGCAGCATGGATTTTTATTGCAGTTAAGGTCTATTATTGATCGCTGGCCACAAAAGATAAGGATGGAATCTCTTTAGGAATAATGGGTTTGTTTTAAACACGTGGCTATCATAAGACCAAGGGTTTATCAGCCAAGCTGGGGGAGGGGAATCACATCTGGCAACCAATGTGCCCCTTTGGTTTCATATAGTATACAGGTAGATGAGTCTAAAAAGCCTGGGATACAAATTTTCATGGCCCTCTAGCGACTATAGTGGCTCATTTACCAGGATGAATGTATTTAGCATTAACAATGGAAGTTTGCACTCTCGTTCTGACCAAACAAAGCCTCCTGGTGTATCTTTTGCTCTAGGATACACCTGAATATAAGGACGCGGGTGGCGCTGTGGTCTAAACCACTGAGCCTAGGACTTGCCGATCAGAAGGTTGGTGGTTCGAATCCCCGCGACGGGGTGAGCTCCCGTTGCTCAGTCCCTGCTCCTGCCAACCTAGCAGTTCGAAAGCACGTCAAAGTGCAAGTAGATAAATAGGGACCCCTGACCATTAGGTCCAGTTGTGACTGACTCTGGGGTTGTGGCGTCATCTCGCTTTATTGGCCGAGAGAGCCGACGTACAGCTTCCGGGTCATGTGGCCAGCATGACTAAGCCACTTCTGGCGAACCAGAGCAGCGCACGGAAACGCTGTTTACCTTCCTGCTGGAGCGGTACCTATTTATCTACTTGCACTTTGACGTGCTTTCGAACTGCTAGGTTGGCAGGAGCAGGGACAGAGCAATGGGAGCTCACCCCGTTGCGGGGATTTGAACCGCCGACCTTCTGATCAGCAAGCCCTAGGCTCTGTGGTTTAACCCACAGCGCCACCCACGTCCCTTGACTAGTATAGGACAGAATAGTATATTAAATAGAATATTAAATATCAGCATATAAATTTAAACAGAAATCCACTCCTAACAATCACAATAATTTCTAAACCACAATCAATAAAACAACGGCAAGCCATGTCTTTATAGCCAGTGCAGCATAATGTCTAGAGCATCAGATTAGGAGCAAGGAGAAGCGGGTTCAAATCCCCACTTGGCCACAAAACTCGCCATGTGACCTTGGGCTAATCATGTCCCCCAGTCAAGCTTTTGTGGGGATCAACTGAGGTGCCCCCCCAATCTGTGCACTCCTGAGCAAACTGGGATTTCCTCCACTATTAAATAAGAGAGAATCGGTGTTCTGCCAATAATTCGCTCCAAGGTTATGCTCAGTCCAGTATACCTGAAGGAGCATCTCCACCCCCATCATTCTGCCCAGACACTGAGGTCCAGCGCCAAGGGCCTTCTGGTGGTTCCCTCACTGCGAGAAGCCAAGTTACAGGGAACCAGGCAGAGGGCCTTCTCGGTAGTGGCACCCGCCCTGTGGAACGCCCTCCCACCAGATGTCAAAGAGAACAACAACTACCAGACTTTTAGAAGACATCTGAAGGCAGCCCTGTTTAGGGAAGCTTTTAACATTTGATGCATTCCTGTATTTTAATATTTTGTTGAAAGCAGCCCAGAGTGGCTGGGGAATAAATAATAAATTATTATTATTATTCTTGCTGGTGAAGCGTGTTAAAGCATCTTTCTCTCTGTCCCCTTCCATTCCAGAGGGAGTGCCTGTCGATTCACATTGGCCAAGCTGGAGTTCAAATGGGCAATGCCTGCTGGGAGCTCTACTGCCTGGAACATGGGATTCAGACAGACGGCACCATCGCCGGGAACCAGGCAGCTCCCAAAATCCTGCCAGAGACAGACCAGGTGGACGCTTCTTTCGAGACGTTCTTCTGCGAGACTGCGTCAGGGAAGCACGTGCCCAGGGCAGTCTTCATTGACTTGGAACCGACTGTCATAGGTAATATCGTCTGCAGCGATCCATTGGGATGAAAATGACCTCTGGGATGCTTTGTCGATGTCCAGTAGTGAGTGCTGCCAACTCACCTGGGCGCAAGATACAAGACAGCTGCCTTAAGGTTCACCCAAACTTCTTTGTTTCCAAGAACAGGTCTGTGCTTTAAAGCACTGCATCCAAGCACTCCCTGGGAAAACACACTCTTTATTATAGCAAATGGAGCAAACAGCAATCCAAATTGCTGTTTCTTCCACTTCAGCATTAAAGAGCGGGTTTTCAGGCATGAGTATTTTCCAGTTCTACCAATACATGCAGGGGCTAGATCCAGGAACCTTTTGCATGGGAAGTACTGTATTTTTCGCTCTATAGGATGCACCGGACCATAGGATGCACTGGACCATAGGAGGGGGAGAAGAGGGGGAAAAAAATTCTCCCCCTCTCTGCTCAGCGCCCCTTCAGCGAAGCGGCAGGAGAAACGGAGCCCTTTCTATTTCTCCTCCCGCTTCACTGAAGGGGCGCTGCGCAGAGAGGGAAAACTGTGCAGCGCCTCTCCAGCCAAACGAAGCCTGGAGAGCAAGAGGGATCGGTGTGCACCGACCCCTCTCGCTCTCCAGGCTTCAGACGGCCATCCGCAAGCCTTCGAAGTGTGGTGGGAACTCCTGCTGCGCTCCGAAGGCTTGCGGATAGCTGCCTGAAGCCCCCGGAGTGCAGCGGGAGTTCCCTGCGCTCCGGGGGCTTCAGGCGGCTTCAGCGAAAGCAACGTGAAGCCTCCGGAGCGCGGGGGGAGCTCTTCCTCTGCACTTCGGAGGCTTCGCATTGCTATCGCTGAAGCCAAGGAGCCTGCATTCGCTCCATAGGACGCACACACATTTCCCCTTCATTTTTGGAGGGGGAAAACTGCGTCCTATAGAGCGAAAAATACGGTATGTACAGGGCCACTAGGCTACTAGTCATACCTCATGTTACGTTTGCTTCAGGTTGCGCGTTTTCAGGTTGCATCCTGCGGCGACTTGGAAGTACTGGAAAGGGTTACTTCCGGGTTTCGCCGCTCGCGCATGCGCAGACGTGCAAAATGACATCATGCGCATGTTCAGAAGTGGCGAATCGCGACCCGTGCACGCACAGACGCAGGTTGCGTTCTTTTCAGGTTGCGAACAGGCCTCCAGAACGGATCCTGTTCGCAACCAGAGGTACCACTGTACCGTCCTTGCCACTTTTGCTGGCAAGGCTGCTGTGCCTTTAAAATCTGTATTATTGGTGGGAATGTAAGTTGTCCAGCTATTTTTATGTTTGGAGACTTCAAGTACAGTTGTGCCTTGGATCCCGAACGCCTTGGTACTAGGATGTTTTGGCACCCGAACGCTGCAAACCAGGAAGCGAGTGTTCCAGTTTGCAAACGTTCTTTGGAACCTTAATGTCCGATGGGGACAATCCACAGCTTCCAATTGGCTGTGGGAGCTTCTTGCAGCCAATCAGAAGCTGCGCTTTGGTTTCCGAACGTTTAGGAAGTTGAATGGACTTCTGGAACAGATTCCATTTGACTTCTGAGGTACAACTGTAAACTACTTTCCTTGCATTGTGTTCTCTTGCTATGATTTGACAAAGTTGCAGCATATGATTAAATAAAGCAGTGCCATAGCTACGGGGAGACTACTTGAATTTTTTGCCCCGGGGGGAGGAAGCCTCCAGAGGGGTGCTATTGAGGCTCCCAGCTTCTGTGTGTGTACGCAAATGTGTGTGAGGGGTGGTGAGTGCCAAACTGGGTCTTTGACCCGGGTGAAGTAAAGTCTAAGTTTGCCCCTGAAATAATGGGTTACAATTCCGGGGATGAGTCTAATGTACAGTGGTACCTCTGGATATGAACGGGATCCGTTCTGGAGCTCCGTTTGCATCCTGAAGTAAACGTAAGATGCGACTGCGCGGGTCGCGTTTCGTTGCTTCCGCGCATGCACGTGACATGATTTTTGAGCGTCTGCGCATGCGCAAGCGGCGAAACCTGGAAGTAACGCACTCTGTTACTTCCGGGTCGCTGCGGAGCGCAACCCAAAAATACTTAACTTGAAGCTACTTCAACCCGAGGTATGACTGTAGAAGCAAACTACATCACTTTGGATTTTCGTGAAAGTAGGCAAACAGTTAGAGGCAGGACAAACATGGAGCCCTGCAGATGTCGAGGACTCAAACTCCCAACAACTCCACCCAACAGGGCCAATGGCAAGGGGTGTTGGAGGGTATTCCATATTAGAGTAACAAAGGGCATTTTCCAATTTATTGTGCTTGTGGACTCCCTCTTATGCATGGGTCGGCAAACTAAGGCCCAGGGGCCGGATCCGGCCCAATTGCTTTCTGGATCCGGCCCGTGGATGGTCCGGGAATTGCCGTGTGGATCGGCGTGGGGATTCTGATCATTCGGGCTGCGCCATTCCCCCCCCCACGACGGCGCGTCCTCCCTTCCTCCCTCCTCCTGGCTTCTCCCTGCCCTGCCTAGAGGAGGAAGGGGGCTGGGCTTTGTTGAGCCACAGTTGGCTGAGCGCCATTTTAAGCAGCCCCTCTCCAGAGCCAGCAATTTTGCGCCACTCATCGTCCCTCCGCCGCCGCCCCCAGCCCCTGCCGCTCGCAAGGGACAGGAGCTGCGGGTAGCTGAGTGCTATTTAAAGCAGAGCAGCCCCTCTCTGGAGACAGCTCTTTCGTGCCGCAATGCGCTTTATGTGGGGCTACCTTTGAAGGTGACCCGGAAACCGCAATTAATCCAGAATGCGGCAGCTAGACTGGTGACTGGGAGCGGCCGCCAAGACCACATAACACCGGTCCTCAGAGATCTGCATTGGCTCCCAGTACGTTTCCGAGCACAATTCAAAGTGTTGGTGCTGACCTTTAAAGCCTAAACAGCCTTGGTCCAGTATATCTGAAGGAGCGTCTCCACCCCCATCATCCAGCCCAGACACTGAGATCCAGCACAGAGGGCCTTCTGGCGGTTCCCTCATTGCGAGAAAAGAGGTTGCAGGGGACCAGACAGAGGGCCTTCTCGGTGGTGGCACCTGCCCTGTAGAACACGCACTCTTCAAGTGTGAAGGAAATAAGAAGCTATCCCATCTTTAAAAGACTTCTGAAGGCAGCCCTGTTTATGGAAGTTTTTAATATTTAATGCTGTATTGTTTTTAACACTCGATTGGGAGCCGCCCAGAGTGGCTGGGGAAACTCAGCCAGATGGGCAGGGTATAAATAAAACATTGTTATTATTATTGTTATTATCATCATCATTATCCCATCGCCAGCCCCTACCGCTCGCAAGGCACAGGTAAGCAGCCACCGGGGCTCGTTTGGTGCTGTGGAGAACGGAGGGGACAGTCGGTGAGGGGATTTCCCCCCCAACATAGTCTGGCCCCCCACAAGGTCTGAGGGACAGTGGACCGGCCCCCTGTGGAAAAAGTTTACTGACCCCTGCTTTTATCTCTCTCCCTACAGATGAAATCCGCACAGGGCCTTATCACTCCCTCTTCCATCCCGAACAGCTGATCAGCGGCAAGGAAGATGCAGCCAATAACTACGCCCGAGGCCACTACACCATCGGGAAGGAGATCATTGACACAGTCCTGGGCAGGATTCGCAAAATGGTTAAGTCCCCCCCCCACACACACATGCCAACGTCTACACAACAGGATGGAATAAAAGCTTAATTCACAAATGTTCATAGCCAGGCTGGAGCTAAACACAGGAAACCGCCTTAATAAAAAGTCAGGCCATCTTGTCCACCCATCCCAGAGTTGTCTACTTTTTTTGGCTGGCACGGCCTTGCTCAGAGGTCCTTCCCATCAGCTGCTCTCTTAACTGGAGGCACATGGGATGGGTTTTGGTACACAGTGTTGTGAACTGGTCTGATGGGGAAAGTGGCAAGGCTGGTCCAAACACGCTGGAGCACAGGCAGCTCTGAGTGAGCAGATAGGGGCCTTTTGCTTGATATTTTTACCCCCTCCCATTGCAAGACTCTCCCGATCTGATTTTTGAGAAAGGAGGGGGCAGAAACTGCTCTTCTCTTCTTCCGCTCATGCCTGACTGCCTGACTGAATCTGAGTGTGGAGAGAGTCTTATCTACGTACCTGAGTGGGAGCTGTAACACTCATGCAAGCCAGTACATCGGATTAAGTACTTACCGTATTTTTGCTCTATAAGACTCACTTTTTCTTTCCTAAAAAGTAAGGGAAATGTGTGTGCGTCTTATGGAGCGAGATGTCTAGGTCTGCGCAGTTTCCTATCCCAGAAGCCAGAACAGCAAGAGGGATTGCTGCTTTCACTGCACAGCTGATCCCTCTTGCTGTTCTGGCTTCTGGGATTCAGAATATTTTTTTCCTTGTTTTCCTCCTCCAAAAACTTGGTGCGTCTTATAGAGCGAAAAATACGGTAATTCGTTCTGGAGGTCCGTTCTTAACCTGAAACTGTTCTTAACCTGAAGCACCACTTTAGCTAATGGGGCCTCCCGCTGCCGCCGGAGCACGATTTCTGTTCTTATCCTGAAGCAAAATTCTTAACCTGGAGCACTATTTCTGGGTTAGCAGAGTCTGTAACCTGAAGTGTATGTAATCTGAGGTACCACTGTAGTTCTTTAGTTTGTAGTAGCTATTAGAAATAAAAGGAGTTATGCTTCACAGCTAGCTTCTGCGTTATTTATACTCCGCTGAGTTTGGTGCTCACAATGCACAGTTGTGGGTCCAGTGCACTGGGACCTGCTTTTGGAAGGTCTCTGAAAGTGCTCCAGTCGCCTAGCCCAGTCGGGGCAGAACCAGTTATTGAGCCCAGTCGCTGACATCGGTTGAAAGGCATACAGTGGTACCTCGGGTTAAGAACTCAATTCGTTCTGGAGGTCCGTTCTTAACCTGAAACTGTTCTTTCTTTCTTTTTTTAAATAATGTTTATTAAGAGTTTAGAAATTACAAAAAGAAGAGAAAAAAAAGTTAAACAAAGCAAAACAATACAATACATATAGAACAGAAAACACTACTTATCTTAACAAAACACAAAAACAGAAACAATTAAAAACACATCCAATATTTCCATATCTTATCTTTCATTTACTTGTTTTGACGACCTCCTCACACCTCCCTTTTTTGTATTCTAGTTCAATTAGCTATTTCAGCAAATCCTTTCCATCTTTCTCAGTTTTTGTCCCATAATTTATCTTAACACAATCTAACCTTATTTTTTTTCCCCTTTAGCCCATTAACAGTCTATTTTTACTTAATTCTTTATAACATTTCTGCTAAAGCCATATAACTTCATTCCAGCATCCTTCTAACATTCATTAATTTTACAGTGTTTCTGTAAATAGTCTTTAAATTTTTTCCAAACCTGAAACTGTTCTTAACCTGAAGCGCCACTTTAGCTAATGGGGCCCTCCCACTGCCGCCGCGCGATTTCTGTTCTCATCCTGAAGCAAAGTTCTTAACCCGAGGTACTATTTCTGGGTTAGCGGAGTCTGTAACCTGAAGTGTCTGTAACCTGAAGCGTCTGTAACCCGAAGTACCACTGTACTGACACTTTTATGCCTCTGTATCCAGGCTCCTCCCCCTTGAGAGAGCTTCAGAGCCTTAAAGAGTCAACCTCTGGCCTGAAGGTCGTGGCCACTCCTCCATCATGCCACAGCCTCCCTCCTAATGAGCCGCTGGACGGGTGATGAGTGGTGCAAGGCATCCAGGCTCTGGTCCAAGAAGCCTTGGTGGTCTGAGACGTTCCACTGGAAGTTCTTTTTTTAAAAAAAATATTTTTAATTGATTTTTACAAATAATTTCCAAAAATCACGTAACATACTTTCTTATCTTATACAATGTTTTGGACTTCCATCAACTGCATCTGAAGATTTTCCAGTCTTTATCACTTAATCTGCATTTCATTATTTTCAGTATTACATTTAATACTCCTTCACTAATAATTCCTATCATAGTTTTCTTTGCAATGTTTCACATAGTCCTCCTTACAAACTTATTGCAATCCTACTGGCATAATCTGTTGATTACAATTGCTTTTCAAGTAGTTCATATATTTACTCCAGTCCTCTCAGAGATTCTCAATCTCTGATCCCGCAGGTTTTGAATCCTGTCATCTTATCCAATTCTGCACAGTCCATTAATTTCGTCTACTATTCTTTCGTCGGTAGTTCTTGTTTCCATTTCTGTGCCAACAATACTCTTGCTGCTGTTGTTGCATATAAAAACAGTTTATTGTCCTGTCTATTAATGTCCTCACTTACAATGCCAAGTAAAAATGCTTCTGGTATATATATATATATATATATATATATAAATGTATATTTCTACATCTTTTTCATCTCATTATATATCATTTCCACTGGAAGTTCTTGTCCAGTTGCCTCACATGCAATGGCCTCCCTATCTTCAGCAGTCAGCTCTGGGTCCTGACCCCAGACCCTGCTCCACATCTTGTGCCCTGCAGCCTCTGACTCGGTGTCCAGGGTTGCTTTGCATTGCACCACTCTGGGCTCCTTCCAATGTCCAGAAGATCAGTGATTATGTACCTGGAGGATCCCACCTCCGGTGTTTCTAACATCTCAAATGGTTTGCTTTTAGGAGTAATAGTTAAATGGAGCTCTGACTTAGAAGAGGCACTCCTTGACTCTTGGGATCACTGAGTGTTTTCTGTCAAATCCCCTACTGCTTTAAGGTGGGCTACGTTCAGGTGCCACAAGCCCAGTCCTTCAAACCACGGTTTGGCAACTTGGGACTGTGCCGTGGGTTCCCTCCTCCTCCACTTCCTGGTTTTCTCCCATCACAGTTTGCTGTGATACCCCAATTGGGCAAACCATGGTTAGCACCTAAACCTGGTCCCACTTTGTGCATATGTACAGTACATGATCACATAGCTGTTGAGCAACGTTCTTACTAATTGAGCTGTTATATTGCCAACAGCCATCTCTAATAACCAAATTTCTGTTCCTGATGCAGGCTGACCAATGCAGCGGCCTCCAAGGTTTCTTGGTCTTCCACAGCTTCGGCGGAGGAACAGGGTCAGGCTTCACTTCGCTTCTGATGGAGCGACTCTCGGTGGAGTACAGCAAGAAGTCAAAACTGGAGTTCTCTGTGTATCCTGCCCCACAGGTCTCCACAGCCGTCGTGGAGCCCTACAACTCTATCCTGACCACCCACACCACCCTGGAGCACTCCGACTGCTCGTTCATGGTGGACAATGAAGCCATCTATGACATCTGCAACCGCAACCTTGACATCGAACGCCCCACCTACACCAACCTCAACAGGTTGATCGGGCAGATCGTCTCGTCCGTGACGGCTTCCTTGAGGTTCAACGGCGCCCTGAACGTCGACCTGATAGAATTCCAGACCAACCTGGTGCCTTACCCCAGGATCCACTTCCCCTTGACCACCTACGCCCCCATCATCTCGGCCGAGAAGGCCTACCACGAGCAGCTCTCCGTGCCAGAGATCACCAACGCCTGCTTCGAGTTCTCCAACCAGATGGTGAAGTGTGACCCGCGCCGGGGCAAGTACATGGCTTGCTGCCTCCTGTACCGGGGGGACGTGGTGCCCAAGGATGTCAACGCGGCCATCGCGGCCATCAAGACCAGGAGGTCCATCCAGTTTGTGGACTGGTGTCCCACCGGCTTCAAGGTAGGCATCAACTACCAGCCGCCCACGGTGGTGCCCGGGGGGGACCTGGCAAAGGTGCAGCGGGCTGTCTGCATGCTGAGCAACACCACCGCCATCGCGGAGGCCTGGGCCCGGCTGGACCACAAGTTCGACCTGATGTACGCCAAGAGGGCCTTTGTCCACTGGTACGTTGGGGAGGGCATGGAGGAGGGGGAGTTCTCCGAAGCCCGGGAGGACCTGGCTGCCCTGGAGAAGGATTACGAGGAAGTCGGGAGGGATTCTGCGGACGGGGAGGAAGAGGATGCTGAGGAAGAATATTAAACCCAAGGCCATGCGTCTGTATGGGCCAATCCTGCATGCAACTGGGCTAAGATGGGGAGGTGAACCAAATCTGTTGACTCTTTCTTTTAAAAAAAACCCAAAAAAACCCAACACCCCATAATAAACATTACTGTATCTCTTACAAGACTTGTGTAGCGTAAGGACTCTTTAACACATTGTACTTTGTTTAGAAGGCACTTCCTTGTAGCTTTTTGAATCTTTACTTCCTATCTTAGAATTATGTGAAATTAACTCTTTTGAGCGCGGATCTTCGGAGGGGGCGGGTGCAGGAGAGGCTTGGCTGTCCTGTATCGCTTCTGCGCACTCGAGAATGGGTAAGGGGGGGGAGTACCCTTTATTATTAGAAGACGCTGTGATCTGCTTCTTTGTACTTTAATAATAAAAAAGTGGAACAACTCTAGTATGGGAGCTTCCTTTCCAATGCATATCCCTAATCTGGTTTGAGATCACACCAGCGGGGGGGGGGTGTTAAAAGCCCTTAACCCGCCCCCTCCGCAACGCCAGGATCCAAATTGAGGCTGCTGTGCTTGATTTTTTAAAAACCAAGTTGTGCTGTTGTGTCTAGTTTGGCCCTTATATTCATTAACACAGTGTTTCCCAAACATACAGTAATTGCATACAGTGGTGCCTCGCAAGACGAAATTAATCCGTTCCGCGAGAGTCTTCGTCTAGCGGTTTTTTCGTCTTGCGAAGCAACCCTATTAGCGGCTTAACGGATTAGCACTATTAGTGGTTTAGCGGCTATTAAAGGCTTAAAGGCTTAGCGGATTAGCTGCTAAAAGGCTATTAAAGGCTATTAAAGGCTTAGCAGATTAGATAAAGGGGGGGGAAAGCGAAAAAAAAATCTCAAGACTTGCAAGACATTTTCGTCTTGCGAAGCAAGCCCATAGGGGAATTCGTCCTGCGAAGCAACTCCAAAACGGAAAACCCTTTCGTCTAGCGGGTTTTCCGTCTTGCGAGGCATTCGTCTTGCGGGGCACCACTGTATTCCTTTTGAGAGTTTAGTCTTACCAGCATACTGGTGATTTGGGGGTAGTTCTAATAATACTATTTTGAAACTGAAATACTTTGTCACTTGTACAACTTGTATACAGTAAGATTACATGAGCACCCCCCTACTCAGCTCTCTTAGTCTTAATTCCCCTCGTTTTCTGATACCCACCCACCAAACCCAAAAGTCAGTTGCCCTGTTGTTATCTTTTCATTCAGCAGCCTAACAGCCCACGGATAGAAGCTGTTCTTTACCCTGTTGGAACTACTAATCATGCTTCTGTATCTTCTGCCTGAGGGCAGGAGACCAAGAAAGTGCCGGCCAGGGTGTGAATCATCCCTGAGAATTTTCCTCACTCTCCTGAGGCAATGTTCTTCCGCTATTTCACCCAGCAGATTCACGGGACAGCCCATAATATCTTGTGCTGTATTCACCACCCTCTGTAGGCTCTTCCTATCAGATGATGTCAAATCAGCGTACCACACCGTGTTGCAGTATGAAAGGACACTTTCTATTGTGGACCATCAGAAGGGGATCATCAGATGTTGATTGACATCGTTCTTCCGCAATACTTTGTCTCGACTAGTTCAAATACAATATCACACACACACTATAAATTACGTTATGATAAAGTAAAGAAATTCAGCCATGTACCCTTTGAAATCCTTTCGCATCCCTGCTGGGATGTGTGCAGCACACTCTGGAAAACACTGCATTAGTATACTGCACTTCCCTGCATTTCTGTGCAATCATAAGGACCAGGAACTTGTAATGAAAGCCAAATTCTGTGTTGGAATGGCATTTTTGGAGCATGCCAGTCATCACCCCAAGTGGTGATAAATTGTAAAAGTATCGCTCCTGCTTTTCAGACCTACCTTGTCTTTTCACGACTTGTAAGGAATTCAAGTTGACCTCTCACTCGTGCGCCCAGTGCCCTGAGGAGCCATATGTGGAAGAAAAGCTCTCTTACTCTGCATCCCCTCTGAAATATACTCGGAGTCGAGAGTGGATTTCATGCTCTGTATTCAGCTCATAGCAGTGAGGAGGAATGGAAGTCCCCCCAGAATGTCTGCTTTACATACATTATTTACACAATGGGCCCCACGTGATTGGCTAATTCCGGGATTCTCCTGTAGGCCAATCAGGTTGCAGATTCACTTCCACCTGGAGCTGGATTGGGTGGCTCCTGTGGACCAATCAGACTGCTGCATGCTGGGTCATATTGTTCTAGGACCAATCAGACTGCTGCATTTTGGATCCTATTCAACTCAGTACATAACACCCTCCTTACCTGAGGATTGCCACTCACTGTGAGTTTAGAGTGTCTGAGAACCTTTAGGCTGCCACTGACGCTGAAACTCAAAAATTGTCACTACCCTACTCAGAAGCCATTTCTCTTTTAAAAAACCACAAAAATGCACTTGGTGCGGACTGTGAAAGAGGTTAACCAAGCAGGTTAACCTGTAAATCCCACTGTGTTCAATGGGATTTACTGCTTAGTAAGGGTGCCTAGAATTTGTTAATTTTTCATTTCAATGGAAACCTTCTAAAAACATTACCTTTGGAGCTTGGCTTGTTCTAGCCGTTTGTAGCACTGTTTTCGTTTAGATGGCTTGATGGCAGGAACCCTCAATTGTGACAAAAGGAGACAGACTGTCGGTCAATTTTCCATGGTGATTACTGGGATTCTTGGAAAGAGTACTGGATCTCTGCCTGGCCCCGCAAGACATATCTACACGCTTAAAGAAAAGCACTTGCCCTGTATCACTTAACCTAGAATAATTATGCCTTTCAAGCAATGTATTCAGTGTCTGTAGATGGGAGGTGTGCCAAAAATCCTTGTTAGCTGCAATTTATCTGGAGAGGGGTCTTAAGGGAAGAGGAAGTACAGTGCATACAAAGCACTATAACTTTTTATACTCTACATTATTAAAGGTGCAATTATTAGGAAAGGTTTCTGGAGGACATTCTTTTGTTCCTAAATCTTGATGTATGCAGGGGAAATAATGAATTTAGGTGATGCTCAGTAGGGAAAGGACTCGGGTGGCGCTGTGGTCTAAAGCACTGAGCCTAGGGCTTGCCGATCGGAAGGTCAGTGGTTCGAATCCCCGCGACGGGGTGAGCTTCCATCGTTCAGTCCTAGCTCCTGCCAACCTAGCAGTTCGAAAGCACGCAGTGCAAGTAGATAAATAGGTACCACTCCAGCGGGAATGTAAATGGCATTTCCGTGCACTGCTCTGGTTTCACCAGTCATGCTGGCCACATGACGTGGAAAAATTGTCTGCGGACAAACGCCGGCTCCCTCAGCCTGTAAAGCGAGATGAGCTTTACCCCAGAGTTGTTCGTGACTGGACTTAACTGTCAGGGGTCCCTTTACCTTTTACAGTAGGGGAAAGGAGTTGGTTACCACCCATCTTATGCTTTTTCCCTGGCCGATTCAGGAATAAAAATTGGTGCAGTGCTTACTGTAACGTATTAGGCGGATGAAACATTTTAAGTGGGATAATCATGTCCCCGTCAGGCTTTTTGTGGGGGTCAAATGGGATGCCCTCCCCCATCTGTGCACTCCTGAGCTCACTGGGATTTCCCCCACTATTAAATAAGAGAGAATCAGTGTTTTGCCAAGAATTTGCCCCAAGGCGAATTCTTGCAGTACAAGAAAAGAAAATATGCTCCAAAGTATCAGGTAAGTGGCTCCCATGTTTGAGAAATCTAAATGCTTATTTTGAGTCTAATTTCAGAAAGAGGTAGGGATCCCCAGGGGCTGCTGAAGATCTTTTGTGGATACCACATGGCAGGTCTTGCCAGATGGGTGGGGTATAAATAATAAATTATTATTATTATTATTATTAAAGCCACAAAGTCTGCAGCTGCAGATACGAACCCGATGAGCCTCTGCTGAGATCAGATTTCAGGCTGAGCGGAAGAGGGCTTGGATGAAAAAACAGTCATGACCAGGCATAGGCAAACTCGGCCCTCCAGATGTTTTGGGACTACAACTCCCATCATCCCTGACCACTGGTCCTGTTAGCTAGGGATGATGGGAGTTGTAGTTCCAAAAACATCTGGAGGGCCGAGTTTGCCTATGCCTGGTCATGACTGATCATTGAAACACGAATATGTTACTTTCAATTGTTTTTTGAAAACAGCAGCCCCACAAGGTCTGTCTCCAGCTGTATGCCGAATTTGAATGTAAAAAAAGAAAAAGGAACACAGCCTTATGAGCAAAGTTTTAAGTAAAGAGCTTGTTGTTGTTTAGTTGTTTAGTCGTGTCCGACTCTTCGTGACCCCCTGGACCAGAGCACGCCAGGCCCTCCTGTCTTCCACTGCCTCCCGCAGTTTGGTCAGACTCATGCTGGTAGCTTCAAGAACACTGTCCAACCATCTCGTCCTCTGTCGTCCCTTCTCCTTGGGCCCTCCATCTTTCCCAGCATCAGGGTCTTTTCCAGGGAGTCTTCTCTTCTCATGAGGTGGCCAAACTATTGGAGCCTCAGCTTCAGGATCTGTCCTTCCGGTGAGCACTCAGGGCTGATTTCCTTCAGAATGGATAGGTTTGCTCTCCTTGCAGTCCATGGGACTCTCAAGTGTCTCCTCCAGCACCAGAATTCAAAAGCATCCATTCTTCAGCGATCAGCCTTTATGTCCAGCTCTCGCTTCCATACATCACTACTGGGAAAACCATAGCTTTCACTATACGCCAAAAGTATGTTGGCAAAAGTAAAGAGCTACTGGAAGCCAAAGCCAAACATATTACCTAGTGGTTGGAGGGTATGACGTCACCCCACAATTAAAATCCCACCTGCAGCTGCAAAAATCCCCTTCCCTCCTATTAGGGCCGCTGTCTCTTTAAGCAGCGCGCTGCTCGCTCGCTCGCTGCCCCTCCCATCAGCTGTATAAGGGGGCGTGGTTACAGCTGGGCGTGCCCTATGCAAATGAGCACCCGTACTTCCTCCTCTCGACGGCCGGCGTCGCCCGTCAGCTGTCTGAGGGAGAAGAGCGGGCGTGGCCCCGCCCGCCCTTGACCGGCGGCCCCGCCAGCCAATGGCGGCCCAGAGAAGTAGTTCCTCGCGGGCGGGACTTCCTCCCCGGGGCCGCGAGCGTGTAGGCTGAGGTAAAGCGGGAGGTGAGCAGCTTACCCGGCCGCCGCCGCCGCCGCCGCCGCCATGATCAAGAAGTTCGACAAGAAGGATGAGGAGTCGGGTAAGAAAGCCCCGGTGAAGGGTGGTCAGGCGCAGCGCCTCAAACTAGGCCCCGTTGCTAGGCAGGGTGGGCTGCCCCTTCCGCAGGTGGGCCGGAAGCCCCGTAGCGGCGCCGGAGGGCGCTTGCCCCGCCCACTGGCTCGGGACGGTTTGAAACGGTTTAAAAGGGGGCGGGCGGGCGCTACCACTTCAGGACGAGGGAAAGGGGGGGGAGATGGTAGTGTGAAGAGGCCCTTCTGGATCGTACCAAAGGCCTTTTTCAGGGGTGGGCAGCCTGCGGCCTTTCCAGGTTTTCCCCCTGGCACCCCCCTCCGAGGTGGCGCCTATGGTTCCCCCCCTGCCCTATTTTCTACCGCGAGGTAGGTGAGGGCGCCTGAGGGGAATTTTTGCCATTAGGCTGCGGGCTTGGATGGGGGGCGCCCTGTGGGAAGTTATTTAAAACAGAACAAATAATGGTCTCCCGGCCCCGGGTCCAATACACAAGCGGCTATTTCTTCCAATAACAACAACAACAAAATAACAATGGTTTTATTGATTTTATGTGTTTGTTTCCTGTTCAGGGAAGTTTTTCATGTGTGACAACTTAGTGTAATTTTGGTCTTTCTTTTTTTTAAAATAATTTTAAATTAGATTTTCCACAGTGATAACACATAGCAAAATGATACACAAAAACAGAAAAAGAAAGGGGGGGAAAGGGAACAATAAACAGATAAACAATAACAACAAACTTAATTCTTCACAAATCCAACCTTTGATGGGCTTGGATGGGGGGCGCCCTGTGGAAAGTTATTTAAAACAGAACAAATAATGGTCCCCCGGCCCCGCGTCCAATACACAAGCGGCTATTTCTTCCAATAACAACAACAACAACAAAATAACAATGGTTTTATTGATTTTATGTGTTTGTTTCCTGTTCAGGGAGGTTTTGAATGTGTGACATCTTAGTGTAATTTTGGTCTTTTTTAAAAAATAATTTTTTAATTAGATTTTCCACAGTGATAACACAAACCACAAAGCAAAATGATACACAAAAACAGAAAGAGAAAGGGGGAACAATAAACAGATAAACAATAACAACAAAATTCTTCACAAATCCAACCTTTTACGGGCTTGGATGGAGGGCGCCCTGTGGAAAGTTATTTAAAACAGAACAAATAATGGTCTCCCGGCCCCGGGTCCAATACACAAGCGGCTATTTCTTCCAATAACAACAACAACAAAATAACAATGGTTTTATTGATTTTTATGCGTTTGTTTCCTGTTCAGGGAGGTTTTGAATGTGTGACATCTTAGTGTAATTTTGGTCTTTCTTTTTTTTAAAATAATTTTTAATTAGATTTTCCACAGTGATAACACAAACCACAAAGCAAAATGATACACAAAAACAGAAAAAGAAAGGGGGGGAGAAAGGGGGAACAATAAACAGATAAACAATAACAACAAAATTCTTCACAAATCCAACCTTTTACGGGCTTGGATGGAGGGCGCCCTGTGGAAAGTTATTTAAAACAAAACAAATAATGGTCTCCCAGCCCCGGGTCCAATACACAAGCGGCTATTTCTTCCAATAATAACAACAACAAAATAACAATGGTTTTATTGATTTTATGTGTTTGTTTCCTGTTCAGGGAGGTTTTGAATGTGTAACATCTTAGTATAATTTTGGTCTTTGTGGAAGCCGGCCAGAGTGGCCGGGGAAACCCAGCCAGATGGGCAGGGTACAAATAAATAATAATAATAATGGTAGTAATAATAATAATAGTTATCAATACACCAGGAGAAAGTTGCAAACCCAGTCAGATGGGCAGGGTACAAATTATTATTATTATTATTGTTATTATTATGTTTATTACAGTGGTACCTTGGTTCTCAAACTTAATCCGTTCCAGAAGTCTGTTCCAAAACCAAAGCGTTTCAAAACTAAGGCGCGCTTTCCCGCAGAAAGTAATGCAAAATGAATTAATCCGACTTTTAAAAACAACAACAACAACAACAATTTATTATTTATACCCCACCCATCTGGCTGGGTTTTCCCAGCCACTCTGGGCGGCTTCCAACAGAATAATAATAATATATTAATGATAGCCTTTATTAATTATTATAATTAATAATATATTAATTATAGCCTGCCCTTCTGGCTGGGTTTCCCCAGCCACTCTGGGCGGCTTTCAACAGAATATTAAAATACAATAGTCTATTAAACATTAAAAGCTTCCCTAAACAGGGCTGCCTTCAAATGTCTTCTAAAAGTCTGATAGTTGTTTTTCTTTTTAACATCTGGTGGGAGGGTGTTCCACAGGGCGGGTGCCACCACCGAGAAGCCCCTCTGCATGGTTCCCTGTAACTTGCTTCTCGCAGGGAGGGAACCTCCAGAAGGCCCTTGGAGATGGACCTCAGTGTCCGGGCAGAACGATGGGGGTGGAGACCTTCCTTCAACCCCTAAAACAGCCATTTAACATGAAATTTACTATGTAATGAGATCATTGATCCATAAAATGAAAGCAATAATCAATGTACTGTACTATAAAATAAATAAGACAGTATTGTAGATGATAAAAATTAAAATTATTAATATTTTCTTACCTGCATGGATGATAGTCATTGTTTGGATGGGGGGCTTTTATCCATTTCCACAGTCACGCAATCAATCGGTAGCTGAACTGGGTTCCACACAATCACAAAAACAAATTAACCGAAAAAGCCCCAAAAAGAAAAACCCAAAATAAACAGCAAAAACAAAAGCGCCAAACTTAATCCGTTCCAGAAGTCCTTTTGACTTCCGAAATGTTCGAAAACCAAGGCACAGCTTCTGATTGGTGCAGGTGCCCTGGAAACAATAGCCGACAGCTGCATCGGATGTGCGGCTTCCGAAAAACGTTAGAAAACCAGAACACTTCCGGGTTTTCAGAGTTTGAGAACCAAAGCGTTTGAGAACCAAGGTACCACTGTATTTTATATCACAGCGGTTTGTAGCCAGCCTTGCCCAATGGTCACCCGAGCAGGGGCTGCATGAGAGGTTTGCCATTACATTGTGCGTTTTTGTGGTTTTTGTACTGTGAACCCCACACGATGTGCGCTATGTAAATATTTATTTAAATAAAACAAGTAACAGTCTCCCAGTGCTCCAAGCCTAACGCATAAGCAGCTATTTTTAAAATAATAATAAAATAATAGTAATAAATCATTGTTGTTTGTTTAATTTTGCCACCTCTGTGTCCGTAAAGATGTATCACAGCAGTTAACAAACAATATTGGAAACATTAAAACCAGACAGTGACATAACGATTCCTGCGTTGTAGGTTCCCTTGTGGTCCCTTCCAACTCTTAAGAGTCTGTGATTCTGTAAATCAAAGACAGACACCAGCAGACCGATGTGGGTGGGTGGGTGTGCTGTTAATGGCCTGCATGTTTATTAAATAGGTATACAAGCAAACATATGAAACTTAAGAAAAAAGGAACACGGAAACAGGGAGGGGGGAATAGAGTTTCCCGTTTACATTAGCTGACAATTTGCATTCAGGAGTTAAAGAGAAGGGGGAAAGGATGGAAAGAATTACAGCGTAGGTCACTTCCTTGCAAAAAAAAATAAAAATACAAGTCCTGTAAATCTGTCAAAGAAATAAGGTACATCCATAAATTTGTGACTTCCAGGGAGGCGGGCAAGCAGCAGTTTCTTATTAGTGTGGCAGTTGCCCACACTTTGGCAATCCCTGCATTTTGCATTCAGGCAGGTTGCCTTCACTGTACTCTTATCAGCTCCTGCAAAAACATTCCTGTTTAGACAAGCCTACTCAGATGCTTAGAAAATTCAGGTAATTTTAATCTGTTTTGGTGGGATTGTGAACCTTTCTTGGTTTTACTGTTTTACCTTTTGTAAACCGCTTTGAGGTTTTTCTTTTACCCTCAAGCGATGTGTAGGTTTTATGAAATAAATAAATAAGCCATGGCAGGTAAGGAGGCAGTTATTCTCGGCTTTCCCTGTCGGGCTCAGCATGCTTCTGATTTCCTGTTGTTGGAAATCGCAGGTGGGGAAATTCTGTGGCCCTCAGGCCCTGCTTGTGTGGGCTTCTCGAAAGTGGCATCTTGGCTGGCCAGGGTGAGGACAGGATGCTGGTCTTGAGTTGAGCCTTAGGCCTCATCCAGCTGCAGGGCTCTTCTCACCTTCCTTGCACACCATACTTGCTTTTTCGTTGCTGGACTACAACTCCCATCATCCCTTGCCAGTGGCCATGCATTAAGTTGCTTTAAATTGTTTTGAACATTGGTTGAATTGTTGTAACCCACCCTGGGAATGTAGGGTGAAGGGCAGGTAATGAATTGTGGTACTAATACTGAATATAAGCCGCACCTTTAAAATTGATGGGGGGAAGAAAAAATACCTGAATATGTTATTGTTGTTGTTTAGTCGTGTCCAACTTTTCATGACCCCCTGGATCAGAACACGCCAGGCACTCCTGTCCTCCACTGCCTCCCGCAGTTTGGTCAAACTCATGCTGGTCTCTTTGAGAACACTGTCCCACCATCTCGTCCTCTGTCGTCCCCTTCTCCTTGTGCCCTCCATCTTTCCCAACATCAGGGTCTTTTCCAGGGAATCTTCTCATGAGGTGGCCAAAGTATTGGAGCCTTGCTGCTTCTGGCTGCATACTGTGTGGGGGCGGGGGCGAAGTCAGAGGCCTTTCCCCTTCCTCGCTCTTTCCTTTTCCGGCCATAGGGAAGAGGACGGGGAACTACATGCTCCTGGCATTGTTTGCCCCACGCTCCTGGCTGCATACCGTAAGGTCGCAAATATAAGCCGCACTTTAACTTTTCACAGTTGGAATTTGGGGGGCAAAGTGAGGCTTATATTCAGGCCAATATGGTAATAGTAATGTTGGCTGGGGCTGATCGGAGTTGGAGTCCTACAATATCAGGGTAACAGGTTCTGTACCATTGGCTTCTTCCCTCAACACTCCTGTGGAGTTGTACAGTTCAGAGAAAGATCACTTGTGATGAGGCAAAGTATTTTTCAGGGGTATTCGTCCACTATTACTGACCTTCTCAGGAAGGTAAGTTTCTAGGAAAGCCCTGGGTTCCTCCGAACACAGTTTAAAAACGACGTACAGAATTGTCATCAACGTATTTTGTGGCTAGCATCTGGTCCCCTGCCAACATTGTGTTTTGTTTTTCAGGTAGCGGCTCCAACCCCTTCCAGCATTTGGAAAAGAGTTCTGTCCTCCAGGAGGTATGACTACACCTTTCTATAAATTCCCCATTCCAGGATTTCCCAAACTTGGGTCTCCAGCTGTTTTTGGACTACAGTTCCCATCATCCCTGACCACTGGTCCTGCTAGCTAGGGATGATGGGAGTTGTAGTCCAAAAACAGCTGGAGATCCAAGTTTGAGAAACCCTGACCTATAAGATCTCTTTTTTTTGAAATCAAGTTTGGGATTTGCAGGCTAGAGTCTGTGGATGTCTAGGGCTCTGATTCTTTGGGGGGCCACTGTAGGTCCACTGAGTCTCTGCAACTTCCCTTTCTGTGGCTGCCCAAGATGTGGCTGCACCTTCCTTTGGTATGTCTGGAAGCAGCTGGCGTCTCAACCCCAACCACCATGTTTCCTTAAAGAAAGATGGCAGCCTGAGCTGGAGAAATGGGTACATGGGATGGATAAGAGGGCGTGAACTAATTTATATCAATCTCGGGCTTGGACATGTGAACCACAACAATGGGTATGCCGTGGGATCATCAGCCATAGGGGTGCTATATGGGTGTCAGCCTTGTCTTATTGCGCCTTGGGCATCTCACTTCAATTGGGGTGTTGCCTGCCTGCATAGTTTCTAAAATATCTTGGAACAGGGATAAGTGATGTGTGGTGCAAGAAACCTCCCCTTTCTTGGAGACTCTAGAAACTGCATCCTTAATATAAAAAGATACCCTTGTGTGTGGAGACTTTGGGTCTTGGGTTATAACCTTGCACTGGCCGCTGAGCAGAGATGCTCTGAGGGCTCTTCCCAAAAGTAGAAGCAAGACCTTGCCAAGTGAAGCTTTCTGGGTTTATCTGTGATTAGAGCCAGAAGGAAATAGTGGGTTGTATCCAACAAAATAATACCATTAGTACAAGGGTTTATCTTTGTGCAATTTCCCTTCCCTCTCCTCTTGCACCAAATCTGCTCCAGAGGATTGGGGGAAACCCCAGAACAAATTCAGGGAAAGGAAAAGAGGGAGGAGTTATTTTGTGCAGCCAGAGGTCCTTGCTGCATATTGGTTTCCCCCCATTTTGTTGAAAAGGAATTTTAGGGAACTTCAGAATGAAAATTCCTAATATCCGTCTTTGTTGACTGCACAATTCCTGTTCCTTTTACATAGGCGCGTATCTTTAACGAGACCCCCATAAATCCAAGAAGATGCCTGCATATACTTACCAAGATCCTTTACTTGCTGAACCAGGTAAGTGCAGCTGCTTTTGTGCAATTGAGTTGCAGCCTTTGGCTAATGAGGAAACTGTTAGAATTCCTGCTCCATGATTGCAGTCATGGGATTTTTGTCTATCACATGACATCGTATGTTTTGACTCCACAGAGTGGGAAGTGACGGAGACAGGATGTTTGTGTTACTGTGTTCCGTGAAGTGGGACTAGTGTCCTTTGTTCTTTCTCTTTGCTGTCTGATGCTAGAGAGAGAGGGAGCCATGTTGCAGTGCTCCATGTGTGTTTATATGTACATAAAGTATATGTACATATAACTTGTTTTTATTATTGCTTGTAAGCCGCTCTGAGCCCGGCCTTGGCTGGGGAGGGCGGGGTATAAATAAAAATTATTATTATTATTATTATTAGCCAAAATGCTGAGTTGCTGAGGTCTGTTACGCAAGCTGCGCAAACTCTGCGGATCCCTAAGTGTGCCGATGTCTCTTGGCATCGGTCGCTGTGATGTTCAGGCAGAAGAAAGCTTTTGAAGCTCCCGAATGAAAGACCTAATGGTCAGGGGTCCCTTTACCTTTACCTTTACCGCTTGATCTAGTAATGCTCTCTTAAGCAGTTCACATGAGAACAAGAACAAATACGAGCCAGAACATTAATCATTTCCTAAAAACTAGGTAAAGAGAAAACAGCACTGTATATCACACATAAAACTGCACAGTTTATAAAACAAACTTGCTAATTAAGAAGAGTTCGGAAAGGCTAATGGGTGGTGGATGGGGAGGTCAAGGCTGGGACTTCCCTGCACTGGCAGATGAGAATCAGGGTCACATGGCAGAGAATCCCACTCAAGAGGCAGGCATTTAATTGTCCTGGGATCACCCGTGATGAGCATGGCTGAAAGTGATCTCTGGAGCTAAAAGCAGGTCTTAGTGGAACATTGTCAGCTTTTCATATACGCTGGCTTAATTTTTGTCACATATTAATTCGCTTCTCTCTAGGGTGAACATTTTGGAACAACAGAAGCCACAGAGGCCTTCTTTGCAATGACAAGATTGTTTCAGTCAAATGATGTAAGTTCCCATTGCTCCAAGAAAGGGGTTTCCCCTCTGCCTGTGTCTCTGGTTGCATAATGGGCTGTAGAGGATTTTAAAAATATATATTATTGTGTGGGATGCAAAGCAGCTTCATGACAGAACATTTCTGAATTTTGCACAAAAATGTAAAAGGCGGCAGTACAGATTAGGTGGTGGTGGGAATTTGCTTTTTTTTTCTTGTACTGGGATCCAATGTAGATCCTTTGGGACCAGTGTTGCGTGGTTCCAGTGGCTGCTCCCAGTTCCCAGTCTAGTTGCCGCTTTCTAGATTAGCTGTAGTTTCCGAGTCACCTTCAAAGGTAGCCCCACGTAGAGCACATTGCAGTAGTCCAAGCAGGAAATAACCAGCACATAAACCACTCTGGTGAGACAGTGCACAGGCAGGCAGGATCACAGCCTGCATACCAAATGAAGCTGGTAGACAGCTGCCCTTGACACAGAATTAACCTGCACCTCCATGGACAGCTGTGAGTCCAAAATGCCCCCCAGACTGGTCCTTCAGGGACACAGTTACCCCATTCAGGACCAGGGAGTCCCTCACACCCGCCTGCCCTCTGTCCCCCAGAAACAGTACTTCTGTCTTGTCAGGATTCAACCTCAATCTGTTAGCTGCCATCCATCCTCCAACCGCCTCCAGACACTCACACAGGACCTTCACCGCCTTCACTGGTTCTGATTTAAACGAGAGGTAGAGCTGGGTATCCTCATACCTTTGATGAAAGTTGGTGTTCCCATGGCTAACTTCCTGGGGAGTGACACTTACTGTTATCTTACCCTTTCCACAGCAAACATTAAGGAGAATGTGTTACCTTACCATCAAAGAGATGGCCAACATTTCGGAGGATGTCATCATTGTCACTAGCAGGTACTGATGTTCTTGTTTCAGTGAATGGTGACTCTCGAGGTTTTCCCCGGGCATTTGGTTGGGTGTGGAGAATCTGGCTCCAGTCAGTAAGACTTAAGTCCCTCCTATCATGTTATGGTGTGAACTCTGTTGTGCCACCTCTAACCACTGTTTCACACACCATGCGAAAGCAGACTTGCCTTTGCCACTGAGTGCCCCTTGTGTTTGCTTCCTGATGAGTTGACTGACTGGTACAATATACGCCAGATGCAGTCCCTCCAGACATTGAGGAACTCCAAATCCCATCAGCCCCACCTAGCGTGGCCAGAGATAATGGGAGTTGCACTACAAGAACAACTGGAATGGTGCAGGTTTCACTTCCCTGATATTTGCAATTGCATCTTGGTCAAATGTAGACTTTACACATTTACATGTGCACTTACAGCCTCAGGGGTGTATCTAAAAATATAGGTGAACATAAGCTGCTGTAGGGGTAGGAAGTGTCTCACATTTCAACTGACCTGCTAGTGCCAGGCAAAAGTGTGGTTGCCCCATTTTGTACCAATTGAAGCCTCCAGGCTGTCTTCAGGGGCTGCCCCAGAATTGAAGCCAAGTCCACCTGTTTTCTGCAAAAGGTCTGTGTTAACAGAAGCTTGCCTTAACTCTTCTAGCCTGACCAAAGACATGACTGGGAAAGAGGATGTGTACCGAGGCCCTGCCATCAGAGCCCTCTGTAGAATCACGGATGTAAGTATCAAATTCTTCAGCCATGAATGGGGTCTTGCTGTACCCATTTTTAATGCCAGGTGTTCTCTCTCTAACGTGCCTGGAATGATTTCTCCTGATCCCTGTCCTCCAAGCCATTTCCCCCCCAGTGACCACATGTGCTCACTGTAACCATTTGTTTAAGTTTAGTGCTGTCTGTTTTCCAGCAAGAGTTGAATAATAATGTGATGATTACCATTATCCTGATGGTAACCTGGTCATCTGAGCTTTCATTGGCTGTTCCGTTCCCCCTACAGCTGTGTACAGACAGTAACAGGAGAGAGCAGTTGCTCATGTAGAGCTCAGTCAGTTTTATGAATGGGATACTAATGGGTTTTCTCACCCACACAAATATCTGTACATACTAAGCTTGGCACATTAGCCTGTGTTGCCTACTCAACGTAGTACCACAATTTTGCTTTTTAAGGAATGTTTTTCCTAAACGTTAAAACTTATTAAAACCAGCCAGATGGGTGGGGTACAAATAATAAGTTGTTGCTGTTACCACCACCTGGTGTTATTTTTAAACAATAAATGGTAAGTAAAAGTTAGGGGGTGTTTCAGGAAGAATAGTGGGAGGCTGTGAAAAGAGCGATGGAAGAAAGTGCAGAGTCCAGAATCTTGACCTGCTGAACGCTGGAGCTCTTTGCAGACACTGTTTCCGTGCATGAGGTCTAGAAGCTTTTATTTTAAAACGGAAAGTGAGCTAGTTAGGAATCGATACCAGGTATCAGGTTCTGCCTGAACTTGGAGAACAGAAGCAATCCCAAGAAGATAACATTCTCTGTGTTGGTATCTCTGGCGTCTCCGTGAGTTGGTACCTCTTGTTCTCTCTCTCTCTGGATTCCCAGGGCACCATGCTGCAGGCCATTGAGAGATACATGAAGCAAGCCATTGTGGACAAAGTCCCCAGCGTCTCCAGTTCAGCGCTGGTGTCCTCCTTAGTAAGTGAAGGAATCTCTTTGCTGTCATCCGATTACATTCAGGGACTGGGCAGACCCGAGCAGCTCCGACTTGTCGATATCTTGGCGGCCAGGCCACCACCTGCATCTTTCTTTATTGGCTTGGCCATGTTGCACACTGTCTTTTGCTTTCTGGGTCCTTCTTGCCCTGTCCAATTTTGTAGCAAAGTGCTTTGCTGGGAACCACTGACATTCTCGTTGCCTGGCTGGGGTTCCTGCCACCGCCCTCCTCCCTTGCTCCGGCAGTAATTCCAATTCTCCCTTGCTGCCCCAGCTTTGCAGGATTTTAAAATACGAGAAATAATAATAAGAATAATAATAATTGATTATTTATACCCCGCCCATCTGGCTGAGTTTTCCCAGCCACTCTGGGCGGCTTCCAATCAAGTGTTAAAAACAATGCAGTATTAAATATTAAAAACTTCCTTAAACAGGGCTGCCTTCAGATGTCTTTTAAAAAGAAGATAGCTGCTTATTTCCTTCACATCTGAAGGGAGGGCGTTCCACAGGGCGGGCGCCACTACCACGAAGGCCCTCTGTCTGGTTCCCTGTAACCTCAATTCTCGCAATGAGGGAACCGCCAGAAGGCCCTCGGTGCTGGATCTCAGTGTCCGGGCTGATTGATGGGGGTGGAGACGCTCCTTCAGGTATACTGGAACGAGGCCGTTTAGGGCTTTCAACATCAGCACCAACACTTTGAATTGTGCCCGGAAACGTACTGGGAGCCAATGCAGATCTTTCAGGACCGGTGTTATGTGGTCCCGGCGGCCACTCCCAGTCCCCAGTCTAGCTGCCGCATTCTGGATTAATTGCAGTTTCCGGGTCACCTTCAAAGGTAGCCCCACGTAAAGCGCATTGCAGTAGTCCAAGCAGGAGATAACTAGAGCTTGCACCACTCTGCAAGACAGTCCGCAGGCAGGTAGGGTCTCAGCTTGCGTACCAGATGGAGCTGGTAGACAGCCGCCCTGGACACAGAATTAAGCAAACCCCAAAAGAAAACATTGCCAACTAGTTGCTAAACCTCCTTCTCTACAGTATACATACGAAACTGCCTTATGCTGAGTCAGGCCCTTGGTCCATCTAGCTCAGTTCTTCCTACACTGACTGGCAGCACCTCTCCAAGGTTTCAGGCGGAAGACCTTCCCAGGCCTACCTGGAGATGCCAGGAATTGAACCTGGCACCTTCTGCATCCAAAGCAGATGCTCTATTGCTGAGCTACAGCTCTGGCATTCCCTAATACTGGGTTTGCTAGAGTGATGCCTAGAATAGCCCTGGTGTCTGTGAAGCCTCTGAACGGGCCCCATATTATTACAGTCATACCTCATGTTACGTTTGCTTCATGTTACATTCTTTAAGGTTACGTCCCGCAGCAACCCGGAAGTACTGGAAAGGGTTACTTCCGGGTTTTGCCGCTCGCGCATGCGCAGACGTGCAAAATGACATCATGCGCAGAAGCGGCGATTCGCAACCCGCACATGTGCAGACGCACCGCTGCGGGTTGCGCTCTTTTCATGTTGCGAACAGGCCTCCGGAACGGATCCCGTTCGCAACCAAAGGTACCACTGTATTAATAATAATTTTATTATTTATACCCTGCCCATATGGCTGGGTTGCACCAGCCACTCTGGGCGGCTTCCAACATATATAAAAACATAATTTAAAAACTTTCCAGTACAGGGCTGCCTTCAGCTGTCTTCTAAAAGTTGTGTAGTTCTTTATCTCCTTGACATCTGATGGGAGGATGCCACTGCTGAGAAGGCTCTCTGCCTCTCCACCCTCCCCATAAAGTTGAAAAGGGAACTTGGAAGAGGGACGATTTCCTCCACTTCCTCTTTCAGCTCTATGTGCTTTTTGAAGGTTGGGTGCACCCCCTGCTTTTGGGACGGCAGCAGGCAAGTGACCTGCTCCAGAAAAGCCTTCCTATAGTGTAATCATTGTCCTTCTGATCTCTTCAGCCACAGTAATATGCTACTGGGTTTAAACTACCTGCAGGTGGTGCTGTGGGTTAAACCACAGAGCTTAGGGCTTGCTGATCAGAAAGTCGGCGGTTCGAATCCCTGCGACGGGGTGAGCTCCCGTTGCTCGGTCCCAGCTCCTACCAACCTAGCAGTTCGAAAGCACGCCAGTGCAGGTAGATAAATAGGTACTGCTCTGGCGGGAAGCTAAACGGTGTTTCCGTGCGCTGCTCTGGTTCGCCAGAAGCAGCTTAGTCATGCTGGCTACATGACCCCGAAGCTGTACGCCGGCTCCCTCGGCCAATAAAGCGAGATGAGCGCAGCAATCCCAGAGTCGTCTGCGACTGGACCTAATGGTCAGGGGTCTCTTTACCTTTACCTTTAAACTTGGTTGGTAGACGTGCCAAGACAGGAGCAGGGCGAGTGTTATTGATTCTCTGCCATTATTTCCAGCACATGATGAAGATCAACTATGATGTGGTCAAACGGTGGATCAATGAAGCCCAGGAAGCTGCTTCCAGTGACAACATCATGGTGCAGGTACGATGCTCCCACCTTCCTTGACTACATGCTTTTAGCACTGCAGGTGGTTTGAATTGGCTTTGTGCAGTTGTAATACATGATGTGGTTAAATAACAGAAACACTTCCCCACCACGTCCAGAGGAGTCTTTGCGTTAGTCTGCTGCAGCAAGTACAGTCGTATCTTGGTTTTCGAACGCCTTGGTGCTCTGACGTTTTGGCTTCCGAACGCTGCAAACCCAGAAGTGACTGTTGCGGTTTGCGAACTATTTTTGGAAGCCAAAAATCCAGCAGGGCTTCCGATTGGCCTCAGGAGCTTCCTGCAGCCAATCAGAAGCCGCGTTTCGGTTTCCGAACATTTTGGATTCAAACGGACTTCCGCAACAGATTCCAAGGTATGACTGTATTCCTGCGGCACCTTAAAGATTATAACACATTTTATTATAGCTTTTGTGGATTGAGCCTATTTTTTTATTTAAGTACTTCAGAGTAGCTTCATTTGAAAAAGCAATCATATTTAGTTATATTTAGCACAACAGTAATCATGGATTTATTTGCCCTCCCCCAACTATTTCCCCCCTGACCTGCCAGTACCATGCCTTAGGGCTGCTCTACCACCTTCGGAAGAACGACCGCCTCGGTGTTTCCAAGATGCTGAATAAATTCACTAAATCTGGCTTGAAATCCCAGTTTGCATACTGCATGCTGATTCGGATCGCCAGCCGGCTGCTGAAAGAGTCTGAGGAGGGGTAAGTGTGTTTGTTTGTCAGGGCTTTTAGCAGAACATCCGTACTCAATTCCTGCAGCACCATAAAGGTGCAAATAGAGTCCATTTCAGACTTTCTCTCTATGGCTTCAAGGTCCTCAGGAGATATTGAAGCTGCTGGGTAATGTTGGGGTCAGGGCTGCATGTGAGATTGTAGCTGCAATTTCGGAGATCAGCAGCTTTCAATTCTGACAAATCCATAAAGGCAGTTTCCTTTCTCTCTGGCAGGCATGACAACCCACTGTTTGATTTCATTGAAAGCTGCCTGCGGAACAAACACGAGATGGTCATTTACGAGGCTGCCTCCGCCATCATCCATCTCCCAAACTGTACAGCCAGGGAACTGGCTCCGGCAGTCTCAGGTGAGCTTCAGGAAGGCATGACATTCGCCGAGAGCAGTTTCCCCCCATCCTGGTTCCCTTCAGATGTTTTGGACTACAACTCCCATCAACCTAGCAGGGGCTGATGGGAGTTGTAGTCCAAAACATTGGAAGATTGGGGGAGGCTGACATGGCAAGTATTTCCAAAGGGCAGAAATGGCTGCTGGCTATCAGGGGAGAACGAATCTCAAGTGTCTTTCAGCTTGCTCTCATCCACCTAAAGTTGGAAGGGGCTGAGATTGTTGTTCCTTCTGTCCTAGTGCTGGCTGCTCTGGCTTGCGCTCCTGTTCAGCAGTTGTCAGGGACTGGCCATGGGCGGTTCTCAACCTGTGGGTCCCCAGATGTTGTTGGACTACAACTCCCATCACCCCTGAGCTCTGGCCTTGCTAGCTAGGGGTGATGGGAGTTGTAGTTCAACAACATCTAGGGACCCACAGGTTGAGAAAGGCTGCCCTAGGACCTGGGCGCACAGAGCGGTAAAAGTTCCTGGGATTGTGCCCTCAAACGTGAATTCCTTTTCATTTCAGTGCTCCAGCTCTTCTGTAGCTCTCCCAAGCCTGTCCTGAGATACGCCGCAGTCAGGACCCTCAATAAGGTAAGTGTGGCGATCACACAGGGCCCCCAGACGTTTGACGGTCTATTGACCCTGTGCCACCACTGCGATAGCTTTCTTCGCTGCCACCACCCCACTTCTCACGGGGACACATGGAGTCCAGACAGTTGTTAACATTAACAGATAATCAAGTTTATTTTTAAAATGCAGGAACAAGCGTATGGTTTCAGTTTATTTTTCTCTTGTCAGTTTCTTAAACTTAGTTCCTAACAACTCCAAACTGATTATTCCAACTATCTATCTGACTCAACCTAACAATTCCTCTCACTCTCCCACAATACAACTCTACCAACCCACACCTAATCCTCCCTCTTCCTTCTCCAATTCCCAAACCTCAACTCTCTTTCAAAACCTCCCACTCTTAACTTTTACTCCCCCCTTGCATTCTCACTGGCCAGTCACATCACACCCATTTTAACCCTTTCGTTATGACCCATCCTAGGAGGCAAATGCCACAGTAACCATTTCCAAGGCACTTTGCACATCCTAGAGGACCTTGTCCAATACAGGTGGCTTGTCAGACTTCTCCAGTGGGTTTTTACTGTTTTCCTCCCCCTCCCTGCAAGATGAGAAGGGGGCTCCTGTTGGCGCAGTGGGCCTGTTTCTGGTCTTTGTGGGGTGGGCAGCAAATTCTTGACCCAGTAACCTCTAAGACAAGTCCTGGCTCATGCAGGCCAAAATACCATGTAAAATCCAGCAGTTTCAAAACAGCACACAGAGGTGTGCAGTTCTTAAGAATCAAGAGAAGCTGGTCTCAGCAGCGGGTGTCTCACCTTCCTATTCACTGGACCCCTGAACCGCTGCCGTACGATTCTTCCATTCTGTAAGTTGTTCTGGGTTGCCAACGTCCGACTGCCCTTCCAGGTGGCGATGAAGCACCCGTCGGCAGTAACCGCCTGCAATTTGGACCTGGAAAACCTGATCACGGATTCAAACCGCAGCATTGCCACCCTGGCCATCACCACCCTCCTGAAGACAGGGAGCGAAAGCAGCGTGGACAGGCTCATGAAGCAGATCTCGTCCTTTGTGTCCGAGATCTCGGACGAGTTTAAGGTGAGGCAATTTCCCGTCTGCCCTTCGGCCTGCAGTGTTCTTAGGCGGAAGGAGTTCCTAGCTGGCAGGGCGACCTTCGTCTCCCTGGAGTTGGGCAGCGGTCCTGGGCTAGGTGAGAGCAGGAATCAAAGCTTTTCAGAATCTACAATAAGAGAACACTTGTAGTTTGTGAGCCTAGCCAACATTCAGCATTAAACAAAACCAAGGATCATTTGGGAACCAGAATACAGTGGAACCTCGGAAGCCGAATGCCTGTAAACTCAAACATTTTGGCTCCCGAGCGATCAAAAACCGGAAGTGATTGTTGTGGTTTTCGAATGATTTTTGGAATCTGTATGTCTTTTGCGGCTTCCGATTGGCTGCGGGACGCTCCTGCAGCCAATCGGAAGCCGCGCCTTGGAAGCTGAACATTTTGGAAGTCAAATGGACTTCCGGAAGGGATTCCGTTCGACTTCCAAGGTACAACTGTATTGTTTTTGTTTTATGAAATCATTTATTTCCTGCCATTCAGCCCTCACAAGGCCAAAGTGGGGCAAAGTGGAATCAAGGCTGTCCATGGGCTGTAGAGATCTTTGCTGGAATGCAGGTACTGATGCCTTTCACTCAAACCTTGTGCTGCTCTTGCCTTAACAGGTGGTGGTGGTCCAAGCCATCAGTGCCCTGTGCCAGAAGTACCCGCGGAAACACAGCGTCATGATGACCTTCCTCTCCAACATGCTCCGGGATGATGTAGGTTGTGTTGCCTGCCTTGTGTCGGGCAACCGGCAAACCATATCGGCATCACGCTCATATTTTGGTGAAATACAGTTAATGTATCCAGTATATATTTTCATGCAAGCTAAAAGTTTGCTCTTGATGTGAAGTTGCCACAGTGTGACGTTGATCCAGCATTTCTTTATCATGTATCTTTTCCCAAAGAGGTCAGGTTGGAGGAACCTCACATCCTTGAGACCTCCTGCTTTTGGTATAAGCCTAGGACGGGAAGGTCGTGGTGGAGTTTAATAAGTAGGGCTTGTGGCCAGAGCAAACATACTAGCCTTTGAACAATCTGAAAATCAAGGATGTTCGTTTTAGTCCGTGTAAAGTTTCGTTTTTCCTGGTTATCTGTTACACTAGATTATCTGCTGCACAAGAACAAAGGAATTTAGATACTGTTTCACCACGGACAGCTAAAAGTCCAAGAAGCCTCTCTCTCTGTTCCTGCTTTGGGACTCATTTCTACGACGTAGAATCGGCCAAACAACACTTGACAAATTTTGGTCACCTCGTTGGTTTGGCACATGGACAAAAATGAAGTTTTTTTTAAAAAAACCCCGATGAATTTAGTTTTGCCTCCTAAATCTCATTCGTTTTTGTCATTCTTTTTTCTATCTGTTAGGGCAAGAATTTCTCTGCTCTTTTTGTTTGATTCTGCCTGAGGACCCTCTTGCCCCCTTGTTTCCGTAAAAAAAACAAACCCCATTGTGAACAGCAAGTTGCTCTTGCCCTTGCAGATGTGGGAAATCCCTAAGAGGGTGTCCATAAAGTGTGTTCCTCAGTTGATTAAGTGCATTTGGGAATAGGATCTAAGCAGGATGGATGGATGTCTGGGCTAGGCTGGTCTTCCAAGCCCCCTTTGACTCGTGCTTTTCCGCCCCCTCCGCAGGGTGGCTTTGAGTACAAGCGAGCCATCGTCGACTGCATCATCAGCATCATCGAGGAGAACCCGGAGAGCAAGGAATCTGGCTTGGCCCACCTCTGCGAGTTCATTGAAGACTGCGAGCACACGGTGCTGGCCACCAAGATCCTCCACCTGCTTGGCAAGGAAGGGCCCAGGACCCCCTCCCCTTCCAAGTACATCCGATTCATTTTCAACAGGGTGGTGCTGGAAAACGAAGCTGTGAGGGCCGGTGAGTTGGCAGGCTCCAGACCGGTCTTTGCTACGTAGCCAAAAACGGGAAGAGAGCAGGTCTTCCCGGGGGAGGCTGCCATGAATGGGGCCTTTGGGTCCACCTGGTGTCATCCCAGAGTTGAATACGTGCCCCAGATCCTTTAGCTTAGCAAGACTGTTTGTAGGAGGCCTAGTTGCTGCTGTGTAAAGATAAGCTTGGCTTTTTGTTGGGAAGGCTAAGGGAGCAAGATGCCAAGCTTCAATCACGAATTTTAAAGGTGAGGGGTTCTTGCTGTTGTTTATTAGATTCATATACAGTGGTACCTCGGGTTACAGACACTTCAGGTTACAGACTCTGCTAACCCAGAAATAGTACCTCGGGTTAAGAACTTTGCTTTAGGATGAGAACAGAAATCGTGCGGTGGCAGTGGGAGGCCCCATTAGCTAAAGTGCTGCTTCAGGTTAAGAACAGTTTCAGGTTAAGAACGGACCTCCGGAACTAATTAAGTTCTTAACCCGAGGTACCACTGTACCATCCTTCATCAAAAGATCTCAGGGCGGTTCACAAGATAAAAACACAATAAATAGTTGAAACAAAAGCAACAAAATGAAAGCGCCTAAAGATACGTAATGAAATGGCAGGTGAGCAGTCCTGGGGAGAGTATCCCGCAAACGGGGAGCCACTGCAGAAAAGGCCCTGTTCTCGTGTTGCCACCCTCCGGACCTCTCAAGGAGGAGGCACATGAAGAAGGGCCTCAGATGATGAACACAGAGTCCTGGTTGGTTTATATGAGGAAAGGCAGTCCTTGAGGTATTAAGTGTGCAAGCCTATGTGGAGAGACCGAAAGCAACCACAGGATAATAACTTACTGATCCAGGTAAGCATCAGCAAGAATTTGAGGAAGACGAAATCAGCAATGCTTCTGAATACCAGTTGCTGGAAACCACAGGAGGGGAAAATGCTCTTGTCCTCAAATCCTGCTTGCGGGTTTCCCCCAGGCATGTGGTTGGCCACTGTGAGAACAGGATGCTGGACTAGACGGGCCGCTGGCCTCATCCAGCAGCCAGGCTGTTCTTACGTTCCTATGCAAACTCCCAGTGCAGAGGCAATCTCCCTGGATTACTGGGTTCTTTGGGGTATTTGGCCACTGTGAGAAGAGGATGCGGGACTCGATGGGCCATTGGCCTGATCCAGCATGCTCTTCTTATGTTCTTATACACGTGAGAGAAGTCTTGGAGGCAGCCTGGTCCAAGCTTGCTTTAAATAAACAGGAATAGTGGGTGCTGCCAGAGTGGTGCATGCTCTGGTTATCTCCCACTTGGACTACTGCAGTGCGCTCTATGTGGGGCTACCATTGAAGGTGACCCAGAAACTGCAACTAATCCAGAATGCGGCAGCTAGACTGGTGACTGGGAGCAGCCGCCGAGACCACATAACACCGGTCTTGAAAGACCTGCAGTACGTTTCCGAGCACAATTCAAAGTGTTGGTGCTGACCTTTAAAGCCCTAAATGGCCTCGGCCCAGTATACCTGAAGGAGCGTCTCCACCCCCATTGTTCAGCCTGGACACTGAGGTCCAGCACCGAGGGCCTTCTGGCGGTTCCCTCCCAGCGAGAAGTGAGGTTACAGGGAACCAGGCAGAGGGCCTTCTCGGTGGTGGCACCCGCCCTGTGGAACACCCTCCCACCAGATGTCAAAGAGAAAAACAACTACCAGATTTTTAGAAGACATCTGAAGGCAGCCCTGTTCAGGGAAGCTTGTAATGTTTAATAGGTTATTGTATTTTAGTGTTCTGTTGGAAGCCGCCCAGAGTGGCTGGGGAAACCCAACCAGATGGGCGGGGTATTATTATTATTATTATTATTATTATTATTATTATTATTATTAACAACAACAACAATAATAATAAGATTATACTAAGTCTATCTAGCTCCATATTGTCTGCAGTGACTTGGCAGTGGCTTTTCAGCATTTTAGATGAGAGTCTCTACCTGCATGCCTTCTTCAGGAAAAGCAGATGGCCTCCTTCAGAGCTACGACCCTTCCCCACTTTTGCTTCCCTTTATCTACAGACTCTGTTTTCTTCTGCAGCTGCCGTCAGTGCATTGGCAAAGTTTGGGGCCCAGAATGAGAACCTCCTTCCCAGTGTCTTGGTGCTCTTGCAGAGGTGAGTTCAAAGCCAGGAGAGAGACTTTCAAAGCAGGTTCTTTCCTGTCCCTTGAGCGTTGGGCTCCGTTGTGGCATCTTGGAAACAGCCATATAAGGGGCTGTTTGCCCTTTTGGGCATCCATCAGGGCTGAGCTGAACGGCAGTAGAAAGCAGGCATCTTAATTCACCTTTAATTCACTTTTGATTTATTTATTTTTTTTAAAAAAACAAATCAGCTGCCATAAAGATAAATATAGCTTTGCTGTAATACTGCAAAACTATATCCAGCTCTAGGTGGAAATTCGAAAAGCTGGTAAGAAAAGGGAGGAGAAAACTCTTCCATGTATAAGTGTAGAAAAAGGGGGTGGGATTCTTGCCGGAAGTTTAGTAGGCTTAACTGTGGAGCTCCACCCCATCAGTGTTTTAGCCACACCCACTTAGCAAGCCACTCCCCCAGCCTTCACCACGCCCTTTTTTCAAAACTACAAAGTAGAAAAAGGGAGTTGAGCTCTTGACCACCAAAGCTTGCCTTCCCACTCTCTTAGAACCTGTGATGCAGTTGTGGTTCCTGAATTGGTAGGGGCTGGACTAGATGGGCTTTGGGGGTCCCTTCCAACTCTACAGTCCTATGACTCTTAACTAAGGAGCAGGGTTCTCAGGGCTCTGCATGTGGACCTGGGCCCCGGCCCCTCTCTCTTTTGGAAACAAGGACTACCTCAGCATCTGAGAACACACACTTAAAATAAAAAAATTCCTTCCAGTAGCACCTTAGAGACCAGCTAAGTTTGTTATTGGTATGAGCTTTCATGTGCATGCACACTTCTTCAGATACACTGAAACAGAAGTCACCAGACCCCTATGTATAGTGAGAAGGTGGGGAGGGGTATTACTCAGAAGGGTGCTGGGAATGGGTGATTGGCTGATAGGTGTGGTAAACCTGTTGACGACTGTTAACGACTGCAGTTGGTCTTACAGGAAAAAGCAAGGGGTGAGATGGCTAAAAATAGCTTTATCATGTATAATGAGATAAGAATCCAATGTCTCTATTCAGACCAGGTCTCTCCATGGTTTTAAGTTTGGTAAAAGTAAAGGAAAAGAGAGCCCTGACCATTAGGTCCAGTCGTGACCGACTCTGGGGTTGCGGCGCTCATCTTGCTTTATTGGCCAAGGGAGCCGGCGTACAGCTTCCAGGTCATGTGGCCAGCATGACTAAGCCGCTTCTGGCGAACCAGAGCAGCGCACGGAAACACCGTTTACCTTCCTGCTGGAGCGGTACCTATTTATCTACTTGCACTTTGACGTGCTTTCGAACTGCTAGGTTGGCAGGAGCAGGGACCGAGCAATGGGAGCTCACCCCATCGCAGGGATTCGAACCGCCGACCTTCTGATCGGCAAGTCCTAGGCTCTGTGGTTTAACCCACAGCGCCACCCTTATTACCCTTTAAGTTTGGTAATAAGTTGCAATTCAGCAGCTTCTCTTCCCAGTCTATTTCTGAAATTCTTTTGTAATAAGACAGCTGCTTTGAAATCTTGTATAGAATGTCCTGGGAGATCGAAGTGTTCTCCTACTGGTTTCTCCGTCTTGTGATTCCTGATGTCTGGTAGTGGCCATCCCCCCTTCAGCAGCCTTCAAGGGCTTTCTCTCCTCTTTTGCCATGCAGGTGCATGATGGACAGCGACGACGAGGTCCGCGACCGAGCAACCTTCTACCTGAACGTGCTGCAGCAGAGGCAGCTGGCTCTGAACGCTGCGTACATCTTTAACGGTTGGTGCCGGCTGGGAAGGGCGGAACTGCACCTGCGAGTCCTAAAAGAATGGGATGGGGGGAACAGGGGCCATTGGTTAAGAACTGGAGACCTTTGCAGGATATCCAGGGAATTGCCACACCTCTTGGAGCTGCTCTGGACAATGGATAAAGCTCTGGTGTTGGGTATTTATGTCTATTGGCCCTTCCCCACCCTTGATGCTCCTGCCAGCAAATTGGGCCTCTGAGCCCCACGTGAGCCTTACTTGAACACCTTTCACCCCTCCGTCTTTTCAGGCTTGACCGTCTCCATTCCCGGTATGGAAAAGGCCCTGCACCAGTACACCCTGGAGCCCACGGAGAAGCCTTTTGACATGAGGTCCGTGCCTCTGGCCACTGCCCCCACCTTTGAGCAGAAAGCAGGTAATGGGGCAAAAACAGGCTTAAGGGGGGAGGTCTTCTGCTCCAGATGTGGAACTCCACTGCCTTTTGTTGTTGTTGTTGTTTAATTGTTTAGTCGTGTCCGACTCTTCATGACCTAATGGACCAGAGCACGCCAGGCACTCCTGTCTTCCACTGCCTCCCGCAGTTTGGTCAAACTCATGCTGGTAGCTTCAAGAACACTGTCCAACCATCTCGTCCTCTGTCATCCCCTTCTCCTTGTGCCCTCCATCTTTCCCAACATCAGGGTCTTTTCCAGGGAGTCTTCTCTTCTCATGAGGTGGCCAACGGATTGGAGTCTCAGCTTCACGATCTGTCCTTCCAGTGAGCACTCAGGGCTGATTTCCTTCAGAATTGAGAGGTTTGATCTTCTTGCAGTCCATGGGACTCTCAAGAGTCTCCTCCAGCACCAGAATTCAAAAGCATCCATTCTTCGGCGATCAGCCTTCTTTATGGTCCAGCTCTCACTTCCATACATCACTACTGGGAAAACCATGGCTTTAACTATACAATGGTACACCCTGGGTTACAGACGCTTCAGGTTACAAACTCCGCTAACCACTGCCTTAACTGCGTGCAATGCCCACCTGGGTGCCAAGTAGCATGATGGGGACATCCTAGAACAGCATCCTTGAGAGATGCTGTGAGCTTTCCACATCTTGAGTGTTTATCGGGTGCACTGCCAAAAGTTTGGTATATGTAGATATATAATCTGACCACGGTTAATCTTGCGGAATACAGTGGTACCTCGGTTCTCGAACTCAATCCATTATGGAAGTCTGTTCAGCTTCCAAAACGTTCACAAACCAAGGCGCAGCTTCTGATTGGCTGATTGGCCCCAGAAACAATGCCGACAGTTGAAACGGATGTTCGGCTTCCGAAAAACACTGACTTCCAAGTTTGTGATGTTCAGGAGCTGATTTGTTCATCAACTAAGCCGTTTGGGAACCAAGGTACCACTGTAACGGTCTGTACAGGTTCTGATGATAATATTCTGTTCTGTTCTGTTCTGTTAAGTACTTATGTACTGCCTTTCAAGGCCAAGCCATCCCAAAGCAGCTTATGAAAGGTAGTTTTTTGTACAAATGGAGCTTCATGCACACAGCAAAGACTCTCTGTTGCAGCTCATCTCCAGGCAGGATGGAGGGTTGCCTAAGTAATAATAATAATAATAATAATACCTTTATTTTCATTGTACAACCTGTGTACAATGAAATTAAACGAACCTCCCTCTCCCCCCCCCAAACACTCAATCTCTTATCAAACAACACACCACCGCACAAGTGAATTTCACTGTTATTTTTCATTCAACAGCTATTTTTTAGCCTGTTGGCACGGCTGCTTCCTCCCCTCTTTATGGCCTCTGAAGTGGCAGACAGAAGCAGGAATGAGTCTGGAGGGCTCTCCACCAGAGCTGTATCCAGTCACAATGGATACATACAATATATTTTCCATTTTCTTTTGGAGAAAGCTATCCCGTGTTAAAACACCGTGTGTTTTAAGCAATTTTAACCCGATCCCTGCCTGGAGCCTGGAGCAGGCACAGTTTGGAACTTTGTACATGCCATGGGTCTTGGGTGGATTTTTTGCATGTTATGCCTGCAGTCGCCAGAGTGGCTCCCGGACATGAGCCTGCAAAAGGCCTTCCCTGGTGTGTAGTAAAATAAGCTGCAGTGTGTGTGATGCCCAGGACAATTTTTCGGGTCTGCAGTCATGCCCACGTGCTCACGCCTCTCCATTATGGATTTGTCTTGGGCATCTTGGCTGGAAATTTTAATGGCTGTTTCTCATTTCAGAGATTGCCCTGGTGGCCAACAAGCCCGAAAAAATGGCTCCTTCACGGCAGGACATATTCCAAGGTAATAAAAGACCCCAGAGCCGCACTCTTAAACCTTGGAGAGCTACAGAAGGTTGTGTTTTAACTGCATTTGCCATGGCAGTTTGCAAGGTGGCTGGAGGGAGAGAACATGTTGTCTCCCTGTAAGCTGAGTCTGTTTCTTCCCCTTTAGAACAACTGGCTGCCATTCCGGAGTTCAAGAATTTGGGCCCTCTCTTCAAGTCATCCGATCCAGTGCAGCTGACCGAGGCCGAGACGGAGTATTTTGTCCGCTGCATCAAGCACGTCTTCTCAAATCACATCGTCTTCCAGGTACAAGAAGCCTCAGCGTTGTTGGCAGAGGCCGCAGAGGATGTTAGGTGCAAGTTAAACCCCTTCCATTGCCACATGCCCTGGAAAGGAATTTTTGGTGGTGCTTTGTAGTCTCAACCTTCAGTAGGCCACTGTAGTAGGAGTGCTGAACTCTGATTCAGAAGACCTTCAGTCACTTCCTTGCTCAGCTTGAAGCTCTTTCTGGCAGGCTTTGGGCAGTCATGCGCTCTCACTGTAATGTACCTCACGGGGTTTTTAGGTAAAGGTAAAGGGGCCTGACCATTAGGTCCAGTCGTGACCGACTCTGGGGTTACGGCGCTCATCTCGCTTTACTGGCCGAGGGAGCCGGCGTACAGCTTCCGGGTCATGTGGCCAGCATGACTAAGCCGCTTCTGGCGAACCAGAGCAGCGCACGGAAACGCCATTTACCTTCCCACCGGAGCGGTACCTATTTATCTACTTGCACTTGGACGTGCTTTCGAACTGCTAGGTTGGCAGGAGCAGGGACCGAGCAACAGGAGCTCACCCCGTCGCGGGGATTCAAATCGCCGACCTTTTGATCGGCAAGCCCTAGGCTCTGTGGTTTAACCCACAGCGCCACCCGCATCCCCCACGGGGTTTTTAGGGGGATTTTAAAAATGATGTTAAGGGACGCAGGTTCGAAACCCCGCGACGCGGTGAGCTCCCGTTGCTCGGTCCCTGCTCCTGCCAACCTAGCAGTTCGAAAGCACGTCAAAGCGCAAGTAGATGAATAGGTACCGCTCCGGCGGGAAGGTAAACGGCGTTTCTGTGCGCTACTCTGGTTCGCCAGAAGCGGCTTAGTCATGCTGGCCACATGACCTGGAAGCTGTACGCCGGCTCCCTCGGCCAGTAAAGTGAGATGAGCGCCACAACCCCAGAGTCGGCCACGACTGGACCTGATGGTCAGGGGTCCCTTTACCTTTAAAAAATGATGTTACTTTTACGGAGGAAAACACGATTGGGCTTATGATGACAGTGAGGAAGCACTTCAGTCTGAGGTGACAAAAGATCCCCGACTCTGGTGTAGTTATTACAGAGGTCAGCAACCTTATCTGAGGATGGGACGGTCGAACGCTCTGTCGGTCAGAGGATGGGTCGGAGCATGTGTGCACCCGTGTGCTCTTCCGGGTCGGAGGAGCACCCATGTGCACACGCTATTTCCCGTGTTCCTCCGTCCTGGAAGTGCACCAGAAATAGCGTATGCGCATGGGCGCTTCTCCATCCCGTACAGATGCAAACACGCTATTTCCGGCGCACATCTGGGTCGGAGGAGCGCCCGTGCACATACGCACAGGTGCCATCAACCCAGAAGTCGGTCGCTGCACCGCACCAGTAAGAGCGGGCGGCAGGGGGCACCATGGGCCTGTTAGACAAGCCTTGTGGGGCTGCTACCAGCCCATGGGCCTTAGGCTGCTGACCCCTGAGGTTATCGCTTCATGCCTTTTGACCACTGTGTCCGCTGTGGAGAAGGGCCAGGGCTCTTCTGAATGCATTTTCCCAGCAGGGCTGAGACAGAACCCCTGCCCGAAATACTCAAAAGCAGCTGCCAGCCAGTGTATTTATTGATTTATAAATATATATATGTATATATATATATATATACCGCTGTATCATAAAATACCATATTTATTGCTCCATAAGACGCACTTTTTTTCTCCTAAAAAGTAAGGGGAAATGTGTGGGCGTCTTATCAAGCGAATGCAAGCTGCACAGCTATCGCTGAAGCCAGTACAGCGAGAGCGAGAGCTGTGTAGCACCTCTTGTTCTGCTGGCTTCCCAGCAAAGCGGGAGGAGGAACGGAAGGGAGCCGTTACGGAGCCCCTTCCGTCCCTCATCCCTCTTCGCTGAAGAGGCGCTGCGCAGCAATCGCTGAAGCCAGCACAGCAAGAGTGTGAGCTGCGCAGTGCCTCTTGTTCTGCTGGCTTCAGCGATAGCTGCGCAGCTTGCTCTGGCTTTTCAGGGAGGTGGGAGAAATGATGGAGGGCAGGGAGGTGGGAGGTGGGAGTCAGTCCCTTCTCCCACCTCCCGGAAAAGCCAGCAAGAGCCACTCTATCTTTAAAGAGCCACCCAAGCGAGCGTGTCTGCGACTCTTGCTGGCTTTTCTTGTTTTCCTCCTCTAAAAACTAGGTGCGTCTTATGGTCAGGTGCATTTTATAGAGCGAAAAATACGGTGCATCTCACAGCAGTTTATAACAATATAAAAACGCAGGCAATAAAATCACAAAAAGTTAAACGCGAAATGAAATTAAAAGCAAACCTCAATAGACCATTGTGTATGTACTTTTATAGAACCCTAGAATTGTCGAGTTGGAAGGGATCCTAAGGGCCATCTAGTTCAACCCTCTTCCATGTAGGAATCTTAGTTGCCTGCGCAGGCCTGGCAGAACAGAAAAGTTTTCAGCAAGTGTTTAAAACATCTGTCTTCCCCAGATGTTTTGATCCACACTTCTGACAAGCCAGCCCTGTGGCCATGCTTGCTCGGGCTGAAACATCTGGCGGGCACCAGATTGGAGAAGGTTGGCGGCGTGTGCTTTGCGCGAGCCCTGGAGAAAGGGCAGCAGAAGAGAGATCCAGGCCACAAGCAACCCTCAGTTTGCTTCTCCCCTCTCTCTCTAGTTCGACTGCACAAACACCCTCAACGACCAGTTACTGGAGAAGGTGACGGTGCAGATGGAGCCTTCCGACGCCTACGATGTGCTCCGCTGCATCCCCGCCCCCATCCTCTCCTACAACCAGCCAGGAATGTGCTACACACTTGTCCGGCTGCCCCTGGACGACCCCACAGCAGGTAGGCTGCTTTTTCAGTTGACCAAATCCAAACAGAAGCTCTCTGGGAACAAAATATGTCGCCCTCTGGATATCAATTTCATGATGGATTTTTAAATGGTTCTTACTCTTTGCATGGTTTATTTTTAGTCTCTGGGTAATTTTATGAACATCACTTAGAAATGTTAATCATAAAGAAGAAACTTTTCATCACATGTGGTGGGAATGTTAGAAAGTAAAAAACTTCTGGGAAATGATATATAATGAGATGAAAAAGATGTTGAAATATACGTTTAGTAAGAAACCAGAAGCATTTTTACTTGACATTGTAGGGGAGGGTATCAACAGACAGGATTATAAATTGTTTTTATATGCAACAACAGCAGCAAGAATGTTACTGGCACAAAAAGGGAAGCAAGAAGAATTACAGATGAAAGAAGAATGGCAAATGAAATTAATGGACTATGCAGAATTAGATAAATTAACAGGAAGGATTCGGAACCTGCGGGATCAGAGATTCTTAGAGGACTGGAGTAAATATTTGAAAAGCAATTGTGATAAACAGATTATGCTAGTAGGACTGCAAGAAGTTCTGTAAGGAGGACTTTGTGAAATATTGCAAGGAAGACTTTGAAAAGAATTATTAGTTAAGGACAGTTAAAAGTAATAGAGAAATTAAGAAATGCAGAACAAGTGATAAAGAACGGAAAATCTTCAGAGGTTGTTGACGCAAGTCTAAAATATTATATAAGATAAGAAGTTATGTTAAATGATTGTTGGGAGATGTATGTGTGTGTGTATATATATATATATATATATATATATATATGTGTGTATGTGTGTGTGTGTTAATCATAGAATCATAGAGTTGGGAGGTACCCCGAGGTAGTCCAACCCCCTGCAATGCAGGAATTTCAACTAAAGCATCCAGGACAGATGGCCATCCAACCTCTGCTTAAAAGCCTCCAAGGAAGGAGAGTCCACAACAGGCATAGGCAAACTCGGCCCTCCAGATGTTTTGGGACTACAACTCCCATCATTCCTAGCTAACAGGACCAGTGTTCAGGGATGATGGGAGTTGTAGTCTCAAAACATCTGGAGGGGCTGTGTTTGCCTGTGCCTGGTCCACCACCTCCCGAGGAAATCTGTTCCAATGTCAAGTAGCACTTATTGTCAGAACGGTCTTCCTGATGCTGAGTCCGAATCTCCTTTCATGTAACTTGAAGCGGTATAATAATTAAGCAGTATAAAAATGCCTGAAATAAAGAATCACAAAGCGCCATTCTGGGTGTGTCCAGCACTAAAACTTCCACCAGGTCCATCTTGCAGGCTTCCCTCTGAGGCATCTGGCCGGCCACAGTGAGGGCAGGATGCTGGCCTGGACAGGCCAGTGGCCTGATCCTGTATGGCTGCTTGTGTGTTCTTAGATGATCCTGACGTGCAGCATATACTGGCTCTTGCTAGTAATGGTTTAGCCACCTTGTGGAGCAGCTGCCCTGAGTGCTTAAGGCACCCACTGGGCTTCCAGTGGTTTTAATAATAATAATAATAATAATAATAAAATAAAAAATTTTATTTATACTCTGCCCTCCCCAGCCAAGACCAGGCTCAGGGCGGCTAACACCAGGTATAAAAACAATTGATTAAAATACAACTTAAAAACAAGATTAAAATAAACGTTAAAATGCAGCCTCATTTCAGTAGAAACTCAAATCAAAAACTTTTGGGGTTGAAAACGTCAAATCTTCACCAAGGCTAACTATCCAGACTGGTCCTACGTGGGCCGGAAAAAAGCCAGGGAAGTCCCCAAATAGGAATTCCATGGCAGAAGGAGAAAGAAAAAAGGAAAGAGGGGATCCAGTTGATTCCAAGCCAAAGGCCAGGCGGAACAACTTTCTCCTCCCTTGTTTTCTCCTCCTTTGTGCCCATCGGTTTGCTTTTCAATACATGCAAGGCAAGTGGGAGATTTTTAAAGCAGAGCTTGGATGGCCGTCTGCCAGGGATTCTTCCACTGTGATTCCTGCGTTGCAGTGGGTTGGACTAGGTGGCCCTTGAGGGTCCCTTAAAAGGTAAAGGGACCCCTGACCATTAGGTCCAGTCGTGGCCGACTCTGGGGTTGCGGCGCTCATCTTGCTTTATTGGCTGAGGGAGCCGGCGTACAGCTTCCAGGTCATGTGGCCAGCATGACTAAGCCGCTTCTGGCGAACCAGAGCAGCGCACGGAAACGCCATTTACCTTCCCGCTGGAGCGGTACCTATTTATCTACTTGCACTTTGACGTGCTTTTGAACTGCTAGGTTGGCAGGAGCAGGGACCAAGCAACAGGAGCTCACCCCGTCGTGGGGATTCGAACCGCTGATCAGCAAGTCCTAGGCTCTGTGGTTTAACCCACAGCACAGCTCTGCAATTCTGTCATTCCAAGTGGCTGGTTGAAGGGATCAAAGCTCCTGGCGCCAAGGGCGCTTGTCGTAGTGTGAGCGACAAGCCCCGAATCAAACCTTGAGAGCCGTAGCTCCGTGTTTGGGTCCAGATCCATACGTCCGAGTTGCGACCTGGCATGCGGCCAGTTCCGCATGGAGTTGTCATAACGTTTAAACCAATTTCAAGGCTACCCCGCTCGGGATGTGCCTGGGTTTTAATTCCTCGGCTGTCTGTCATCGGCATTTGCCACTCGGAGGCTGGGCTGTTTTCCTTCCCGGCTTCTGGTTTTGCTCGGAGCAGGTCTCCCTCTTAACGTGGACTCCTTTCTCCCTCACCCCAGTCACCTGCACTTTTAGCTGCACTATGAAGTTCACTGTGCGAGACTGCGACCCTCACACTGGAGTGCCGGACGAGGACGGCTACGACGACGAATATGTGGTAAGCGAGCCCAGGACAAATGTTCTGTGGGCAGGGCTGAACAGGATGAGGAACAGGCTCATTCCACCCTGGAGATTTGCATAAAAATCTGTCTTTGATGCCCCCGACTGTTTTTAAAATAAGAAACACACACACAATAGTAGTCTGGGCTACCTACTGTTCACATTCTGTCAGAAATGGTTGTGGGGGAAACTTATTCGATAGACTCAAATCCTCAGCTAACTTCACAGACCTAACCAGGCTACTTTCTTCGAAGTCTGAGAGTTGTGGAAACTGGTTTCCCTCCTCCCACATGACCCATCCCGCAGTTTAAGATCCACTGGGAGGCCTTGCTTCAAATCGTCAGCTGTACCCCCGGAACACCTTCTAGTGAGATGTTCCTTTGTCTCCTTTGTTCCGTAAATAAGGAAAGACTTTTTCACCTATGGGAGATGAGCACACTTCATTGTGCTACTCATTTCCTGCTGTTCTTATCTATCTTAGCTGGAAGCATTTTATACTGATTTTTAAGTGTATAATTGCACGTTGCTTTCACTCAGCAGTGCAGAAAAGTGTATAAAAATCATCATCATTATTAGTGCTTTTTTTCTTAAAAAATGTTTAGGGGTACTCTCGTTTTACCTCAAGAAAATCACCATTTTATAGTTCAAATCGGGGAAAATATAGTAAATGGACAGAAATACAAAGATTCACGAAATGTTTAGGGGTATGTGTACCCCTGTGTCCCCCGCCCAGAAAAAAAGCACTGATGATGATGATGATGCCCTTCATCATAAGATCTTAGGCGGTTTGCAAAATAAGATACAAGATAAAAACACAAATAATTAAAACAGCAGAACAATAACCCCCATTTCCCCATTCAGCACTGTAGTTTGAGAGCACATTGGGATTTTATCTTTTCTATCGAAATCCTGTCATTCTGGATAACCTGCATCTGTGGCCATTGAACACATATGGAGGCCAGTGTCAAAGAGCTCTCTTTGGGCTCATCCCTTCCAGCCTTGTTCCCAACTTGTCCAGCCATTGTGTGGCTTCCTCGTTTCCAGAGGAAGCAGATTTCATGCCAGTGGTGGGAGAGGGGAGGAGGAACGCGTGGGGCAGGTGTGTAAGGAGCCCCTTCTTTGGCTACTTTAGGTTGCTGACACTAACCTTTCCCGCCCCAACCTGGCCACGGTGATTCATGCGACGGTCACCTCCAGGCTTGACTACTGTAATTCGCTCTATGCGGGGCTTCCCTTGAAACTGTCCCATAAACTCCAGCGGGTGCAGAATGCTGCAGCGAGGCTCCTCACAGGGTCTCTGCCATGGGAGCATATTCACCCAGTGCTTTTCAAGCTGCACTGGCTCCCGGTGGAGTATCGGGTCAGGTTCAAGGTGCTGGTCTTGACCTTTAAGGCCCTTTGTGGCTTAGGGCCCTCGTATCTACGGGACCACCTCTCCTGGTCTGCCCCGCAAAGGTCCATGAATAACCATAGTTTAGAGGTCCCAGGCCCTAAGGAAGTCAGACTATCCTCCACCAGGGCCAGGGCCTTTTCAGTGATGGCTCCAACCTGGTGGAATGCTCTGTCCCATGAGACCAGGGCCCTGCAGGATTTAACCTCCTTCCGTCAGGCCTGTAAGACAGAGCTATTCCGCCTGGCCTTAATTTGAATTCAGCCTGATCTTTTATTTCCCTTCCCTTCCCTCCCCCTCCCCTTTTATGAAGATCACCCGCTCTGAGACCCCACAGCTAATTCTCCCCTGGCCTCCTTGCTGGCCCAAGTAGGACCAATTCAGCCAGCTAGCCCTGGAGATTAATCCTTATTTCCCCTAAATTGATTTTTGAATTTTATTGTTATTCATGTTTTTATACTGTATTTTATGCTGCTTTTATAATTGTTAGCCGCCCTGATCCCGGTTTTTGAACCAGGAAGGGCAGGGTATAAAGAAAATTATTGTTATTATTATTATTATTCGGCCTGAAGGCTGCCAGCGGATCACACCGAGGCCAAGTGCTGCATCCATCTTTGCAACAGGCCGATGGGGGTGAGCATCTTGCATCTTGAGGGCGTTTCCCCACCCTGAGGACTAACCTCCTTTTCTCTGCCAGCTGGAAGACCTGGAGCTGACTCTCTCCGACCACCTCCAGAAGGTCTTGAAGCCCAACTTTGCAGCTGCCTGGGAGGAAGTCGGGGACGACTATGAGAAAGAAGAGACCTTTGCTCTCAGCACTATCAAAACCCTGGACGGTGAGATACGGCAGCTTTTTCCCAGACCTAAGATTGCATGTTGAAACCAATTTTAGAAAAAAACATTCCCAGGCTCCTGAGTGTCTTCTAAACAAGACAACTTTTTAGCTTCTGCTCCAAGAACAGGGTATATGGTCCTAGTATGTAAGATTCAAGAAAATGCAAGACTGTTCTTTTAGCTTAGAGAACAAGAAGGGTTATTCTTGATCAGGCTTCCTCAACCTTGGCCCTCCAGATGTTTTGAGACTACAGTGGTACCTCAGGTTACAAACGCTTCAGATTACAGACTCCACTAACCCAGAAGTAGTACCTTGGGTTAAGAACTTCAGGATGAGAACAGAAATCGTGCTCCGGCAGCAGCAGGAGGCCCCAATAGCTAAAGTGGTGCTTAAGGTTAAGAACAGTTTCAGGTTAAGAACGGACCTCCGGAACGAGTCAAGTTCTTAATGCAAGGTAAAGGTAAAGGGACCCCTGACCATTAGGTCCACTCGTGACCAACTCTGGGGTTGCGGTGCTCATCTCGCTTTATTGGCCAAGGGAGCCGGTGTACAGCTTCTGGGTCATGTGGCCAGCATGACTAAGCCACTTCTGGCGAACCAGAGCAGCGCACGGAAATGCTGTTTACCTTCCCGCCGGAGCGGTACCTATTTATCTACTTGCACTCTGATGTGCTTTCAAAGTGCTAGGTTGGCAGGAGCAGGGACCGAGCAACGGGAGCTCACCCCGTCGCAGGGATTCGAACCGCCGACCTTCTGATCAGCAAGCCCTAGGCTCTGTGGTATTAATCCACAGCGCCACCCGCGTCCCATTAACCCGAGGTACCACTGTACAATTCCCATCATCCTTGACCACTGGTCCTGCTAGCTAGGGATCGTGGGAGTTGTAGGCCAAAAACATCTGGAGGGCCGAGGTTGAGGAAGCCTGTTCTAGATCTCCAGTTGTCAGAAGCAACTCTGACTTCCCCACTTAACAAGATAGCTAGAGGCAAGAGGTCTAACTCAATGGCTGAGCACCTGTCTTGTATGAAAAAGATCCCTGGTTCAATCCCGTCTCTCCAGCCAGGGCTGGGTGATACCCTTGTCTGAAGTCCTGGAGAGCTGCTACCAGTCAGTATAGAGCAGGGTTTCCCAAACTTGGGTTTCCAGCTGTTTTTGGACTACAACTCCCATCATCCCTAGCGAGCAGGACCAGTGGCCAGGGATGATGGGAATTGTAGTCCAAAACAGCTGGAAACCCAAGTTTGGGAAATCCTGGTGTAGACAGTGGTGAGCTAGATGGACAGTTGCCTGACTCTTGTCTAAGATGGCTTCCTAGGATCCTGGGGTGACTAGCTGCTACTTTGAAAGATCCCCTTTGGATCTGACCACACAGCCGAGACAACGCAGGACTAACCCCAGGTCTTCTCAAAACCTCTGAATGCAGAAGCTGTCAGCAACATTGTGAAGTTCCTGGGCATGCAGCCATGCGAGAGATCTGACAAAGTGCCCGAGAACAAGAATTCGCACACGCTCTACCTGGCCGGTAAGAATCAGTCAGAGGGGACAGTTCAGTGGTGTCTGGGCAACCTGTGGCTGAAATGGTGTCACCCCAAGAGAATTAATGGCACTGGAGTTGTCCTGTCCCAAGAACAGCAGCAGGGACCTTCTGTGAAGCACTTCTCTCAGGAACAGCATTCATTCTCATCCAGCGATAGGCATCACTCAGCGTAGAGCTGGGAGTGGCTTTAAAAGCTGCTGCTCCTCTCTTGAGATCACTTCTGCCCAAATGCTTGTCTAGTTGGCACTGGCTCCCAGTGGAGTATCAGGTCAGGTTTAAGGTGCTGGTTTTGACCTTTAAAGCCCTTTGTGGCTGAGGGCCCTCATATTTATGGCACTGCCTCTCCTGGTATGCCCTGCAGAGGACCTTAAGGTCCATGAACAATCATAGTTTAGAGGTCCCAGGCCCTAAGGAAGTCAGACTATCCTCCACCTGGGCCAGGGCCTTCTCAGTGATGGCTCTGACCTGGTGGAATGCTCTGTCCCATGAGACCAGGGCCCTGCAGGATTTAACTTCCGCAGGGCCTGTAAGACAGAGCTATTCCGCCTGGCTTTCAATTTGAACTTAACCTGATTTTTTATTCCCCTTCCTTCCCTCCCCCTCCCCTTTTGATGAAGATTACCCGCTCTGGGATCCCACAGCTAATTCTCCCCTGGTCTCCTCGCTGGCCCAAATAGGACTAACTTAGCCAGCTGGCCCTGGTGATCATCCAATGTTTATTGGATGGATTTCCCCCCTAAATTGATTGATTTTTGAATTCTGAATTTATTGTTATTCACGTTTTATACTGTATTTTATGCTGTTTTTTGTTGCATCAATTAAGTGTTTTAAATTTGTTGTTAGCCGCCCTGAGCCCGGTTTCCTGAACCGGGAAGGGCGAGGTATAAATAAAAATGTACTACTATTATTATTATTATTATTGGCTGCTCTTTAAAGGCCTTCAGAAGCAACAGCCCAAGGGTTATATAACTAGTTAGCATAGCTATTAGAGAAGCGCTTTGTTAAGTATTTTTGGCTGTGGGTTGTGAGTCAATTGCCTTGGTTTTTGTAGGTGCAGAACAGATTTTCACCTTAAATGCAGAACCAGGTCTCAGAATCTGGCTGTAGTTACACAGTGCAGCATAGGAAACTGCCGTGTTCTCAGCAGCTGTCTAGAAGAAGTGTGCAACTTTTAAGAGTTGGCATCAGAATTTGCTTCTTTCCCCACACTTCCTTACTCCTTCTTTTAAAAAAGATAAGTCTGAGCTTATGGGCAGGGACTGTAAAGGAGATAAGGCATCTTTGGCCATCTCGATGTAACTAGACTCCCAAGCCCCACTGGCCTGGGGCGGATGTGAGGCCAGCCATGTCTGGAAAGCAAGATGTTCCCCATCCCTGCTCTGAATCGCCCCACAGCATCCCCTTCATTCCTTGCCTGGACGATTGCAACCTGTTAGCATTTCTGCAAGAAAGGATGTGAGCAGGCCTGAGCCGGTGCGGCCGAGTGCCACCGCAGTGACTCTCCTTGTCTGCCTCCAGGTGTGTACAGAGGCGGCTCGGATGTGCTGGTGAGGTCCAGACTCGCTCTGGGAGATGGCGTGACTATGCAGGTGACTGTCCGGAGCACAGAGGAAACTCCGGTGGACGTCATCTTGGCTTCCGTCGGTTAAGAGTCTCGGCAGCTCATTCTGGGAGCCAACTCACCCTCTTGCCACCTCCTGCCTCAAAGGCACTCCCGGGACCTCCAGTCCTGCATGCCTCTTTTGTTTTCCCTCCTCTCGGTCAGCAGTCTTCTGTGGTAACTGGGGGCCCGGCAGCCCATCCTGCCCTTTCTTCCACACAACCGGAGCTGGGCGTTCAGCCCCCTCACCCACAAACGCCCCCAGCTCCACCTCTACATTCCTGTAATAAATTATTCTCTTTCTGTGCTGCCCGTAGAGGCAGAAAAGCTGTTAGAAGATCCTTTTTTTAAAAAAGAAGAAAATCAACTTTTCTTGAATGGACTTTTATTAACAGAAAATAAACATGGGCTATCCCAACACTGTTGCATCTTTCCCCCCCACAACTTGTGCTGTTTAATAAAATACATTCTGTAGTAACTGTCTGCCAAATACTGTCGCGTTTCATGTGCCCCTTTCACAGAGCAGCTTGCAAGGGATGGTAAACCCCGGATTGCAAGGGCCTTTTGAGAGCTGCTTCAGATCTCAGCACTACCAGAAAGAAGGGAGTGGCAGGACAACTAGGCTTACTCTTGTCCCACTACCTTTTGCCCAGTGTGCTCAGAGCAGTATATCAGCTTCACACCAACCCTGTGATGTAGGACAGGCCAAGTGCAGATGGCCGTCTGCCATGCCTTTTATAGCTTGACAGATTTCTAGGTGGGTAAGGAAAAAGCTCCCCTCCCTTCTTGGCAGGGCACTGTAGATAACTAGTTTCCCACATGGTTGGTTCTGTGCGCAGGATGGTAAATTATATGCCTTGATAATTTCCCATTGCTGTAGTGCAGGGGGAGCCAGCGTGGCACTCCTGGAGCAGTTGGTACCTTTGCCATCTTCCCCTGGCATCCATGAAGCCTCTGAGCCCCACATCATGCCCCCTTGGTCATGGGCTGCTGACTTACTTCACCTTTAAAGTACACAGAGCTCAAAGATGAAGTTGGAAAAGGGGACATTTCTTTCAGCGCTCTGTACTTTTCAAGGTGCAGAGCAATTCTGATTATTCAGAATATCTTGTCCCTTTAGTCCAACACACATCTGTAAATTAGATCCAATTTCTTTCTAAAAATACAGAAGAACCTCTGCTCACAATGGCTGTGTTGGAGGGTTGCTGATAAGCAGATTGCTTTACACTCAGCGCCTCCTACCTTCCGTCCTTTGTATTGGGACGAGAGCCAGGTATCAGACGATCTGCGAGTGGAACTTCCCCCCCCCCGACCCGGGGGGTGGGGGTTGCAAGGACAATTACCCTCATTTGTCCTTGTTTATGGTCCGCAGTTGGTCTCCGCTAGTGTGGGATATGCCTCCATTGTGGCAGAAAGCACCGGAAGTCCTGACTTATACCCCTGGAGAACCAAAATATGTACAGGCATTTCCTCTTTCAGAGGGAGGAGGTCAAGAAGTGACCACAGGCAGTGGTGCCCATGGTCACTTGCTTCAAAATTCAAACCTGCTCCAGGGCCTGAAGAGGTTGGCAACCCCTTCTCTAGAGTCTCCTGGTGAGTTTCATAGGTAAACAATGGTTTGAAGCTACACTGGGCACGTCCAAGCTCAGTGCGTTACCCTCTGCCTTTAAGGCCCTTTGAATGAATTCTCCCTCTTGGCCCAGGTTCAAGTTGCTAGACTTGCTCTCCAAATGACGTTCTAGAGCTGCCTCCAGCGGTCTGGATTTCCTTTCAACTGGACCTTTTAGAGAAGGAGAACACATCTGAAGCAGAAATGCCAGTTCAAAGCCATCTGGGTTTGAAAAGCTGTTTCTTTCAGCTGCTGTGTTACTGCAACAACTTTGCAAATCTACCATGGAAGAGGATGGGAGCCTAGCGGACACCAAATATCAGTGGAAGAGTTTGGGATGGCCCATTAGCAACAGACCAGATCCTTTATGTGCCTCTCCCTACTTAATTTCTGCCCCCTTTTCTGTAAGAGATGACAGCACTATCAAACCATGACTACTCAGAAGTGAATCCTACTGAATTCAACATGGTAAGTGAGGTTAGGATTGCAGCTTTAGTTCTTGATTTTTCGCAACTTCAGAGCACTAAGCCTTCCTTTAACAATCCGTTTTCTGCCTGGCAACTCTGCATAGCAAATAAACTTAAAAATTGATTAATTTGGGTATCTTCCTGTGCAATATTCCCCCCCCCCTTAATGAACTAAAAACAGGATTCGTGGTCACCAAGTGGGCATGAGAATCGACACAGATTGCACATCAAGGATACCCAAGCCAGCGCTGCATTGAATAGAAATTGGCTGCTGCCGCCACACTTTGAGCAGGCAGGCTGAAGACGAAGCCTAAGCACTTCACCTCACCCCTTCTTCAGTCAGCCCACATGCATTTAATCAGTGACTTAACCGAAAAAAAGGAAAGTCCTTCACACAGCACATTTGTTAAACTATGGAGGTGGTAGTCGTCAACCTAGATGGCTTTAAGAGAACTGGACAAATTCATGGAGGACAGGGATATCGATGGCTCCTAGCCAGGATGGCGCTCCTGTACCACCTCAGTTGGACACCGATATGCTTTTAATAATAATACAGTGGTGCCCCGCAAGACGAATGCCTCGCAAGACGGAAAAACCGCTAGACGAAAGGGTTTTCCGTTTTGGAGTTGCTTCGCAGGACGAATTCCCCTATGGGCTTGCTTCGCAAGACGAAAATGTCTTGCGAGTCTGGAGATTTTTTTTTCGCTTTCCCCCCCCTTTATCTAATCTGCTAAGCCTTTAATAGCCTTTAATAGCCTTTTAGCAGCTAATCCCCTAAGCCTTTAAGCCTTTAATAGCCGCTAAACCGCTAATAGCGCTAATCCGTTAAGCCGTTAATAGGGTTGCTTCGCAAGACAAAAAAACCGCTAGACGAAGACTCTCGCGGAACGGATTAATTTCGTCTTGCGAGGCACCACTGTAATAATTTAGTATTTATACCCCGCCCATCTGGCTGGGCTTCCCCAGCCACTCTGGGTGGCTTCCAGCAGAATATTAAAATGCAATGATTCATCCAGTATTAAAAGCTTCCCTAAAGAGGGCTGCCTTCAGATGTCTTCTAAAAGTCTGGTGGTAGTTGTTCTCTTTAGGGCGCCACCACCAAGAAGGCCCTCTGCCTGGTTCCCTGTAACCTCACTTCTCGCAGGGAGGGAACTGCCAGAAGGCCCTCGGCGCTAGATCTCAGTGTCTGGGCTGGACGATGGGGGTGGAGATACTCCTTCAGATATACTGGATCGAGGCCGTTTAGGGCTTTAAAGGTCAGCACCAACACTTTGAATTGTGCTCGGAAACGTACTGGGAGCCAGTGTAGATCTTTCAAGACAGGTGTTATGTGGTCTCGGCAGCTGCTCCCGTCACCAGTCTAGCTGCTGCATTCTGGATTAATTGTAGTTTCCGGGTCACCTTCAAAGGTAGTCCCACATAGAGCGCATTGCAGTAGTCCAAGCAGGAGATAACCAGAGCATGCACCACTCTGGCGAGACAGTCTGCGGGCAGGGAGGGTCTCATCCTGTGTATCAGATGGAGCTGGTAGACAGCCGCCCTGGACACAGAACTGACCTGCGCCTCCATGGACAGCTGTGAGTCCAAAATGACTCCCAGGCTGCGCACCTGGTCCTTCAGGGGCACAGTTACCCCATTCAGGACCAGAGAGTCCTGAATACCTGTTTGAATACCAGTTGCTGGAAATCACAGGAAGGATAGTTGCTCGGGTGCTGCTCACAGGTTTCCCACAGGTTGGCCGCTGTGAGAAGAAGATACCGGACTAGATAGGCCATTGGCCTAATCTATCGGGCCCCTACGGTGTCCTAAACATTTCCCAGTGGAGCTTAAAGAATCCATCTCGCATGCCAAGCTTGAGACTATAGGGTGGAAGCAGGCCTCGGAGTCCCTCTTCCCTGCTATTAGCAAGAGGTCTTTTTCCATGTTGGACATGGAAAGGATCACGGGCAGTAGACCAGGAGCAACCCAGAATCCCCTATGTGACACACCCACACCCTGTGGACCATGAACAAAACAGTAGAACTATCCCTCACAAGAAGCCATATAAGATCACACCTCAAAGAATACTGTGGACCATATGTGGTGTTTGCCCTCCTCGGTGTGTGACATACAGTGGTACCTCGGGTTAAGAACTTAATTCGTTCTGGAGGTCTGTTCTTAACCTGAAACTGTTCTTAACCTGAAGCACCACTTTAGCTAATGGAGCCTCCTGCTGCCGCTGTGCTGCCGGAGCACGATTTCTGTTCTCATCCTGAAGCAAAGTTCTTAACCCGAGGTACTATTTCTGGGTTAGCGGAGTCTGTAACCTGAAGCGTATGTAACCCGAGGTACCACTGTACTGGGTTCACAAGGAAAGGGTTAACTAATTGTAAAATGACTAACCAATGGGAACTCAAGGGGCAGAGTTAACTGTGTATAAGGTTTTAAGCACAGAGTTTTTTGGGGCGAGGAGTTAGAGTTAGGGTGGTTGAGAAGACAGTCTGGAGTTAGAAGAGACAGAGGAGATAAGTCTGTGGGTTGGGCTAGCCTGGTGTGAGAGAGGGAGAGAATTTGTTAAGAGGAGTCAGTCAAACTGTTGAGAGAATCAGTCAGAAGGTATAGGCCAGTAAAGAAACTAAAGTTAAGATACTGACAGGAATATTATCTGAGAACCATAAACTTGTTAATGTTTGTAAAATAACCTTTTTTTGGTTCACTTTTAACAACTGTGTGATCACCACACCATAGTTTAAGGGCGATGTGAACATCTCTGCAAGGGGTGAACTACAGTTCCCAGAATACTTGGGAGGAAGTCATGTGCTTTAGATGCATGGCGTGGCTGTGACCGTAGGCACGATTCAGTCCACCCTTCCTCTCTGCCCGCCTCCCAGCAGGGAAGTAAACAAGCCGTGCAAGAAACAGGACCTCTCCCCCTTCCAGAACCCAGCGAACATCCCGGTCATCTTCAAAAGAAGACACGGATGCAGAGAAATTATGCACCTGTTTGTATGGCTCAGTCTAGCCCCTCGGCCCCATTCCTTCTCTCCTTAAGCAACAACACAGAGGAAGGACCAGCAGCTAAGCGTACAAGGAAATCTCCATGTCTCTCCATGCCAGCCACCAGTGACTAGCCCAGGAGTCTTATTGCTTCCGTCACCAAGGGAGAAACTGGTTTCCTGCTCTTTGTACGGAGGCAGAGAGCCCACGATTTAGCCCTCTTGAACGAAAGAACGCCTCTTGAGAGCGGAGAATCGGCTCTCCCGCTCTTCCTGCCCACGGCTCAGAAGGAGTTGATGAAGTTCAGGTAGGAATTCAGGAAGCCGAGAGGGTCCTCCAGCTGGGGGTAGTGGCTGATGTGGTCGTCTAGCACAGAAACCGTCGACATAGGGAGCACTTGCCTGTGGGGGAAGTAGCAAGAAAGAGCTCTTTAGAACACCCCGCAACTGCTACAGGGAACAAAGGAAGAAAGCGGAATTAAGCTTCTCTCCTGATCCGTATAAGGCAGCTTCCTAGGATGTCAAGCCGGGTTTAAAAAGTGTTTTCTTTTTTTGACGAGTTATCAAAAATGTATAGAACAAAGTACAAATACCTGCTGGAAATGTAAAGAGAAAGAAGGTACCGTTTATCATATGTGGTGGCCGTGTAAGGTAATAAAAGCTTTCTGGGAGATGATATATTATGAACTGAAAAAAATGTTTAAAACAGCATTTTTTTGTTTAAAAAAAGCAGGTTTTTTTATTAGAAATTTGTTTTAAAAAAGCAGGTTTTTTTATTAGAAATTGTAGGTACCGACATTCCAAAGGAGCAGAAAAGACTTTTTATGTATGCGACAAAAGCTGCACGGATGCTATTAGCCCAGAAATGGAAAGAAGAGTCCCTGCCAGGAAGGAATGGCAAAGGTGTTGGGCTACGCTAAAATGGCAAAGCTGACTGGGAAGCTCAGGAACCAAGAGGACAAAAACTTTAGAAAAGAATGGGGGAAATTTATAATTTACTTAGGAGACCACTGTAAGCAGGGATTCATTTGAGTGAAGAGGCATAGAAATATTAAAAAAGCAAATCAAACAAACAAGCTACGTTCTTAACAGGCAGGCAGGCATTCAACAGAGGCTGCTTTTCCCAGCAGGCAATGCAGGGGGAAGATGCACGTGTTGAACTTCTGCCTTATGTCCTGGTTAAAATGTAAAGAGGGCCTTGTTGAGAAAAGGCAGCAACCTCCAGTATGTATTTGGAAATCCTCACTAGTGCTCAAAGGCTTCGTTTTGTTTCAGACCAATAGCTTGATGAAATAGCCCCAGGGCATTACATGGTACAACTGTGGCCCCTCACAATAAGCTTACTTGTAGAGCTGAAGGAACTCTGGGTGTGGATTCACCGGGTCCAGAGGCCCATAAATCAGATGTACTGCAAGAGAGGAAGAACAGCATCTTTGTCAACTTCCAGGACACAGGCCACCCCACCAACCCAAAAGCAGGAGAATTAATCTTGGCTCTTCCGTACAGCCCAAGACACAATTGCAGCCTTTGCTGTTTCCTACTCACGGGGAACAGACGTGGATTGCAGAGCTCCTACCCAGCGGTTCCTGTGCTTTTTCCGTTGGTTGATGTACTGCAAAAGGCTGAAGAACAAAATTCATCCGTGGAGACCGATTCCAAGCACTTGGCAAGAGCCTCAGGTGGCTCAGAGGCAGCCGCTGTCCGTTTGGGGGAAGGTCTGAAACTCTAGTTGAGCACCTCCCTGGTTCAGTCCCCAAAGGGATCTCCACTTAGGGCTGGGGGGAAATGCCTCATCGAAATCCTAAAGGTTTTGTCAGTGCTGCGAATACTGAGCTGAACAGCCTGGCTTTGTGTAAAGCACTTTTCTAAGACAGAGCCATCTCTGTGATGAGCCCCAAAACCAGGCAGTTTTCAGCTGAGGTTCCATAAGGCTACGTCATAATTAGAGCTGGGCGATATATCGTCCAAAACCAGTTTGGAGTCCATATCCGTGATCACAGTGTGGGGGAACCCGTGAAGCCAGCCAAGGCTTCTCTCAATTCCTGCAATCCCTGTAAACTCTGCCTGCTCAGCTCTTGGGGGAACAAATCCCAAGAGAAGGTGCCAGCAATCATCACGTTGCAGGAAAAACCGTGGAACCATCCTTATGCCAGATATCATGATATATCGGTATATTGCTTAGCTGGTGATATATTGCAATGCTGAAAACCAGGTATCGCCCAGCCCTAGGCATAATCTCACCTTATACAAGTGAATAAAGACAATAAATAATAATAATAATAATAATAATAATAATAATAATTTATTATTTATACCCCGCCCCATCTGGCTGAGTCTCCCCAGCCACTCTGGGCGGCTTCCAATCAAGTGTTAAAAACAATACAGCATCAAATATTAAAAACTTTTAATATTTTATTAAATGGGTGTTTTGCAGGGTACGAACACTCAGATTTAGGGACGCGGGTGGCGCTGTGGTCTAAACCACAGAGCCTAGGACTTGCCGATCGGAAGGTCAGCGGTTCGAATCCCCGCGACGGGGTGAGCTCCCGTTGCTCGGTCCCTGCTCCTGCCAACCTAGCAGTTCGAAAGTACCTCAAAGTGCAAGTAGATAAATAGGTACCGCAACCCGAGCGTCCACTGTATAGTCCACCCCCCCCACAAGGTCTGAGGGGCAGTGGGCTGGCCCCCTGTGGAAAACGTTTGCTGACCCCTGGTTTAGATGATTGGCTTCCCCCAGTCTCAGGCATCCAACCTGACATGAAGGTACCAGATACAGTGGTGCCCCGCAAGACGAATGCCTCGCAAGACGGAAAACCCGCTAGACGAAAGGGTTTTCCGTTTTGGAGGTGCTTCGCAAAACGAATTTCCTATGTGCTTGCTTCGCAAGACGAAAATGTCTTGCGAGTTCCTGCGGGGTTTTTTCCCTTTCCCCCCCCCCTTTTTCCCAAGCCGCTAAACCGCTTATCAGCTGATGGCTAAGCCGCTTAACAGCTGATGCTAAGCCGCTTATCAGCTGATCGTTAAGCCGCTTATCAGCTTATCGTTAAGCCGCTTATCAGCTGATCGTTAAGCCGCTTATCAGCTTATCGTTAAGCCGCTTATCAGCTGATCGTTAAGCCGCTTATCAGTTTATCGTTAAGCCGCTTATCAGATGATCCACTAAGCCCGCTAAGCCGCTAATACTGTAGCACTAATCCGCTAAACAGCTAATGGGCTTGCTTCGCAAGACGAAAAAACCCGCAAGACGAAGAGACTCGCAGAACGGATTCTTTTCGTCTTGCGAGGCACCACTGTACTGAACCCTGCAAGCAAAGCACACCAAGCTAAGACTTTTCCCTTGAATGCAGAGCTGCCAACAGAAATCCCAGCAAGGAGCAGTGATCTTGGAGCGTCCAGCATGCGCAGCTTTGGAGCAGGCTAAGTGAGCATCCTGGGCAACTATGCTGGGGGGTGCCCCGTATTTCAGGGGTGGCGGGACTTGGGAAAACTCCTCAGCTGGCAGCAGGCTCTTCACCCGAACCTTGAGCTCAACGCTCCAGGTTGATTCAGGTGACGGTAACACTAACCCAGCAAGCTTGCTCATCCAACACAAAGCAGGAGCCCAGGCGCTGAAACAGGATAACCTCCTGCGAGGCCCTGAAAGGAAGATCGAGGAAGCTGATTCTCTGCCAGGTAAACATGAGACTCAGGATGCTTTAATTGCACCAGGAAGAATGGATCCTGCTTTCCCCAAGGTAAACAGGGCTCCACGTCGATTGCAAGGGGCAATATTGAGCCCCACCGCCGGCGCGGCAAGTGTTAAATTCTCTCGGTCTCCCAAGCGCCTTAACAAAAAGCTCTTTGCCAACCTGGTGCCCACAGGGGATGTAGTCCAAAACCTCTGGAGGCACCAGGTTGGCAAATGGTGACCTAAGGCAGCGGTGGCCATAATAATAATAATAATAATTTATTATTTACACCCCGCCCATCTGGCTGGGTTTCCCCAGCCACTCTAGGCGGCTTCCAACAAAACGCTAAAATACAATAACCTATTAAACATTAAAAGCTTCCCTAACTTGGTCCTCCAGCTGTTTTGGGACTACAATTCCCATCATCCCTGTTAGCTAGGGATGATGGGAGTTGTAGTCCAAAAACAGCTGGAGGGCCAAGTTTGGCAACCACAGACCTAAGCCTGCAACTTCCAAAGTCAACTCGCTGGGACTTAACCTCTGGGTAAGAGTGAGCTGTTAGCTGCAAAGGAAGAGCTTTTTCCTCCCGAAACCTACAAGCGATATACCGATATATCACAATTGTCTGGCATAAGGATGGCTCTACAGAACATACTGCCTCATAATGCAGGAATATCTAACGACAGAGCAGCATAAATGCCTCATCTCTGCAGGCGACGGGCGGTTTTGAAATACTCTCGAAATCTATCTCCAGTGTTAGGAGTTCCCCTTCATGTGGACGAGACTAATCGTGGGTCCAGCGGTCAAGAAGGCGAGTATTTGCACAATCAAGCTTTACTTTTACATCTCCCTTCTTTTCACACCCCTTTGCGCACTGTCTCTCTCTTAATGTAGAATATGGTAATTTGTTAAAAACTGAAATAAAAAATAGTAAAAAGGTAAAGGGACCCCTGACCATTAGGTCCAGTTGTGTCCGACTCTGGGGTTGTGGCGCTCATCTCGCTTTATTGGCCGAAGGAGCCGGCGTACAGCTTCTGGGTCATGTGGCCAGTAGGACTAAGCCGCTTCTGGCGAACCAGAGCAGCGCACGGAAACGCCATTTACCTTCCCGCCAGAGTGGTACCTATTTATCTACTTGCACTTTGACGTGCTTTCGAACTGCTAGGTTGGCAGGAGCAGGGACCGAGCAACGGGAGCTCACCCCGTCGCGGGGATTCGAACCGCCGACCTTCTGATCGGCAAGTCCTAGGCTCTGGTTTAACCCACAGCGCCACCCGCGTCCCTAAATAAAAAATAAACCGGCCCTATTTCAGAGACCGCAGCTGATTCATGGACTATAATGTCCACTCCTCGCTTACAGATTGCCTGGTTCCACAGCAGACCCCAAAAGCAACCCGGTGTCCACTATCGTTCTGTTTTTTCCATGGTGGCCTTACCTGTCAATCACAAGGTTGCCGTCGTTTGTTCGGACGGCTGTCCACATGTCCCAGTATTCAGCGTCTGAAGGCTGGGTATATGGGCCGAAGACAGTTGCAAGTCTGGAAGATTTGAAAGAAGAAGGGGGTGGACTATCAAGGAAGAAAATCTGCTCAAATTTAGATTGCACTAAACACCCTCCAGGTTTCCAAAACCGTACAGCATCCTTTGAAAAACAAGTACGTTCTCTTTCCCTCTTCTCATAAGGAATAATAGCATTTGAGACCTCCTGTTCTCAAAGGGCAAGAATTCAAGGATTCCGACGAAAGAAGAATGGCAGACAAAATGAATGGACTAGGCAGAATTGGATAAAATGACAGGAAGGATTCGAAACCTGTGGGGCCAGACGTTTACAGAAGATTGGAAGAAATATACAAACTATTTGAAGAGCAACTATAATCAACAAATTACGCTAGTAGGACTACAAGAAGTTTTGCAAGGAGAAATATATGAAATATTGCAAAGAAGAGAAAGAAGAGAGACATTATTTAAGTAATAGTGAAAGTAAGAAATGTAAATTAAGTGAAAAGATTGGAAAATTTTCAGATATGATTGATGGAAGTCGGAAAAAATTGTTTAAGCTATAAAAGTATGTTTAATAATTGATGAAAATGCTATGTTAAAAAACTATATATATATATGAATTCAAAGATTCAGAATACCAACTCACCCTCTGGCAAAGAAGAAGTAATTTGATAACCGGGTGATGATGGGTGAAAGCAGGCCGCCATCTTTGAGAATCTTTAAAGGAAAAGGAAAAATCAATCACTGTTTAATTGGTTGAGGACTACAAATCCAACAGCCCCAGAAAGCACAGTTTCGCTGGCTGCAAATTAAGTTTCTGGGCCCAATTCAATAGTTCTGGTTTTGGCCTATAAAGCCTTAAACGGCTCAGGACCGCAATACCGCAAGGACCGCCTCTTCCCATATAAACTGAGACAGACTCTGAGCTCATCATCTGAGGTCCTCCTTCAGGTCCCAGCCAGATGGGCAAGGTATAAATAAGAAATTATTATTATTATTATTATCATCATTATTATATGCACCCTCCATGAAGTCCAGAGGGCAGGAACACAAGAACGGGGCCTTTTCTGTGGTGGCTCCCCATTTGTGGAATTGGCTCTCCCCATGGAGGCTCGCCTGGAGCCTTCATTGCATATCTTTAGGTGCCAGGCAAAAATATCCCTCTCCTCCCAGGCCCTTGGTTAATTAAATGAACTTAATTAAGTTTAGTAAATAATGATAATGTTTCTGGAACACTCTACCCAGGGAGGTTTAACTGGCGCCTTCATTATACATCTTTAGGCTCTGGACAGAAACGTTCCACTTTAACTAGGCCTTTGGCAAATTAAATCTATGGCCTTTCCAAATGGGGGGCAGAATTGATTTTGTTGTTAGCCGCCCTGAGCCTGGCTTCAGCTGGGGAGGGCGGGATATAAATAAAATTTATTATTATTATTATTGTTTGTTTGTTGGTACGGTGTGTATTTTTGTGCTCTTATATTGTGAACCGCCCCGTGATCCTCGCATGAAGGGGAGTATAGAACCATCCCATTGTTCTGGAAATTTTTGCTTTGAGTTTCCTCTGAGTTTACTAGTCAATTGAGCCGTTTCCACCAATTCCTGTAATTTGATTTGCCAATCTGTTATTTTTGGAGACTCAAAAAATATAATAATAGTTTTGACTCCATGCTAGCATTCGAGTGATAAAGGAACTAAAAGGAGGTGGATAACAATTAAGGATTTATTATGTTTTCAGAATGTATTAGAAAAATTATATAGAAAGGTTTATTGTTTTGTGTACATTCAAATGTAAGATAAAACATATGCAAAGGGACTTGACAGGAAGTCAAAGTTGAAGAAAAATATTTACTTTCATTATTATCATTTTGTGTGCGGGTGTGCGGGTGTCTGCACATATGTGTGTTGTATGCAATGTTTGGGAGGAAATAAGACGGTAAATAACAAATAACAAACTAAGTATCGATGTATGCAATTTTTATTTCTTAATTATATTTTCTTAATTATATTTAGTGGTAGTATGGCTGTATTGTTTTTTTGTAACATAAAATCATTCAATAAAAATTATTTTTTAAAAAAATGAAGGGGAGTATAGAAATGTAATAAGTAAATAATGGAACAATTCTATTCATAGAAGCTCGGTGTTTTTCTGCAAGAGCAAAGGTGCTTACCGTTTGGATTAATCTGGGGTGGTGAGTTTCTGGGAAAATACCTGCAGGAAACAGGAGGGGAGAGTCGCTCTCGCACTCAAATTCTTGTTCTATTTTCTTTTTTTTTTATAATGCTTTTTATTGATTTTCAAAAACAAACCAAAATTAAATAAAACATAATTTTTTACATTCAACATTTTTGTATCTTCTTATTTACCCTGCGCACTTTCGCACCCGGACTTCCTTTCATTCCTGCTTCGGTTTTCATAATTTACATTCTCTCTCACAGATTCCTATTTACACTCTATCCACATCACAAGATTTATATTAGCCCTGCTGCAGTTTTTAGACTTCTACAGTTATTCTGTATCTACACAACAAATTTACTCCACTCCTCTTCAAACTTTGTTACTTTTTGGTATTGAATTATCTAAGGCATTTTCGCCAATTCTATATATTCAAACAATTTCGTCTGCTACTCCATTACAGTTTGGAATCTCCTGGGTTTTCCATTTTTGGGCCACAAGAATCCTGGCGGCAGTCGTGGCGTACAAGAATAATTTACAATCTTCTTTTCTTAATTCATCTCCTATTATCCCTAGTAAAAAAGCCTCTGGTTTCTTTGGGAAGGTATATTTAAAGAGATTTTTCATTTTGTTATATATCATGTCCACCACATGTGAACGAATTCTCCATCCTTTAGTTTACACTTGTTCTATTTTCAATGTATATTCTACCTGTAATAGCCTAATTTCCTTTTTAATTTTTTCATTATTTGGTTGTTGAATCAATTCATTTTCCTTTTTCTTTATTTCGTCCAGCAGTCCCATTTTCTCCTTATCACTCTCCTTTCTTTGTAAGGCATTTTGTTTTATAAAGTTTCCCCCTGACATCCGGTTGGAGGCTGGACCAGATGGGCCATTGGGCTTGATCCAGCAACCTCTTCTTATGCACAAATTCTTTATGCCATGAAAGCAACTTTTACCCACAAACCTACTGCTGGTCACATTTAGGATCTCAGCAGAAACTCAAGCCCAAGGCTTCAAGTAGTACCTTGGTTCTCAAACTTAATCCGTTCTGGAAGTCCGTTCCAAAACCAAAGCGTTCCAAAACCAAGGCGCACTTCCCCATAGAAAGTAATGCAAAACGGATTAATCCGTTCCAAACATTTAAAATCAACCCCCTAAAACAGCAATTTAACATGGACTTTACTATCTAACAAGACCATTAATCCATAAAATGAAAGCAACAAACGATGTACTGCAGTCACACAATCAATCCGTCAGGAGCTGAACTGGGTTCCACACAAAACGAGCCACAAAAATGCAAAATAAATAGCAAAAACAGACAGACCTCAGCGTAACACACAAAACGGAGCACGTTCAGCTTCCGAAAACAGTTCATAAACCGGAACACTTACCGTATTTTTTGCACCATTACAAAAAAAGTACAGTGGTGCCTCGCAAGACGAAAAGAATCCGTTCCGCGAGTCTCTTCGTCTTGCGGGTTTTTTCGTCTTGCGAAGCAAGCCCATTAGCGGTTTAGCGGATTAGCGCTACAGTATTAGCGGCTTAGCGGATCAGCTGATAAGCAGCTTAGCGATCAGCTGTTAAGCGGCTTAGCCGATCAGCTGATAAGCGGTTTAGCGGCTTGGGAAAAAGGGGGGGGAAAGGAAAAAAACCCCGCAGGAACTCGCAAGACATTTTCGTCTTGCGAAGCAAGCACATAGGAAATTCGTTTTGCGAAGCACCTCCAAAACGGAAAACCCTTTTGTCTAGCGGGTTTTCCGTCTTGCAAGGCATTCGTCTTGCGGGGCACCACTGTAAGGGGAAATGTCTGTGCGTCTTATGGAGCGTATGCGTGGTCCCTGGAGCCGAATTGCCCAGGGGCAAAAAGCAGATCGTGCTTTTTTTTTTTTTAGAAAGAGGAAAGGGGGTGTTGAAACGAAGCCGCTGATCGTTTGCCGATCGGGAACGAGATAAGGGACGCTAGCAATAAAGGAGGCTGCCTGGAAGGGGGGAGGTAAAAGCTCATGGATCCTCAGGATTTTTGCATTGGGTCACCCCAAATTCACCATCAGATGACATAGCATGTCCATGGCTACAGACTGCACCAAAAAAATCACACACCCACTGTTGCGTGGCACAAAAACCTGGTTACAAAGCACGGATCCACATGGATCCTCAGGATTTTTGCATTGGGCTACCCCAAACTCACGGTCAAATCACATGTCTGTGGCCACAGCATGAACCACAAAAATCATACATCCACTGTTTCGTTCAAAATATTTTTTTTCTTGTTTTCCTCCTCTAAAAACTAGGTGTGTCTTATGGTCAGGTGCGTCTTATGGAGCGAAACATACGGTACTTCCGGGTTTGCAATGTTTGGGTTCTAAGTTGTTTGAGTGCCAAGGCGTTTGAGAACCAGGGTACTGTAATCACAATAAGAATATGGAGGACGTTCTTTGCAATGAAAGCCTTACCTCCATTTGACAGGCACAGGCTGTTGATGAGGACACTTCCCGTCGTATTGTGCTCATACCTGAGGACAAAGAAGAGGCTAAGGCGGAGCGGAGTCAGGGCAGAGCCACACCTCTTCTTGTGACAGTGCGGTGCAATGGTTAGAGCGCTGGACTAGGGCCTGGGGTTCAAACCTCTGCTCACTGGGTGGCCTTGGGGCAGTCACCACCTCTCAGCCTAACCTCACAAGGTTGTTGTGAGGACTGACTGGAGAAAAAGGTGGACTAGAATGCAATAAGTAACAAGACACTTTCAGGCAAGCCCTCAAAGGTATTATTTCACAGATGCCTCTGTAGGAACAGCTTACTACTACTACTACTAATAATAATAATAATAATAATAATTTATTATTTATACCCCACCCATCTGGCTGAGTTTCCCCAACCACTCTGGGCGGCTCCCAATCGAGTGTTAAAAACAATACAGCATTAAATATTAAAAACTTCCCTAGACAGGGCTGCCTTCAGTTGTCTTTATTTCCTTCACATCCGAAGGGAGGGCATTCCACAGGGCGGGGGCCACTACCGAGAAGGCCCTCTGCCTGGTTCCCTGTAACCTCACTTCTCGCAATGAGGGAACCGCCAAAAGGCCCTCGGCGCTGGATCTCAGTGTCCAGGCTGAATGATGGAGGTGGAGACGCTCCTTCAGGTATACTGGGCTGAGGGCGTTTAGAGCTTTAACGGTCAGCACCAACACTTTGAATTGTGCTAGGAAACGTACTGGGAGCCAATGCAGGTCTTTCAGGACCGGTGTTATGTGGTCTTGGAGGCCGCTCCCAGTCACCAGTCTAGCTGCCGCATTCTGGATTAATTGTAGTTTCCAGGTCACCTTCAAAGATAGCCCCACGTAGAGCGCATTGCAGTAGTCCAAGCGGGAGATAACTAGAGCATGCACCACTCTGGCAAGACAGTCTGCGGGCAGGGAGGGTCTCATCCTGCGTACCAGATGGAGCTGGTAGACAGCTGCCCTGGACACAGAACTGACCTGTGCCTCCATGGACAGATGTGTGTCCCAAATGACTCCCAGGCTGCATACCTGGTCCCTCAGGGGCACAGTTGCCCCATTCAGGGCCAGGGAGTTCTCCACACCTGCCCGCCTCCTGTCTCCCAAGAGCAGTACTTCTGTCTTGTCAGGATTCAACCTCAATAGTGGGCTGTAAATAGTGGGCTGATCTCTGCACCTGGGGGCAGGTTCCAACGTCGCCGACAACTCCACCCCAAACCACAAGCCTCTTCTTTGCAAACAGCTACATCAGACGGGTGCAGGGAAGACCGCTAAAACTGTGTGGGTTCATTTTCTAATGCTAATAATGTGAATGTTTATTTAAATCCTGCCATCAAGTCTATTGGCATTTCTTTGTTTCTGCAAATATAACATGCTTCAGATTTCTGCAAATATAATCTGCTTTAAATGTTTAGAAGATAGTGAAATATGATGGTGTAATTACTGTTACTTTTATGTTTTGGGGCTTAATGCTATGTTATTAATAACTTTTTCTGTTGAGAGATAGCAAAATGGGTGAAAATAGAAACAAACCAGAAATGGAAGTTGGGGGAAGCCTAGGAGGGGAGGGAGGGAGGAATATATAGTAAATGTTAAGGATTTGAGATGTGTGTAATGAAGGAAAAAGAAAAACGGATAAAAAATTAAATAAAAATAAAACTGGGTGGGTGAAGAGAAAAGTTAATGTTATGAAAAGTTAACGTCTTTATGCCACACCTTTCTCCCCAGGAATTCCAAGGCGGCTCGTGGCATTTAAGAATGACGACACAAAATACGAAAACAAACTCGTTAGAAACAGTAATTATAATACATCCAAACACATTCAGAACCAGCAATTAAGAGTTTGCCCTGGTGGCGGCCCAGCGGTCAGAACCACGCCTGAGCGCAAGTTTCCTAGGAAGGTATTTGCCCGTCGGCAGATGGAGGGAACCAGTCTATCCACTCTGGGGTAGAAATGAATTCTGAAAGCGGCTCGGGGAGCCTCAAAGGGCAGCCATATACCGTATTTTTCGCTCTATAACTCACTTCTTCCCTCCTAAAAAGTAAGGGGAAATGTGTGTGCGTCTTATGGAGCGAATGCAGGCTGCGCAGCTATCGCTGAAGCCAGGAGAGCGAGAGGGATCGGTGCGCAGCGATCCATCTTGCTGTTTTAACTTTGCTTCGCTGGAGAGGCGCTGCGCAGCTTCCCCTCTCTGCGCAGCGCCCCTTTAGCGAAGCGGGAGGAGAAATGGAAGGGGCTCCGTTTCTCCTGCTGGTTCGCTGAAGGGGCACTGCGCAGAGAGGGAGAGAATATTTTTTTTCTTGTTCTCCTCTAAAACTAGGTGCGTCTTATGGTCGGGTGCGTCTTATAGAGCAAAAATACGGTGAATGCAAGGAAATAACGAAGCAAGCTGTTAAAGGGCGCCGGTGAAAACGTAGAAGCGTTGCGGCTTCCACTCACCTGTGGAGAAGCTCCTGCGCAACGGTGTCCCCGTAGTCATGCGAGAGGAGGTTGACCCGCTGGTTCAAAAGGCCCAAGTGTTCCAGAAGCCCTTCCACGATGCTGGCTTGCTCAAAGATGGAGTACTGATGCGGCCTCTGTTTGGGAAGTACAGCGGACGCTCGGGTTGCGAACGTGATCCGTGCGGGATGCACATTCGCAACCCGCAGTGGCGCGTCTGCGCACACACAGGTTGCGATTCAGCGCTTCTGCGCATGTGCAAAGCGTGATCTAGCACTTCTGCGCATGCGCAACCGCCGAAAACCGGAGGTAACCCATTCCGGTACTTCCGGGTTTCAGCACTCTGGCGCTGTGGGTTAAACCACAGAGCCTAGGGCCTGCTGATCAGAAGGTCGGCGGTTCGAATCCCCACGATGGGGTGAGTTCCCGTTGCTCGGTCCCTGCTCCTGCCAACCTAGCAGTTCGAAAGCACGTCAAAGTGCAAGTAGATAAATAGGTACCACTCCGGCGGGAAGGTCAACGGCGTTTCCGTGTGCTGCTCTGGTTCACCAGAAGCGGCTTAGTCCTGCTGGCCACATGACCCGGAAGCCGTACGCCAGCTCCCTCGGCCAATAAAGCGAGATGAGCGCCGCAACCCCAGAGTCGGCCATGACTGGACCTAATGGTCAGGGGTCCCTTTACCTTTACCCCAAAAAAACGCAACCTGAAAAGTTTGTAACCCGAGGTATGACTGTAAACGGAGAGCCCAGCTGCAGGCAGGCAGACACACCTCTCCATTCATACAAGCCATGGGTAGGCAAACCAAGGCCCGGGGGCCGGATCCAGCCCAATCACCTTCTCAATCCGACCCACGGACGGTCCGGGAAGCAGCATGTTTTTACATGAGTAGAATGTGTGCTTTTATTTAAAATGCATCTCTGGGTTATTTGTGGGGCATAGGAATTTGTTCATTATTATTTTTCAAAATATATTCCGCCCCCCCCCCCCCCACAAATGTCTGAGGGACAGTGGACCGGCCCCTGCTGAAAAACTTTGCTGACCCCTGATATTACAAGCAGATAATGCTTAACCCTCAGGGATGGTGAACAGGTTTTTTTTTGGGGGGGGGGACACAGAACATCCTTATTGTGTCGCACGACTGACGGGCTGGTCGTCCCATTCACCTATCGGAAGCCCTTGCGTCGAGATTGCTTACCGGTTTGTCGCTGAAGCCAAACCCCACAAAATCCAGGGCGATTACTCGGTTAAATCGCTGCGTCAGCCCTTCCCAAATCTGCAGCAGGGGACAGAAAAGGTGAAAATCAGGAGGGGAAAATGGGTGTGTGTGTGTATTTTTGATAAATTGTTATGTTGAAATTCCTAAAAAAAAAATAGCTGGCGAGAGACTGGGAAGCTGTGTGCACATGAGGTTAGCCATAATCCGTATCTATCTTGTCTCTATCCTGCCATTTCTTATGAAATGCTGTGTTTTGATGGATTTCCCCCACAAAACCAGCTTCAATCCGAATTGAGAAAAAGAATAAGCATCTTACATTTTAAGCTGGTAAGGTGTACACAGCCACAAACAAACAAACAAACAAAACCTATACATTTAGCATGTATAGATTGGCCCTGATGTTTAGATTTTTTTCCCCTGGTTATTGGCAATTATCTAATTAAATACGTTGTGTCTGATAAAAAAATTTTAAAAAGAAAAGCTGAAAATCAGGAGGCGTCTCTGCAGAGCTGGCAAAACTGACGGGAAGAATCCGGAACCAGCGAGATCAAGCATTCCAAAAAAAGACTGGAACAAATTTATACTATATTTGAAAGACAACTGTAAGCAATTAACATCATTAGCAGGGTTATCTGAAGATTTGTGAGATTAATTAGTTACCTGTGCAGGTGGAGTAATTTAATATTTTAAGTAATAATATAACAACAATGGGAGAGGAAGTGAAATGCAAAAATGCAAAATTTAATTTCGGAAACCATTCAGCGGGAGGGAGGGAAGTCGTTTAGGCTCAGCTGAGCCGAGAGATTTAGTAAGAGGATACGAGGTTACATATTGTGATTATATGTAAAATTGATAAAAAATATTATTTAAAAACCTAGAAAAAAACCTAAAAATATTATTTAAAAACCTAGACAGCATCTTAAAAAGTAGAGACATCACCTTGCCAACAAAGGTCTGTATAGTAAAAGCTATGGTTTTCCCAGTAGTGATGTATGGAAATGAGAGCGGAACCATAAAGAAGGCTGATCGCCAAAGAATGGATGCTTTTGAATTCTGGTGCTGGAGGAGACTCTGGAGAGCCCCATGGACTGCAAGAAGATCAGACCTCTCCATTCTGAAGGAAATCAGCCCTGAGTGCTCACTGGAAGGACAGATCCTGAAGCTGAGGCTCCAAGACTTTGGCCACCTCAGGAGAAGAGAAGACTCCCTGGAAAAGACCCTGATGTTGGGAAAGATGGAGGGCACAAGGAGAAGGGGACGACAGAGGACCAGATGGTGGGACAGTGTTCTCCAAGCTACCAGCATGAGTTTGACTAAACTGCGGGAGGCAGTGGAAGACAGAAGGGCCTGGTGGGCTCTGGTCCATGGGGTCACGAAGTCGGGCACGACTAAACGACTAAACAACAACAACATTATTTAAAAAAAGAAAATCAGGAGGTATCTCTCTCTCTCTCTTAACAGGGAGCTCCCTTTATAACCGGTCTCCAAAATTTCAACGCCCCTCAGGGCCTGCCTCACCTTGCACCAGTCGTAGCTGGAGGTTGGAAAGCCATGCAGGAGGACCACAATGTCCGAACTGCCAACGGCACCCGAGGCGTCTGCAGAGAACAGAACATCCGTTATGGCACCTGAACAGGGCTGCCTTCAGATGTCTTCTAAAAGTCTGGTAGTTGTTCTTCTCTTTGACATCTGGTGGGAGGGCGTTCCACAGGGCGGGTGCCACCACTGAGAAGGCTCTCTGCCTGGTTCCCTGTAACTTGGCTTCTCGCAGCGAGGGAACCACTAGAAGGCCTTCAGCACTGGACCTCAGTGTCCGGGCTGAACGACGGGGGTGGAGACGCTCCTTCAGGTATACTGGACCAAGGCCGTTTAGGGCTTTAAAGGTCAGCACCAACACTTTGAATTGTGCTCAGAAACGTACTGGGACCAATGTAGATCTTTCAAGACCGGTGTTATATGGTCTCGGCGGCTGCTCCCAGTCACCAGTCTAGCTGCTGCATTCTGGATTAATTGTAGTTTCCGGGTCACCTTCAAAGGTAGCCCGATGGAGAGCGCATTGCAGTAGTCCAAGCGGGAGATAACCAGAGCATGCACCACTCTGGCAAGGCAGTCCGCAGGCAGGGAGGGTCTCATTCTGCATACCAGATGGAACTGGTAGACAGCTGCCCTGGACACAGAACTGACCTGTGCCTCCATGGACAGCTGTGAGTCCAGAATGACTCCCAGGCTGCGCACCTGGTCCTTCAGGGGCACAGTTACCCCGTTCAGGACCAGGGAGTCCCCCACACCTGCCTGCCCCCCGTCCCCCAAAAACAGTACTTCTGTCTTGTCAGAATTCAATCCCAAAAGCACTTTCTCTCCAGGGAGGTTCTCCTGGGTGCCATCATTGTCTATCAAGGACTGTCCTGGACTCTGTGATCATCTGAGGCCCTCCTTCATGAGCCTCCTCCATGAGGGCGGCAACACAAAAACAGGGCCCTTTCTGTGGTGGCTCCCCATTTGTGGAATGCTCTCCCCAGGGAGACTCGCCCAGCACCTTCACTATGTATCTTTAGGCACTAGGCAAAAACTTTCCTCTTCAACCAGGCCTTTGGCTGTTAAAACCATCTACAGTCATACCTTGGGTTACAGCCGCTTCAGGTTGAGTTTTTTCAGGTTACGGACCGCCAAAACCCGGAAGTACCAGGACGGTTTTCGCGGCTGCGCATGCGCAGAAGCGCTAAATCACGCTTTGCACATGCGCAGAAGTGCCAAATTGCAACCCAAGCGTGCGCAGACGCGGGGTGTGAACACTGTGGGTTGCAAACATGCAACGGACGGATCACGTTCGCAACCCAAGCCTCCGCTGTACAACTTTTTAAACTTGGAGGCCAGTTTATAAACCTAATACATAGATCTTCAGGCACCAGGTAAAAACTATCAAGCCTTAGGCTTTTAATGATCTTGGACGTTTTAGAGGAGGTGGGATTTTTAAACATCTTCTTTTCTTTTCTGGTTTTAATGTGTGTGTGTGTGTGTGTAAGTCATTTTGGGTTGATTGTGGCCACACACACCAAAAAAGCGAGCAATAAATCTAACGACAAAAATAAAATGCCACTTAAGTTTTAACTCTTATTAACCAGCAAAAAGCACATTGTTATGGCAAGCAGGAATCACGGCCAAGTAGCCTTTCACAACCTTTTCCCAGTTCCATCTTTCTATAAATTTCCCTTCCCATGGATTGCATATGATCCTTATTACTGATCAATTAACGGTCCGTCCGTCCCCCGTTAACGGAGGCAGGGTTCTATTTTTCCAATATTGTGCAATGCAAATCTTTGCACCGATCAATAAACCTGCTAGCTAGATATCTACCTTCCTTGCTTCCCTTTTCGTTAGCACAGTCTGAAGGTTTCTCACTGAATGCCGGCCACTTTTAAAAACGGCCGATTTTAGGTCAATGATTGTGTCTGTCTGTCTCTCTTTTTTTAGCAATCGCAGAACAACCTCACGGCTATTTTCAAGGCCGTCTTTACTGCAAGCCGCACTGAGCGTTTCGCAGAAAACTCGGCCAGGCATTTCAGAAACAAGGACGCAAAACACAGGAGAGGAAACCTCTGTAGAAGATATTCTGGTTCTGGAAGGTGAAATAGCTTCCCGACGACCTCCATGACTGCAGAGCCGGCGATAACTTGGGGGGCGGGATGTGCAGGTAGACAGCAATGAGGGGCACGGTTAGAAGCCCCACCTGAAGCCACCACTCTCTCATTCTGGGAAGAGAAAGAAGAGAAATGCAGTGTTTACACGGGGGAAGAGAGCGAGAAAACAGTGCAGTCCTATTACCACATTGTTGGACTTTGCTCCGCACTCCAAGGTTCAGAGTTCGAAAACCGCGCATGCACACATTTATCTTTTTTATTATTATTACTTTTTTATTCAAAATTAAACAGAACATATTATCCAGAAACACATCATCCTTATTTCCCCCTTTTTTCCTCCCCCCCCCAGAAACCACCCACCCTCACCCCCCGACTTCCCTCAGTTCCAGTCTTTGATTTCTCTAAAAATGCTGTTTTCTGCATGTTACACAGTTGTATAGATCCTCAAACTATTTCAGTAACAATTATCAATAAAAAGTTTGTGAATGTTTATTCAAAGCCAGCCAAGGAGTCCAGTTCGCTTTATTGCGTCTTCAAATACTTTGTAAAGGGTTCCCATTCATCATTAAAGTCACAGTTATCCTTGTCCCGTAGCTTGTATGTCAGTTTTGCCAGTTCTGCACAGTCCATCAATTTTTCTTGCCATGATTCTTTAGTTGGGGTTTCTTCAGTCTTCCATCCTTGTGCTATTAAAACTCTTGCGGCCGTTGTCGCATACATGAAGATGTTATTCAGCTTTTTAGGCAGATCTTTCCCTACAATCCCTAATAAAAATGCTTCAGTTTTTTAACAAATGTTAAATGGAACATTTTCTTCCATTCGTTACATATCATTTCCCAAAAAAAATTAACTACCTTACAATCCCACCACATATGATAAAATGTCCCCTCCTTTTCTTATGCACACATTTATCAAAAGGGTGCCTTCGTGAGCCTGCCAGCCCCCTATGAAAAAGGGACCATCCATCAGCAAAAGAGAGAGATTTAAAAAATGGAGAATCATAGAATCATAGAATCATAGAGTTGGAAGAGACCACAAGGGCCATCGAGTCCAACCCCCTGCCAAGCAGGAAACACCATCAGAGCACTCCTGACATATGGTTGTCAAGCCTCTGCTTAAAGACCTCCAAAGGAGGAGACTCCACCACACTCCTTGGCAGCAAATTCCACTGTCGAACAGCTCTTACTGTCAGGAAGTTCTTCCTAATGTTTAGGTGGAATCTTCTTTCTTGTAGTTTGGATCCATTGCTCCGTGTCCGCTTCTCTGGAGCAGCAGAAAACAACCTTTCTCCCTCCTCTATGTGACATCCTTTATATATTTGAACATGGCTATCATATCACCCCTTAACCTCCTCTTCTCCAGGCTAAACATGCCCAGCTCCCTTAGCCGTTCCTCATAAGGCATCGTTTCCAGGCCTTTGACCATTTTGGTTGCCCTCCTCTGGACACGTTCCAGTTTGTCAGTGTCCTTCTTGAACTGTGGTGCCCAGAACTGGACACAGTACTCCAGGTGAGGTCTGACCAGAGCAGAATACAGTGGCACTATTACTTCCCTTGATCTAGATGCTATACTCCTATTGATGCAGCCCAGAATTGCATTGGCTTTTTAGCTGCCGCATCACACTGTTGGCTCATGTCAAGTTTGTGGTCAACCAAGACTCCTAGATCCTTTTCACATGTACTGCTCTCAAGCCAGGTGTCACCCATCTTGTATTTGTGCCTCTCATTTTTTTGCCCAAGTGCAATACTTTACATTTCTCCCTGTTAAAATTCATCTTGTTTGTTTTGGCCCAGTTCTCTAATCTGTCAAGGTCGTTTTGAAGTGTGATCCTGTCCTCTGGGGTGTTAGCCACACCTCCCAGTTTGGTGTCATCTGCAAATTTGATCAGGATGCCCTTGAGTCCATCATCCAAGTCGTTGATAAAGATGTTGAATAAGACCGGGCCCAAGACAGAACCCTGTGGCACCCCACTAGTCACTCTTCTCCAGGATGAAGAGGAACCATTGATGAGCACCCTTTGGGTTCGGTCCAGTCAGCCAGTTACAAATCCACTGAGTGGTAGCATAGTCAAGACCGCATTTTACCAGCTTCTTTACAAGAATATCATGGGGCACCTTGTCAAATGCCTTGCTGAAATCAAGGTAGGCTACATCCACTGCGTTCCCTTCATCTACCAGGCTTGTAATTCTGTCAAAAACGAGATCAGGTTAGTCTGACATGACTTATTTTTCAGAAATCCATGCTGACTATTGGTGATCACAGCATTCCTTTCTAGGTGCTCACAGACTGTTTGCTTAATGATCTGCTCCAGAATCTTCCCTGGTATTGATGTCAGACTGACTGGGCGGTAATTATTTGGGTCCTCTCTTTTCCCCTTTTTGAAAATAGGGACAACATTTGCCCTCCTCCAGTCTGCCGGGACTTCGCCTGTTCTCCAGGAATTCTCAAAGATGACTGCCAGTGGTTCTGAGATCACATCTGCCAGTTCTTTTAATACTCTTGGATGCAGTTCATCTGGCCCTGGAGACTTGAATACATCTAAACTAGCCAAGTATTCTTGTACTATCTCCTTAGTTATTCTGGGCTGTGTTTCCTTTGCTGAATCATTTGCTCCAAATTCTTCAGGTCGGGCATTGTTTTCTTTATCGGAGAAGACTGAGGCAAAGAAGGCATTGAGGAGTTCAGCCCTTTCTGTGTCCCCTGTTTGCATTTCACCATCTTCTCCTCTGAGTGACCCCACTGTTTCTTTGTTCTTCCTTTTGCTACGAACATACCCATAAAAGCCTTTTTTGTTGCTTTTAACCTCTCTAGCTTTTCTGACTTTGTGTCTACACGTGCTGGCTATTTGTTTGAATTCCTCTTTGGTGGTTTCCCCCCTTTTCCATTTTTTTGTACACATCCTTTTTTAATCTTAACTCAGTTAAAAGTTCTTTAGATAGCCACCCTGGCTTCTTTAGGCACCTTCCATGTTTCCGTCTCATTGGTATTGCCTGACATTGTGCTTTTAGTATCTCCCTCTTAGCAAACTCCCAGCCATCATGAACTCCCTTTCCTTTTAGTATTACTGTCCATGGGATCTCACCCAGCACTTCCCTAAGTTTTATGAAGTCGGCTTTCTTAAAGTCAAGAAATTGAGTCCTAGTATGCTTGGCTGCTCCTTTCCGCTGTATAGTAAACTTCAGAAGAGCATGATCACTCGCGCCTAATGATCCTTCCACTTCTACCCCACTAACCAGGTCATCAACATTGGTTAGGACCAGATCTAAAATGGCTGTTCCTCTTGTTGCTTCTCCCACTTTCTGGACAATGAAGTTGTCTGCAAGGCCAGTGAGGAATCTGTTTGACCTTATGCTCTTGGCTGAGTTTGACATCCAACAAATATCCGGGTAATTGAAGTCCCCCATTACTACTATCTCCCTTCCTTTTGCATGCTTAGCCATCTGTTCCAGGAAGGCATCATCTATGTCCTCCGTTTGGCTTGGGGATCTATAGTAAACTCCCACAATGAGGTCACTGTTATTCTTCTCTCCCTTAATTTTGACCCAAATGCTCTCACTTTGGCTTTGAGGTTCTAAATCTTGGATCTCTTCACAGGTATACACATCCCTGACATATAACGCCACACCTCCTCCTTTCTTGTCTGGTCTGTTTCTCTGAAATAGATTGTATCCCCCCATTATTACATTCCAATCGTGGGACTTATCCCACCAGGTTTCAGTGATGCCTATTATGTCATATTTAGTTTGCTGTACCAAGAGCTCAAGCTCATCTTGTTTATTTCCCATGCTTTGTGCATTAGTGTACAGACATTGAAGTCCATTAATCATTCCCCGTGTCTCTTATTTAAGGATTTTTCCTCCCACCACTAAGTCTGCTTGCTGATTGCTCCATTTGGACTATGAAATTTGGAAGATGATCTTCATCAATTGATAGACTCCTACCTTCAGGAGCACTGTCTCCCTCACCCACATTAGTCAGTTTAAAGCCCTCCTGATGAGGTTTCTGAGATTTTTGGCAAAAACATTCCTCCCAACCGTTGTGAGGTGCAGCCCATCGCTTGCCAGAAGTCCATCTTCAAGAAACTGCAGTCCGTGATCTAAGAATCCAAACCGTTCCTGTTTACACCATTTGCGAAGCCAGCTGTTCACTTCCACTATTTTCCCTCTCTCCCTGGGCCACGTCGTTCAACTGGGAGGACAGATGAGATGACAATTTGTGCATTTAATTGCTTCAACTTCCTGCCCAGAGCCTCGTAGTCTCTTTTGATCTTCTGGAGGCTATTGCTTGCAGTGTCATTGGTTCCCACATGAACCAAGAGGAAGGGGTATTTGTCAGTGGGTTTTATGATTCCTTGCAGTCGTTCAGTTACATCTTGGATCTTAGCCCCGGGAGACAGCACACTTCCCGAGACATCTTGTCAGGCCCACAGATCACTGCTTCTGTTCCCCTCAGTAGGGAATCCCCTATCACCACTACACGCCTCCTCTTAGGTTTGGTCGGGGTTCTTCCGTGAGCTGTCCGTTCCAAGGTCGCCTGCACATTCCCTGAGGACTGACTTTGCTGCTCGTCTTCATATACCTGATCGACTGTAATGAGGGAGAGATCCTCAAATCGAGTCTGCTCTTCGTCTTCCATGCTAGGGGAGAGGACCTCAAAGCGATTGTGTATTTCTAAACAATCAGAGCGAACCCTGGGCCTCCTACTTCTTTGAGTCACGTTTCTCCATATATCTGGCTCCTGTGTTGGTGTACTAGCCTCCTTGTCAGGGAGTCCCCTGTCTCCTCCTTGGTGGAGACGTTGTGCTCTGTTGCTTCCAAGAAAAGCTCCAGCTCCCTAATTCTTTGGAGCGTAGCTACACGTTCCTCCAGTTGCTGGACTTTGTCTTTTAAGAGGGCAATCAACATGCAATTGCTGCAGGTAAAGCTGCCTGCAACCTTTGGCAAGATGGCAAACATTGCGCAGGAACCGCAGGCGACTGCAGCTGTTCCCTCCCCCTCCATCTTGAGAACGTGTCGTTGGGGGTGGCTACAGCGGTCCTCCATCAAAAAAAGCGTGAAGACAGGACAAATAACTCCCCCCAAAAAAAAAACCTAGGTCTCCCCCAACAAATGCTTGAGACTAGCTCCCGTAAATCTAAAAGATGGCTCAAACTGCGCACGCCGCTAGGCGCGCGCCGCTGCCCTGCAAGCTCTGATAAGCTCCTCCCACAGCTAATCACCTGCCTCAACAGAAACCCTGCCCCCTCTGACCTTTGCACAGGGAGAGCAGCTAATCAGCCACAAAGAAACACACACAGAGATGTAGGAACTCCTACAGAGATTTGCTTGCATTAATCACATTGGGACACTGGGCAAGTTTGGGCAAGATAATCCACACCCTTCCCTCTTCCCCATAAAATTACGCCTTGACACACAGAAGCAGATAATTGTCGAGTTGGAAGGGCTCCTGAAGGGCATCTAGTCCCACCCTCTGCGATGCAGGAATCTCAACTAAATCATCCATGACAGATGGCCATCCAACCTCTTAAAAACCTCCCAAGAAGTAATCCCGAGGGAATAATCACAGAGAAAGTGGACAAAGTTTTCCTCCCTCTTAACCAGGCAGAGGCAAACTCGGCCCTCCAGATGTTTTGGGACTACAACTCCCATCATCCCTAGCTAACAGGACCAGTGGTCAGGGATGATGGGAATTGTAGTCTCAAAAAGAGCCCAGTGGAGGGAGGACTGTAGGCAGCTCAAGTTGAGACACATTAAAGTCCACAATTCTCCTTTTCATAGAATCAAAGAATTGTAGTTTTGGAAGGGGACCCTGAGGGTCATCTAGTCCAACCCCAGGAATTTTCTTGGGTACCAGGGGATCCCACAGAGATGCAATCTCATGCCACGGGCTGATCAGTAGCTCCAAGGTCTTCTGCACTGGGACTGAGAAACCTCTTGCTTCGGACGTCGCCAATGCCAAACTCTGGGTCTATCTTTTATCTGGGTCTATGTTTTAATGTTGTATTTTAATCTTGTTTTTTAAGTTGTATTTTAATCAACTTGTTTTTATTATTGGTTGTTAGCTGCCCTGAGCCCAGTCTTGGCTGGGGAGGGCGGAGTATAAATAAAATTATTTTTTATTATCATTATAAGGTAAAGGGACCCCTGACCATTAGGTCCAGTCGTGGCCGACTCTGGGGTTGCGGCGCTCATCTCGCTTTATTGGCCGAGGGAGCCGGCGTACAGCTTCCGCGTCATGTGGCCAGCATGACTGAGCCGCTTCTGGCGAACCAAAGCAGCGCACGGAAACGCTATTTACCTTCCCGCTGGAGCAGTACCTATTTATCTACTTGCACTTTGACGTGCTTTCGAACTGCTAGGTTGGCAGGAGCAGGGACCGAGCAACGGGAGCTCACCCCATCGCGGGGATTCGAACCGCCGACCTTCTGATCAGCAAGTCCTAGGCTCTGTGGTTTAACCCACAGCGCCACCCGGGTCCCTTATTATTATTATAATTATTATCTAATTCAGCATTTATCCACACAGACCAGGAGCGGCTCTCCAAACATTTCTGCAAACCAGGAGAGGCCAGAATTTGAATCTGGGGCCTTCTGCGTTCAAAGTGGTCTGTTTGACCACTGCCCCCTCTCCAGATGGGGGGGCCAAGCTCTGCCTGGACTCGTCCCAGGCACCTGACAGGCAGCAGCACCCAGCGCCGTTGTGCTAAAACAATTCTAGGATAAGAGTAGGCACGCAATCTCAAGAAAATTAATGCTGCTTGCTGGTGCAAAACTTTGCAGTGATTGGTTTAAAAACGTTGTGTTTCGAAAGCTCAGTGTTATCAATGAGCAATGCCATGCATGCCCTCTTGAGCTCCTGGCAGGAAAAGGTGGCAGATATAAATAATAATAATAACAATAATAATAATTTATGCCCCAACCATTTGGTTGGGTTTCCCCAGCCACACTGGGCGGCTTCCAGCAAAAATATTAAAATGCAAGATGATGGAATTTATGGAGCTGGCTGATCTCACCGGGAGAATCCGCGACCAGAAAGAAGAGGAACATCAAGAAGACTGGAAGAAATTTAAAGACTACTTGAATAAATATTGTAATATTAAAGATATGTTATCGCTTGAAAGAAACAATTAGGCCTAGGAGTAAAAGGGAATTAAATTTATAAATAAGAAAACGTACGATAAGGAAAGTTATGTAATATGATTAGGACTATGATATGGTCTTTTGAAACCCCGATATTGGAAACTGCTACATATAATTACTAAGAAATTCAGATGGAAGAGATTCAAGGAAGTCAAATATGTTTATGAAGATGGATGGTACTTAATTTTAATTAATTAAGTGGTAATATGTTGTATGTATCTTTCTTCTTCTTTTCTTTTTTGTTTGCCTTTATTATTGTTAATCTTTTCTTTCTTTACTATATTTGTTTACTGAAAATAATATATATTATTTGAAATATATATATTAAAATGCAAAATTTAATATTAAAAGCTTCCCTAAAACAGGGCTGCCTTCTTCTAAATGCAATAAATAAGCAAATAAACAAGCAATTCTGCACCCATAAAACACCCCCCTCCTGCTTTTCTCCCAAATTTCCATCCAAAAGAGCCCCAGGGCTGCAAAGAAGGGAGAAACCCAGCAATTGCTCCTCCTGCCCCCCAACCCAGACCCCCCCAAGAGAAGAAGTGGGGGTCACTGCCCCTCTTCCTGGTCCCTAGAGAGGGCGCGCATGCGCTCTCCGCTCACCTGCGCTCCGGGCTGCGGGCAGGCGCGTCCCATGCCGCTCCCGCGGAAAGAAAAAGGCTTCTGGAGCCAGGGGGACAGGAAAGCGCATGCGCGCCCTGGCCAGCGCTTCGATTGCCACGCCCCCTTCTCGAGAACCGGCTATTATTGGGCAAAACGCCCCCTTTGCTGGAGCGGGTGGGAAGACTTACCCTTCCGCGCCCCCTGGCGAGGGCAGGCGGTACTGCGGCCCGCAGGGAGAAGCGGGTTTGCTGCGTTGGGGACGCGGCTGAGTCGCCCAAAGTTTTTATTAGTTGGGGGTTTTTTGGGGGGGTTGCAAATAGAAGGGGAAGAAATGGAGGCAGTGAGAGGCTTTACTTTCTTGGGCTCTGTGATCACTGCAGACGATGACAGCAGCCACGAAATTAAAAGAAGCCTGCTTCTTGGGAGAAAAGCGATGACAAACCTAGAAAGCATCTTAAAACGCAGAGACATCACCTTGCCAACAAAGGTCCGTATAGTAAAAGCTCTGGTTTTCCCAGTAGTGATGTATGGAAGTGAGAGCTGGACCATAAAGAAGGCTGATCGCCGAAGAATGGATGCTTTTGAATTCTGGTGCTGGAGGAGACTCTGGAGAGTCCCATGGACTGCAAGAAGATCAAACCTCTCCATTCTGAAGGAAATCAGCCCTGAGTGCTCACTGGAAGGACAGATCCTGCAGCTGAGACTCCAATACTTTGGCCACCTCCTGAGAAGAGAAGACTCCCTGGAAAAGACCCTGATGTTGGGAAAGATGGAGGGCACAAGGAGAAGGGGACGACAGAGGACGAGATGGGTGGACAGTGTTCTCGAAGCTACCAGCATGAGTTTGACCAAACTGCGGGAGGCAGTGGAAGACAGGAGTGCCTGGCGTGCTCTGGTCCAGGGGGTCACAAAGAGTCGGGCACGACTAAACGACTAAACAACAACAAATTGCTTGTTGCTCTTGTTCTCATTTTAAAAAGCTAGCTATCCATATGCTGCAAATAAAAAAAATATTTTGATACTGTAGTGATTGTCCTTGAATCTACCTGACACATGGCCCTGCTCTCCTCTCACAACCTTTCAGAATCAAAGGTATATGTGCATTAGCTTCTCTGCCCCCTTTGCCACTGCTCAGCAGACCTTAATTAATGTATTAGTAAACAATAAATTTATTCATTTATTAAATAATAATAATAATAATAATATGCATTCATTATTTTGCCTGCTCCTTTTCCACACACACAAAAATCACGCTCAAAGCTGCTTCCATCAAAGAAATAGGGATGCCTTTCAAATAAGCGCTACATAAGCAATTTCATAATAGGAAGAGTAACAGAACCACTCGCATGTGGCCCCTAGAAGCCTTCACAGAGGGGAATGTGGCCCTTGAGCTGGGAGGGTAGTATTTCCTATATAGATTAACATCCTGCTCCCGGCAAATGCAACCCAGTACTTTCTTGGGCTCCATGATCACTGCAGACGGTGACAGCAGCCATGAAATTAAAAGAAGCCTGCTTCTTGGGAGAAAAGCAATGACAAACCTAGACAGCATCTTAAAAAGCAGAGACATCACCTTGCCAACAAAGGTCCATATAGTTAAAGCTATGGTTTTCCCAGTAGTGATGTATGGAAGTGAGAGCTGGACCATAAAGAAGGCTGATCGCCGAAGAATTGATGCTTTTGAATTCTGGTGCTGGAGGAGACTCTTGAGAGTCCCATGGACTGCAAGAAGATCAAACCTCTCCATTCTGAAGGAAATCAGCCCTGAGTGCTCACTGGAAGGACAGATCCTGAAGCTGAGGCTCCAGTACTTTGGCCACCTCATGAGAAGACTCCCTGGAAAAGACCCTGATGTTGGGAAAGATGGAGGGCCCAAGGAGAAGGGGACGACAGAGGACGAGAGGGTGGGACAGTGTTCTCGAAGCTACCAGCATGAGTTTGACCAAACTGCGGGAGGCAGTGGAAGACAGGAGTGCCTGGCGTGCTCTGGTCCAGGGGGTCACGAAGAGGCGGATACGACTAAACGACTAAACAACAACAAATCCCACCACCCCTGAAGTGACTTAAGACCTGCATGCCCTGAGGGAAGGCAAAAGCTGTGGTGCCCATATTTTATATCTATTTGTTTCAGTAACTTAAAATTGTAACTAACTTTGGGTGCCTTGGCAGAATGGCGGTATATAAATGTAATAAATACGCAAATAATAAAATTGACACGTTACATATTGATGGTGCAACAGATCTCATTTAATAATAATAATAATAATAATAATAATAATTTTTATTTATACCCCGCACTCCCCAGCCCTCCAGAAATCTATGTAGATTAACATTCTGTTCCCGGAAGACGCAACCCAGTACCCCAGCTGGAAGCCCACGGCCGGACACAAGGCACAAGAAGCACCCCTCGCCCGGCCGCCCCCCAAAATCCTCCGCACTATTTTTCTAAAGGACCCTCTTCTTTAATCTCAGAGCCTCGGCGGAAGGACACCAGCTGTAAAGGTACATGACGTCACAATCCCACCTCACGCGGAGGCGTCCTGGCGTTGCCGCGGTAACCACAGACGCCTCTTTTTTCACGGTGCGCACGCGCGGCGCCTCCTCGCCTACGCGCCGGGACTTTAAACGCACGCCAAAAAAACCCTCACAAAGGATTTTAAGAGGGAGAGCGCGCGGGAGAGCGCCGATTGGCTCTCTGCGCGGCGAGAGGCGGGCCAATCGGGGCGCCGGCACGCCGGCCGGAGAGGCGGGGATTGGTCGAGGGGGCGCGGGGGCGGGCGCCAGGGGAGGGGGCGGGGCGGTGGGAAGGCGACGCTGACAGTTGGGCAGGATGTCGGCGAGGAGGCGCATCGGGGACCCTGAGGTGAGGGCTCGGCCCCTGCGGGGAGCCCCGGGAGACCCCGTCGCCCCTCTGCTCCCCCCCTCACGAAGCCCAAAACGGGGTGTGGTGTAGGGGGGGGTCGCCCTTCGTTTTTGGGGTCCCCCACCGACGACCCCCCCTGAAGCCCAGCTATGGCGCCTTTTCTCCCTCCTTGGTGGGGGCCTCTCTCCCTCAAACACCACCTTATCCCTCTTTTTTGGGGGGGGGGGGTTTGAGGTCCTCATTTTAGGCGGGGTCCCCTCTGTGTTTTAATGTTTTAATGTTGGATTTTTACATAGCTTGCATTTTAATTCTTTGGTTCTTTGCTGTTTCTATTAACCCCCGCAGTTTTTAATAAATGTTATAATACCAACCTACTACTACTACTACTAATAATAATATCAATAATGTTCTATTTTAATCTTGTTTTTAAGTTGTATTCATTCAACTTGTTTTTATTCTTGCTTGTTAGACACCCTGAGCCCGGCCTTGGCTGGGGAGGGCGGGGTATAAATAAAATTTATTATTATTATTATTAGTAGTAGTAGTAGTAGTAGTAGTATCTCAAGCAACACTGGACCTGCATAAGAAAAAGAAGAGTAGCCTTTCTTTCTTTCTTTCTTTCTCTCTCTCACATATTAATGTCACATGCCGCCCTTGGATTTTGTAATTTGGGGCGGGCTCCCCAAAGAGGCTGCTCTCCCCACACACACTTTTTGGGGGGGGAAGGGGTGGGGCAAAGATTTTTCACGCTCTTTCTTTTTTGGGGGTTCCCAATAAGCCCTGGATTTGAGTCCCTAGGGAGCCCCTACCATAGACTCTTTCATTGCGGGAGGGGGTCTATTATTGTCTTATTCTCCTTTTTATTCTGTGTTTCTATGTTGTGTTTTTATGCTGTGAATCCGCCTTCGAGCTTCAGATGAAAAGTATACAAATTTAATAGGATAAAATAAAAATGGTTTTTTTGGGGGGTGGCGGGGGGGTTGTTTCCCTCAACCTAGGCTTCCCAAAGGGGACTAGAGACATTTGCGGAAGGGGAGAGGTCTTCTTGTAGCCATTAGCCGCTCGGGCTGTATGGAACTTCCACAGTCAGGAGCAGTATACCTTCCAGGAGCAGTTGCTAGGAGACAAACTTGCGAGCTTCTCAGAAGCATCCTGTTGGCTGGTACAGGAAGGAGGGTGCTAGACCTATTGTATCCAGCAGGGCTGCTGTAATATCTTGTCTTAGGTGTCTGAATTGCACATTTGCTGCTGCTGCTGCTGCCACCCTCATTCTGATTTTTAAAAAACAGGTTTCGGAAAGAAAGCTCTGGCTTTCTCATATTGATGCTTCCTGCTTCCGCTGATGTGGAAGGCAGGTACCAAATCATGGTACTGTTTAAATTTCCTGCTGTTATCCTGGTGATGCCAACTGAATGTGAGAGCCAGTGGGATATGGGAGACTGGATTTGAGTTCCAGCCGAGGATTTGGGGAAGAATTTTCTCTGTCATTTTCTCTGGCTAGAGATATCATACTTGTAACTCACTGTGATTGATGGAGGCTTACTAGGTTGACCATGTTGGTGGGTAGGTAGTCATAACGCATAGTACATGATTGTTGCATCCTTTTAACTGAGCTCTTGTCTTGGCTTTGGGTTTCCCTTTGCCCTGCATGGTCTCTCCACCTCATATTGGTGATTTAATTGATGGATGTTGAAATTGCTTTATGAATGGCATCTTCTAGAAAAGAGTTATCTAACTCTGGTGGGAAACCTGTGGCCCTCCAGATGTTGTTGCACTGCAGCTCCCTCCATCCCTGACCATTGATTGGCCAGACTGGCTGGGGCTGATGGGAGTTGTCCAGTATCATTTGGAGAGCCACAGGTTCCCTGACTCTGCAGTGACTTTGGAGGGTCAGGACTGAGATGGCAGTGGGCTGGTGGCAAAGTCCTGCTGAAATATTGTTCTACCCAAACAACTGCTTTCATTCGTTATGTTGTCAGACATAACTAAATTAATGATTGGTTGTGACACTCTGTTCAGAAGGGAGGCTGCAGCTCGTTGGTGGAGCGCATGATGCTTTGAATGCAGAACATCACTGGTTCAATCTCTAGCAGCTCCAAGCAGGCCTGGGGAAAACTCTGTTGTGAATGTATATCAGAATTCTTGCTTCTCTGGGCTGCTGCAGAGTTTTGGGTAGGAACCTGTGGTGATACGGTGTGGTGTGTGTGTGTGCATGAAAGAGAGAAGCAATGACGCAAATACCTTGCCAACCTACCTCATTGTGAGGAGGAGAGAGAGTAGTTTAAAACCATTTATTTGATTCAATAATTGCCATTTTAACAGGATCGTGTGAATGGACCTTTGAGGCAGTTGTATATAATACGGCATTGCCAGTCGGACAAGTGAACAAGGCTGCAAAGCTACTGGGTGCCTCTTTGTACAGGCACCAATAACTTTTATGCTAGCTCCTAGGAATCTGGGTTATTTTTTCAGCCCTACACTTTTGCTGAAAGTTGATAGGAATCAAACTGAAGAGAATCATTTCCAGGGCATGTAATTGCCTGAGCTCAAGCCACAATATCTGTGTGCTGTCTGGCAGTCGACAGTTCTGTGCTGATATCTATTTTCCCTAGCAGGCCGTGAGTCCATTTGGAACCAGGAGATCAAATAACCCAGCCACTCTGGGCCATCCAGTGCTGCTCTGACTGAGTGGTAGTTTGAACACCACCTAGCCAGGATCAGCAGTCTTCAAGCCCCCTATTCAAAAGAATGAAGCTCAGTATGATTAGTTAAAGTAGGCTTGCTAACTCCCCAGTGCACAGCATGAAGACAAGGCCCTGCTGTTCCTGAGGGCCTGTTAAAACCACTACCCTGTGTCAGTCTGGCATTACTGGAAGCAACAGGACAGCTGGGTTGTTAGATCATCTCCTCATCCTAATTTCCCTGAGGTGCACTGGGAGTCTCGGGGGTCACATTGGATCACTGTGACCTGTAGTCCTGCATGGCGCATGGACATTGTGGAGTGGGCCTACAATAATAAGACTTGTTTTTCCTTTCTCCCAGACCAAGGGGAGGAGAAAGGACCAGCTTAATAAACTCCTATAGTAAGGATGGATGGCATATTTAGTACAGTGGTACCTCGGGTTAAGTACTTAATCCGTTCTGGAGGTCCATTCTTAACCTGAAACTGTTCTTAACCTGAATCACCACTGTAGCTAATGGGGCCTGCTGCTGCCACCGCGCCACCGGAGCACAATTTCTGTTTTCATCCTGAAGCAAAGTTCTTAACCCGAGGTACTTTTTCTGGGTTAGCGGAGTCTGTAACCTGAAGTGTCTGTAACCTGAAGTGTATGTAACCCAAGGTACCACTGTAAATAAATAAAAAGGATCCCCTTGGTTAAACTCAGCGAATGAAGTGGAAGTAAAGCTGTTAGAGTAGGGGTAATAAATGTGTAGCGTTCGTAGAGGCTGGAAGAAGAAATAAAGTTTGTGTTGTGATAAAATGTGGTCTTATGCCATTTGCCTCTTTGCATATCTTAGTATATTGGCTCTTGGGTTTAGGACCACTACTGCCCAAATTTTCTTTCTACACTCTTGTTTCAACAATTATGTGCACATCTCATCTGGCATTCCAGTTCTTCACTCCATACTTGGGATACCTGTTGTGTATACTGAAGGTTTCTCTCTTTCCTTTTTTTCTTTCAAAAACACAACAGTTTTTGACCAAAAGGATCCCACAGAATCCTAAATACCAGCATGTAAAAACTCGTCTTGACACAGGTAAGTGAACATCTCTCTGCTTGGATAGAAATGTATAAATCAGAGAAAAGTGAGACAGAAACCTTGCTACGTCCAATCCGTGGAATTTTTTTCCTATATCCTGGAGGTTGTTACCTTTCAAGGGTTGTGGGCTGTGATGTCAGATCATGAGGTAATAATGTGCTTTTGTGACTTAGATCTCAGAGTAAACTTAGTACAAGCTATTAGAAAGTCAGCACATTTGATAATCGTGTTAGAGAAGGCTTGTAAACATAAGTATTTGGTCACCTATGATGAATAAGAATTGCCATGAGGCAATCAGGAGTGGAAGTATTAGAAAAGTTGGTTCTTTATTTCATTTCAGCCCTACTTATTTAAGAGGATTGTTGCAAGAGTCAGATGGGACAGGTGAAAACACGTTTGCCACCCTGAGCTCTTTGGAAGAAGAGCAGGACTAAAATGCAATAAATAAAATATATATTTCAAGCCTCACAGACCTAGCATTAACTATTTTTGGATGCCTATGATTTTCCAGCCCTACTAATCCACATTAAGGATTATGAGCATAGGATTAATTTAGAATAAACAGGTGAGGTGAGGCCTTGGTAACAGTTAAGATTTCTCCCAACATTTCCCCAACATTTCTATTGCTGTAGAATGAATTAATCACACATCTTCGGTGGGAAAGGATGCATCATTGGGTGTATGTTCTCTTGTAGGTAGCAGTATGACCAAATACACTGAAAAACTGGAAGAGATCAAAAGAAGTGAGTAACATCACAACCACCACTTAGACTTCTGTAATCCACTCACTCAGACCCACAGATCGAGCTTTGGGGGGGGGGGGGCAATGCAGGATAACTTGTTGTAGTGGGTTTAGCACTTTGAGGCTCTGCCATGTGACTTGGGATTGTTTCCACCCAAGCAGGGGGCAGGGGTCCTGGAATTAACACGTTGTTGGCATCTTTGCAATTGCTGTCATGTATGATCTGGCTGAGATTCCTACATTGCAGGGAGTTGGGTTAGATGACCCTCAGGGTCCCTTGTTGTTGGTGTTTAGTCGTTTAGTCGTGTCCGACTCTTCGTGACCCCCTGGACCAGAGCACACCAGGCCCTCCTGTCTTCCACTGCCTCCCGCAGTTTGGTCAAACTCATGCTGGTCGCTTCGAGAACACTGTCCCACCATCTCGTCCTCTGTCGTCCCCTTCTCCTTGTGCTCTCCATCTTTCCCAACATCAAGGTCTTTTCCAGGGAGTCTTCTCTTCTCCTGAGGTGGCCAAAGTCTTGGAACCTCAGCTTCAGGATCTGTCCTTCCAGTGAGCACTCGGGGCTGATTTCCTTCAGAATGGAGAGGTTTGATCTTCTTGCAGTCCATGGGGCTCTCCAGAGTCTCCTCCAGCACCAGAATTCAAAAGCATCAATTCTTTGGCGATCAGCCTTCTTTATGGTCCAGCTCTCACTTCCATACATCACTACTGGGAAAACCATAGCTTGAACTATATGGGCCTTTGTTGGCAAGGTGATGTCTCTGCTTTTAAGGGTCCCTTAGAACTCTACAATTCTATGATTCTGAGATCTCCCGCAACCCAAATTCAAAGCATCTCTGTTCAGGGAAAGTCACGTTCAGGGATTAATCTTCACCAAAGTGTGCCTATGTCACCGCGTGCATTTTCAGAACATCATTGTGCAAAAATGGGGACTGGAAGCTTTCCAAAACGAATGCTAAGATTCTCAGCTTAATTAATTCTGAGAACTGTTTTTTTAAGCTTTGTACAGTTCCAGTAGCAAGTCACATTACATACTTAGAATACAAAGGGATTTCAAGTGTATTTTTCAAAAACAGAACTGTTTTGGCTTTTCCTCACTCTGCACTCCTTTTTTTAGTTGCAATTGCTTTGGTCAACTAGAAATGAAGTTACTTTGTTCCACAACATTCTTTTGTTCAGAGATTGCTTTTGAGTACTGAAATCTTAGCAGCGGTCTCGTTGTATCACGGCTACAAAACTTGTTGTGTTTCTGTCCCTTTCTTCCTCTGCACTCCCTGTTGTGCAAACCCGAGTGCCTCTTTTGTGTCAGACTCTTTTTTTCTCTTTAAATCCCACTTCAAGAAGCTTAGATGCAGGTACCCTCTCACTGGGCCGGTGGTGAATAGCACCTTGTGTGGTTCAGATAATTTGCTAACCATCTTTGATTTCTCATGGATAGACGACACCAGTTGGACACAGGCTTAAATGCCTGGTACAGTGTTGCCTCTGTCTCTTCTGTAACTTGAGAAAAAGAGCTACGAGGCTAGAAAATCAAAACTGAGAAGCCAGCAGGTGTAGTCCTCATTTGCCTATCTAGTGGACACGGGTGAGAAACAAACCACCTAGTTTTCTTCTCATTGTAAATCTTGTTTTGCTGCTCCTGAGGAGTTCTAGACTCTTCTGAACAGTCGTACTTTGGTTGTCTCTGAATCTTTGCTTCAAGATGTCTGGAACCTTAAAGGGACCTTCTGAATTAGCTCCAGGTATGTTGTGCTGATGTTGTGGGACAAAGTGGCTCTGTTAATTTTCTCTTCTATCTGATGCCCCTAACTGCTTTGGGCCACAGCTCCCTGCTGGCTGGTGCTGATGGGAGCTGTAGATTTTCTTCTCTTCCCTTAAGGAGAGCCAGTGTGGTGTAGTGGTTAAGAGTGGTAGATTCGTAATCTGGGGAACCGGGTTCGCTTCCCCGCTCCTCCACATGCAGCTGCTGGGTGACCTTGGGCTAGTCACACTTCTTTGAAGTCTCTCAGCCTCACTCACCTCACAGAGTGTTTGTTGTGGGGAAGGAAGGGAGAGGAGAATGTTGGCCGCTTTGAGACTCCTTTGGGTAGTGATAAAGCGGGATATCAAATCCAAACTCTTCTTCTTAAGGACAGCAAATTGTTGGATATCCATATCCATCCTTTTTATAATGCCCCTGGACCAGGGCTGGCAGGGAAAATAATAAATAAATATTTACTTCGTGGCAGGTGGTGCTAAGATTGTTTCATTTAAGGTGTTGGTAGCTAAAAAGCAAAGTTCAGTCATGCTCAGTTTAGCAGCGTCTTGTATATGGTGACCTGATGAATATCCATGGAGTGGTTGTGATCCTTGTCTTGCTTTCTCACGTCATTCAGAGTTGTATGTCGGCTTGTGCTTCAGTGTGCTCAGTCCTCTGCTTGTTAGCTCAGTGTGGGCTCGATTGCATGAAGTAATTGGTGCTGCTGATTTGAGAAAGGGCTTTCTTTGGTTAGAAGGAGGTCTTATCATAGGTGACCTTTTGGATCCCACCTCCAACCCTCTGTGAAGGCAGCAATAGATAGTGCAGGGCTGAGGAACCTGTCACCCTCCAGATGATGATGATGGCATGCAACTCCCACCAGACCCAGCCAGCATGGCTAGTGATCAGGGATATGAAGGGAGTCCAATAATGTATGGCAGGCCACAGATTTCCCCACCCTTGAGAGAGGGAATTGGCCTGGGAATTGGGTGAATCTTTAGTTGGGTAGATCTGAGGGGTTTGGGCTCTGTTCCCTGCACAATCCCGTTCAAGGTGGTAGGGAGTGAGATTAGATTTCGTTCTAAGATGAGGTTACCAGATTTTTTTTTAATGAATCCTGGGACACCTTTCAACTTCCTACTAAATAGATGGGTTTTGTCATGGGACTGATTTGTAAATCTGGGGACTGTCCCCGGGAAACGGGGACATCTGGTAACCTTTTTCTAAGAACGGTTCATAAGTTTTCGTACATCCTTTGAAGAAGAGCGGAATGCAAGTATAATACATGGAACTAATGCAATGGTGCTGCCAAAGTTTTCTCATAGATTACACCTCTTCACTGTTTTCCAGATTACAGATACAAGAAAGATGAGCTCTTCAAGAGACTGAAAGTGACTACTTTTGCCCAGCTGGTATGTTCTGTCCTTAAACTGCATTTTTCCTGAAGTGTCCCACTGTATTCACAGTAGTTCGAATGCTTCTCATAAGCTCCTATTGTCCCCTGCTCCCACCCCAGCTCTTGTATAACAGACGATCATATCTGTGAGCTCGCCATACTTCTGCAAATGAGACTTCCATCGTTTAATATCCTGGACAACCAGCAGGATTCAAGGGTTCTTGGGCCCCTCAGGTGTCAACCCTGATACTAAACTATAATATGTGAAGCAGAAATAAAGATGCCTCGATATAACCCTCGGGGTCCCTTCATGCTCTGCAGTTCTGTGATTCCATGAAAACTCACACTAGGGTTGGCCTTCCTCTGGACCGATGCTGCTTCCTGAGTCCCAGAAAAACCCTTTTACTGAGCTGCTTTTGATCATGTCCTTGCCTCAATCCACAGGTGACCCAGGTTGCTTCCCTAGCTGATGAAAACTCAGAAGTACCATGTGAGGAAATTCAAAAGTTTGATGGTAAGGTCCGGGGCTTCTAAGAAATTACTTTTTTTAAGCTTCTTGGAAATGGTAGAAGTGTAGGCATAAAGTCCTGCCTTGTAACTTTGTGCCAGTGGTCCATTTTGTCTGGCGCTGGCTACTTGGTTTCCCCCAACCTATGACCTGAGATCCTGTTTTAGTATCAAACCTGGGATGTGCTGCTTATATAAAGCATGTCCTCTGCCGCTGGGCTATGGCCTTTCCCTACACAGAGGTCTTCTTACTACTTTTTTTCCTTATTTAAGGAACTGTTTGGATTCTTATGTGACAAAGTAAGCACTTGTTAAAAGTTAAAAGATTGTCCCAGAGATAGATGCGTGCCAGAAGTGGCTATGGTGGGCATTGTGTCTTGTCATCAGCGATGTCACAAACACTGTCCAGTGGGTGCTGGTTCTGTTCCTAGCAGGAGGCTTTGGGATTTGGCAAGTGCCGCTTGAAACATTACAGACAAGTCCTGAAAAATTGGTTTCCTGTGAGCGAATGAATGCAAATATAATCATGTGCTACAAGAGGAGAAGAGCACTTCTGCGTCTCTGGAAAGCTTATTGTCCATACAGTCTAGAGGCTTTGGAAATAGCCTCTATCTCATCGTCTACAGCAGAATTCCAGCCTAACTTATCCCTGCACTTACCCTGACTCCTCAGACTAAAGTCTGTTATTACCAAATTTCTGTCTGTATTATTTTTCTCATTTTGTACACCACTGAGAGATTTAAAGGTCGTAAGAGATTCAGAAATGCTTTTAGATAAATATCTTTTTCAATGAAATATCTGCCTTCTCCCCACCCCTGTTTCAGAAGGCGATGCTGCTCCTGCAGATAACAGCCCTGACATGGCGGCAGAGACCAATGGCAAAAGCAGCCCTGGTGACAAACCAGCCAGTCCCATCCTGTTCATAAACAACACCGGAGCCGGGGAGTCGTATCGTTCCACCCTACAGAGGTATCCAAGAGTCTGTCTCTGTGCTCGGGCTTCCTCCCTTCCACCTGCCATGATTCCTTTTGCTCCCTGCAAAGACGGGTTTGGAAAAAATCAGTGATGCAATTTGATGAATACTAATAGATGAGACTCCAAAAGCAACACATGGTATTCCAAACCATGCCTTAGCTTGGCTTAAAATGCTGAAGCAGGTCCATTGGCATGTTTGATAGCCTTTCCAAAAAGTTGGATGAGACTTGATGAGTCAAGCTTCCACGAGAAAGGAGTTGGAAAGCAAGGAACTGTGATCATAGAAGCCTCCCTCCTTGTCCTAGCGGGGCACCCATGTCCTTTTCTACCAATGACCATTAGCCATCACCTAAATGGAATCTCAGAAAGCAGCATACCTTCATACCAGCTGCTGGGGACAAACAGCAGGAGGAGGGCTACTGCTTTCCTGCCCTGCTTGTGAACTTCTCACAAGCATTGGGGAGTGTTCAGTGGGCGAAGTTGGGAAGCCTAGTGGGTCACATTTGGCCCACGGGCCAGATGTTCCCCACCCCTGGACTAGCTGGGCATTGTCCTGATATTTAAAGGTAAAGGGACCCCGACCATTAGGTCCGGTCGTGGCTGACTCTGGGGTTGCGGCGCTCATCTCGCTTTATTGACCGAGGGAGCTGGCGTACAGCTTCCAGGTCATGTGGCCAGCATGACTAAGCCGCTTCTGGAAAACCAGAGCAGCGCACAGAAACACCGTTTACCTTCCTGCCGGAGCGGTAGCTACTTATCTACTTGCACTGGTGTGCTTTCAAACTGCTAGGTTGGCAGGAGCAGGGACTGAGCAACGGGAGCTCACCCCGTCGCGGGGATTCAAACCGCTGACCTTCTGATCGACAAGTCCTAGGCTCTGTGGTTTAACCCACAGCGCCACCCACGTCCCTGTCCTTATATTTAACCTCACCTTTTCCCATTAAGTTCAAGGAATCATTCTATGTCAAGAACCCTGCAGAGTAGGTTAGGGTATCTTCAGATGCTCTTAGTCATCAGCACCAGGAGCAGAACCTCCCCCTGTGATCTTAAGGGGTTACAGGATTCATCACCTAGGAAACTGGCTGGATTGCTGTCTGTTCTGAACTCAGAGGGCAGTGTCTGTCTGTCACTGAATTGCTGGCTCGTTTGATCAGCTTCCGCCTGGCACTGATAACCACAGAAACATACTATTTTGACCTGGCAGGCTGACGGCGGTCCTTATTGTGCCTTTATCCTGAAGTTAATGGCTCCTCTTTCTCCCAGTGTCATCAGTGGCGTGGGTGAGCTGGACCTGGGGAGAGATGCCCCGAAGAAAACGGAAAACTTTGCAAAAGACAGACCTTACCCCGACTGCCCCTACCTGCTGCTGGACGTGCGAGAGCGGGATGCGTTTGAGCAGTGCCACATAGTGGGAGGTGAGGCAGCCAGAGCGTGACCCCAGGAGGTTGCGTGAGTGGGGGTGCACCATAAGCATCCTCCCCTCCCCCTTGCAGAGGTTAATCACCTTTAGAGAAAACCAGAATGGACAAAGCAGCCTCCCAACTGCAGAGAACATTGTGGAGGTGTCCAGCTTGCTCTGAAGGCAAGAGCTGCTTCCAGTATCCCAACTTACATCTGCTGATGCCTTTCGACTCCCCCTGGTGTCAGATGGCGGTGGTGGTTGCTCGTGAGTAACCAGGCAGGACTCCGACCTGGCTTTTACGGGTTTTATTATGCAAACTATTTACAGTCCAGATCTACCAAGCTTATGTCCGTCTCAGTCACTTGCAGAATCCGGGAGTGACCCCTTCCGTCTTCTCCCCCAACATAAGAACTTCAGCACCCCAAGCCTCCTCCTCCCCTCCTTGCGTTTCACCCCTCTGCGCAAGCTGGGTGACGGATGTGGCGTGCGTCCCTCCCGGCCAGCCTGGCAAGGTGAAGCGCTGGGGCTCTCAGCAACATCCTCCAGCCCTTTCCTCGCTTAGTTGGCCCCTTCCCTCTCTTCTCCGCTGGAGGTATGGCTTTTCCTACCGCTGGAAGAGGAACTGCTCCTCAGGAGTTTCGGAGGCTCTCTGTATCCCTGCCTCCCTCCCCTGTTCAGATGGCAGTCCCCTGACACCTGGCTTCCTAAAAAGAGCTCCAAGAACTTCAGGCTGTTTTCTAGCTCAGGAGAAGGCAATGAGCAACTGACTCCCCAATCACCACTGCATGAATTCAGTCTGTGAAGTGGTCACCAAAGTGATAATACACTATTTTATTTATATAATCAGTTTGTATACTGCCCTTCATCCACAGATCTCAGAGCAGAGTGATAATTTTGTGTACCTGACAAAGTGGACTCTGGCCCACAAAGCATAACAATAACATTCATTCATTTGTTCGTTCGTTCATTTATTTGCTGCCCATCTGACTGGGTTGCCCCAGCCACTCTGGGCATCTCCCAACAAAAATAGTAAAAACATAATACAACAGCTGACACTAAAAACTTACTTGAACAGGGCTGCCTTCAGATGTCTTTTAAAAATCACAAAAAGCTGTTTAAAGATTAACAAAGTGCCACAGGATTCTGAGTCATTTGTGCTGTCCACAAGTAACAGGCTTCCTCCTCTGGGATTTGCTATCTGCAAACACTGAGCCTTGCTTAGAAGCAACTCTGTAAGACTGGGGGTCCTACCACACTCCTTGGTACCAGAGGTGACCACATCAGGAAAGGAGGGGGTACAAATGCAGTCCAAGCTGCAAGTCTGTCTCCTAAGCTTGGCCTCCTCCCTCAGTAGGAGAAGGCATCCTGGAAGAGGTATTTGGCCCATCTGCTTCAGCAGCAGATCTGTACAACTGGCACATGTATGTTGGAGTTCCACCCTCCCAGTTTCAGTCCCAGTGAGAGAAAGAAAGCAGGGCTTCTGCTGAGCTTTGTGGGAAAAAAAGAAATTCACTGGTGTGATCAGCCTTTTCTCTTTCCCTCCCCTTTCCCATTTCTGAGCACAATTCAAAGTGTTGGTGCTGACCTTTAAAGCCCTAAACGGCCTCGGTCCAGTATACCTGAAGGAGCATCTCCACCCCCATCGTTCTGCCCGGACACTGAGGTCCAGCGCCAAGGGCCTTCTGGCAGTTACCTCGCTGCGAGAAGCCAAGTTACGGAACCAGGCAGAGGGCCTTCTCGGTGGTGGCACCTGTCCTGTGGAACAGCCTCCCACCAGATGTCAAAGAGAACAACAACTACCAGACTTTTAGAAGACATCTGAAGGCAGCCCTGTTCAGGGAAGCTTTTAATGTTTAATAGGTTATTGTATTTTAGTGTTTTGTTGGAAGCCGCCCAGAGTGGCTGGGGAAACCCAGCCAGATGGGTGGGGTATAAATAATAAATTACCGTATTTTTCACTCTATAACACGCACATAGTTTTTAGAGGAGGAAAACAAGAAAAAAAAATATTCTAAACGAAACAGTGGATGTATGATTTTTGTGGTTCATGCTGTGGCCACAGACATGTGATCTGACGGTGAGTTTGGGGTGGGGTAGCCCATTGCAAAAATCCTGAGGATCCATGTGGATCCATGCTTTGTAACCATGTTTTTGCACCATTGCGGCCCCATGAAACTGTGGGTGTGGGTGTGTGTTTTTGGTACAGGCTGTAGCCATGGACATTCTATGTGATCTGATGGTGAATTTGGGGTGACCCAGTGCAAAAATCCTGAGGATCCATGCTTTGTAACCACGTTTTAAGTGGGGAGGGAAGGAAAAGCACTCAAGGGACAAGGAGCACGCGTGGGGTGTGTGGAGAAGGATGCTGCTAATAATGCAGGAGAGGGGTTTAAGGGGAGAAGGAACACACGTGGGGTGTGTGGAGAAGGATGCTGCTAATAATGCAGGAGAGGGGTTTAAGGGGAGAAGGAACACGCGTGGGGTGTGTGGAGAAGGATGCTGCTAATGATGCAGGAGAGGGGTATAAGGGGAGAAGGCTCCTCTCCTCTCCCGCTTTGCTCCTTTAAAACAAGCAGGCTCTGCTTCTCGGCTGGCTGAAAAGCTTTGCTGCTATTTAGCGAGCTGAGTGGGGAGGAGAGAGGGACAGAGAGCACGGTTGATTTAAAGGAGCCAACCAGACAGGAGCTGCTTACACTCGTGTAAGCGGCTCCTCTCCTCTCCCACTTTGCTCCTTTAAAACAAGCAGGCTCTGCTTCTCTCCCTCCTCCCCAGTTCGGCTCGCTGAAAAGCTTTGCTGCTATTTAGCGAGCTGAATGGGGAGGAGAGAGGGACAGAGAGCACGGTTGATTTAAAGGAGCCAACCAGACAGGAGCCGCTTACACCTGTGTAAGCGGCTCCTCTCCTGCTTTGCTGTTTCAAAGCGAGCCACGGAGGAGGGAAGGAAGGGGAACCATGGATCCTCTGCTCACGACTGCAGCAGATCCCCTCCGCCACCCGCAGGCATTCGCTCCATAACACGCACAGACATTTCCCCTTACTTTCTAGGAGGAAAAAAGTGAGTGTTGTGGAGAGAAAAATACGGTATTATTATTAATATTATTCCCTGTCTTAGCTAGTGAACCGAGAGGAAAAAATGGTCAAGGTGTCTTCTCACACTGGGGTTCTTCGCCTAGCACTGCTGCTCTTGCTTGGAAGTGGACGGAAGTGCTAAGCCTCTGCTCTGGCTTCTTTTGTCCAGCATTGTCCTACCTTAAGAGCTAGAGAACCACCCTCCCACCTCCAAATGGATGCTCACGATTCCAATATGATTTTTTTGGTGTGTGTATGTGCTTTTTAAGCTGTAGAAAATGAGAACAGGCCTACTGAGTTTCTGTCTTTCTCTTCCCTTTGCAGCTTACTCCTACCCAATCGCCACGCTATCCAGAACCATGAATCCCTATACGAATAACATTTTGGAATACGTATCCTTCATCCAAAGAAGCCTCTTCGTGTTCTGCCATTATTTCTGCTTCAAATGCACAGCTTGATCAGGAGCCCTGACCCCACAGGAAGCGACGCTCACAGTCCCGTAACGTTCCCTTTGAGGAAAGCTCAGTTCTGTGCTCAGATCCACTTGATCATCATATTTTGCTGCTTTCCCCACAGTATGTCTTCCAGATCCATGTTTCCTTTGCATATGTGGGTCTAGAACCCCATGGGGATCAAAGCAGATGGGGAAAACTTCAGGGATCTGAAGGGTGGAGAGAGATGTAATATTGGGGCTCCAGGATGCCTGCTTGCAGTGTGACTTAGGCATAAGCCAATGTCTAATATGTGGAGCTTTTGCTACCCCCACCTCCTCCTACTTACCAGTCTATGATCCTTCCTCTCCACAACATCCCCTGACATGCACCCTCTCACACCATTAAGGAGAGGAGATGTGGGTGGCGCTGTGGGTTAAACCACAGAGCCTAGGACTTGCCGATCAGAAGGTCGGCGGTTTGAATCCCTGCAATGGGTGAGCTCCCGTTGCTCGGTCCCAGCTCCTGCCAACCTAGCAGTTCGAAAGCACGTCAAAGTGCAAGTAGATAAATAGGTACCGCTCCGGCGGGAAGGTAAACGGTGTTTCTGTGCGCTGCTCTGGTTCTCCAGAAGCGGCTTAGTCATGCTGGCCACATGACCCGGAAGCTGTACGCCGGCTCCCTTGGCCTTTAGAGTGAGATGAGCACCGCAACCCCAGAGTCGGTCACGACTGGACCTAACGGTCAGGGTCCCTTTACCTTATAATAAACTATCCATCTTCTTTCCTCCCAATCCTATTCCTTACCCCCAGGACTAAAAGGAGACACAGTCTATCTCTCCTCATTTAAAATGTCCAGGGATGTTACCTAACTTAGCTCACTTCCGAATACAGAATTTGAGTTTTAATGTGTTTTGATGGAGTCGAGAGCTGTTGCTTGCCCGTCTTTCACAGCAACCGAATGTTGAGGCTACTGACCTCGGTTTCTCTTGAGAGAAAGTGTTGACGCTTGTGTCCAAATCTCACTTCTCAAAGCCTAGGTGCCCCTCATCTGCCTTTGGAGTGAGCTGTCAGGCACTGCTACCTTGACATCCCTAAATGCTTGGGGATGGGGGGACTTTGCCAGCATCTTGTTCTCTTCCCACTTCCATTGATTGTACAAGCCTTAGCATCTCCGCCCGCCAGAAAAACGCTCATGGAAAGATCATCATTCTGTACGACGACGACGAGAGAGTAGCGAGCCAAGCTGCCACCACCATGTGTGAAAGGGGTTTTGAAAACTTGTTCATGCTCTCTGGAGGTAGGAAGCCCTGGAATTTCCTGGATAATTACCTGCTAGTTTCAGATATCAGATCCATTCTCCCTCCCCTCCAGCCCTCACACACCGAGGCCACTTTGTAATGTGATCTCTAGTGAACTGACATGCATTGCATATAGTACAGTGATGTGCCCTGGTGGCTATGCTTGCACACGAACGTGCCTAAAGAGCTAAATTTCTGGAAAGATCAAACCAGTTTAATAGGCTTGGCTAATTAGGTCAAAAACACATGCCAAAGTTGCCCCAAATCCTGCTTTTGTGACCTATCTGGTTATGCAAATCATCAAGCACACTTTGCATATATCTGGATTTCTCTTTTAAAAGAGCTGCGCATAGCACATTAGCCCTGAACACAGAAACCTCATTTCGTCCCTGCTTCCTCAGTGTTTCAATGAACTGTAATTTTTTTTCACCATATTCCCTTGCCCTGCAGGGCAAAGAGAGAGAGAGAAATGTGCACTGCCTCCATTTCCAGTGCTAAATGTGTAATGGACTATGCCGATATAGGCAGAGGCTTCATTCTAAATCAGCCTTTAGCCCGTTCAGAGTAACATCGGAAGGTGTCGAGCCGGACTGATATGTCAGAATCTCCTCCTTCCTTGCCTCCCAGGTCTCAGAGTCGTCGCTCAGAAGATCCCCGAAGGGCTGGTAACTGGCACATTCCCTTCCTCTTGCCTATCGGCCAGCCAGCCTGGGACCGCCCGGAAAAGAGCCACTCCTAGGCAGCCCCTCCCCCCGCCCGCTGAGAATAAATGGAGATTTACAGCAGAGGATCTACAAAAGATACAGTACTATCTAGAAGAGGAGCAACTTCCGACAGATTCCGCCAGTAAGACTTAGCTGTCTGTCTCCTACAGCTGGGGTTGTCACCTTTGGTCAGGCAAAATATGGAGCAAGTCCGGGGGGGGGGATGGGATGGGATGGGGAACTAAAATTACTCTCCCTGGCTCTCCCTGGTGCAGAAATGACTTCAGAGCAATCCATTATAATGGGTTGTTTCCAATGCTAGTCATACTCATAGAATAGACCAAATGAAATTTACGGACCTAAGTTAGCAAATGCATATTAATTTCAGTGACTCACTTCCTTCCCACCTGCTGAATTTCTTTCTGTCAGAAAGAATGGTAAATGTAAAACTTCTGAATTACTGCTCTGGTGTTTCTTAAAACACTCAAAAAAACTTGCAGTCAGTAAAACATACAAGCTAAGAACATCTGTTAAAACCAAAATAATAATAATAATAATAATAATAGTAATAATAATAATTTATTATTTATACCCCTCCCATCTGGCTGGGTTTCCCCAGCCACTCTGGGCAGCTACCAACAAAACACTAAAATACAATAACCTATTATACATTAAAAGCTTCCCTAAACGGCTGCCTTCAGATGTCTTCTAAAAGTTTGGTAGTTATTTTTCTCTTTGACATCTGGTGGGAGGGCATTCCACAAGGAGGGCGCCACTACCGAGAAGGCCCTCTGCCTGGTTCCCTGTAACTTGGCTTCTCGCAGTGAGGGAACCGCCAGAAGGCCCTCGGAGCTGGACCTCAGTGTCCAGGCAGAACGATGGGGGTGGAGACGCTCCTTCAGGTATACAGGGCCGAGGCCGTTTAGGGCTTGAAAGGTCAGCACCAACACTTTGAATTGTGCTCGGAGATGTACTGGGAGCCAATGCAGATCTCTCAGAACCGGTGTTATATGGTCTTGGCGGCCGCTCTCAGTCACCAGTCTAGCTGCTGCATACAGCAATTCAATACAGCAATTCAATATATATATCATCACAGTTAAGTTATTATTTAGGTTACAGGATCAACATAAGCCCCCAAAAGACAGATTCCGGCCCTGAGAAGCTTACAGCCTAAGTTTTAACACTGAGTGGAGCAAAGAGGTTCAGGGGCAAAAGAGGGAAAAGGACCCAGGACTGGATGTGTCCCAAGCTGTGCCTTGCTGGTGGTGGTAGGAAACGGGCTGGGTTGCTTAGCCAGAGGCCAGCTTGCCTTGCTCACCCTCCTGTTCTTCTTCCTCTCTTACAGCCCGTCTTAGCCGCGGTTCTTCAGCTCGAGACTCCAAAGCCACCGCCGTGCGGAGCAGCCAGAATCTGCCCACCACCACCACAGCGGTGGCCCTCTCCACCCGCTCCCTCAGCAGCAGCAGCCTGCAAAGCAGGCCCTGGAGATAGACGGTGTCGTTTCCCACTCAATAAAAGAGAGTCCCTCTTCCTGGGGCCCTTTGATCACTACAGCCAGTCTTTCGCTTTTAGGAAGGTGGTGCGCACGGGACAGAGAGGGGCAGAGGAGCAAAGGTGGGCAAGGTATGGAATAGGAGAGGGGGAGACGCCACAGGCCAAGGACCTTTGGAGCGGAAAAGAAGCCCAGGGTGGGAAGGAAGCAGGCTAACCTTATCTAAACCTCCCAGCTGGTGTTTGTCATTGCCTCCCCCCACCCCTAAAGGTAACGGGATTTCCTAACTGCTGGTACGTGAGAACATGTCAACCAGAGCAATCCAAAAATGTGACTGGACTTTGAGCAGAAATGGAGCAAAATGAGCAAAGTTAGCAGTAAGCAAAGTTAGTTAAGTGCTTGAGTTATAATATCTAGACATTTGTGGTACAGCCAGGTGATGAATGGGTGATCTGAGTGTTTAATTTGTGGCCTGCCCAGAGTTCTTTGTCGTCGTCCCAAAAATACTCTTAAGAACAGCAGTTGTACATAAAAGGGAAAACGTAACTCCTCCGCTTCCTGGATTTTCAGAGCCATAAACCTTGGCCGGCTATTTTTCCTCTTGTGGCCATTCCAGGCTATGATTGTGAATATGATTGTGAATATGTGGGCAGCACAGAGGGAAAGTTCCTTCCCCTAACGTTGAAGGATAACTTTGGGGACCAGATCATGAAAGATGCTGGAAATAAGATGCAAGGGATAGAAGACAAAGCCGTTCCATCACCTAGATGAAATCTCTTCTCTATAAAACGTCCTGATTTTGGGAGAGTAGCAGAAGTTGTGGTGGAGGGAGAATGTATCCGTCCCACTTCGTAATTCCATTGTTTGTTTGCCTCTGAAGGTGATGCTGAGCATCACAGTGGAGCGGTGTAATTCCACCCCCTGTAGTTTTGAGGCCGCTCATACCTCAAAAGGGCAGCGTTTCACATACAGATAGCTTCTGGCAAATTTGCTTGGCTTGTTGCGTTGGCAGAAAGGGGAGTCCTTTTGACCCCTTTTCTCTCCTCTCCCCCTGTGACATTTCCTTCAGTGCCAGATCAGTTCTCCCTTCCACCTGTGGTTCATCTTGCAGGAGGCGGAGAGGTCCTAGTGTTCCCCAGCCTTGGCTCTTAGGACAAGCTGGTTTCTTGTCGGTGTCAAATAGAAACTGGAGCAATTATCTTTTGGCTCGCAGTCCTAAGCTATGGTGCCAATGGTCTGTGGCATGGACATCTCCGCTCCAGAGGTCATGGGCAGCTTACTGCTGCAACTCTGATCCTGCTTAGCTGCGTCGGAGCTTACAGCCTGCTCCTCCTAAGCCCCTTTGTTTTCCTCTCTCTCCTGACCCCAAAAGAGGAGCTGGGTCGCCTCTGTTTCTGCCATGTGAACCAACTGGGGGTCTGTAAAAGCCACAATCAATGGTATCCCATGTTGGTCCCAGGAAGAGAGAGCTTCCCTTTTCCTGTTCCCGCTTGTTACATACAGAAGGAAGGTTAGTGCTGGAAATATTCCCTTGAAAGAATCCACGTGGGGACCATAAATGTACAATCCGCTTTGAGCAAAGATCCAAGATTCCAGCTGCCTCCCGTTTTGCAGGCCTTTCCCAGGAGAAAATCTGCCCAGATTTTGAGTATGCTGTTTTCCAGGTGCAGCTCATCCCACAAGCTTTTTCCGTGGACGAAGATGATTCCATTAGATGTCCTAGGAGGCACAGTCTTCCCTGGAGACTCTCCATCCCTACCATTTAAAGCACTAAATTGTAGAATTGTCTCTGCCGCATCAGTTGCATTTGTAGACCCCATATGGATACGGCTGTGTGTGGTTCCTCATGCAGGCGAGGGCTGCTGTCTCCTTTTTAATTTGACACTTTGGCCTTGTTTCCGTCCTTCAACTTTTCCCATATGGCACTGTCATAAAATAGCCCTGGATCAGTCTCCCCCAACCTGGTGCCCTCCAGATGTTTTGGAACCATAGCTCCCATCATCCTTGACCCCTGGCCAAGTCAGCTGGGGCTGATGGGAGCAGAAAGTTCCAAAACATTTGGGTAACATCAGGATCTATTTCTTCTCAAGTTGCGACTGCAGCCGTCAACTCTACAAGCTAGTTGTATCCCTAGTGGCATTTAAACCCCTGTCTGCATTCTTAAGCCCCTGTAAGCAACATTACAGCATCTCGGTTTCGCCCTGTACAAGGGATCTCTAATCTTAGAAGCAATGATCTCGCTAGGGGTTCCATGTGGTACACATGGGTTCCACTCACACACATTTTTCTTCACCTCCAATTTGAAAAGCTACTCTTTGGGGCTTTTCTTTTTATACAGATTTTTAAAGAGCTCTATTTTTATATGAAACGAACTTTGCAAGGTCACAAAAAGTGACCACCAACCCCCGTAGCAACTAATGAGTATGGCATTCATCAGCCACCTGGCTCTCTCTGGGTTTTTCCTGCCTTTGCTTGTTCCTTGCCTTAGCTTTAACAGTAGCCTGGAATTGCTCCTCCTCTGTAGACTGGGGGGTGTTAAGACAGGCATCAGAGCGTTTCACTCCTCAGCTGTTTGTTGGACGTCATCTGCAATATCCTTAAGCTATTGTGGACATCTTGCTGAGCAGTTCTCCCATTTGATTTTTGTTCCTTTTGAGCGATCATCTTGAGTAAAACTGATTGTCAAAGGGCAGCTGCTATTAAACAGGGTGGGGTCCAAGAATTGGGGGTGAATATTCTGTCTGGCGTCTGGGTCAGTCTGCAGTGTTGCCAGAGCCCTTCAGCTAAGCTCGTTTGCCTTATGTAAGCAAGTCACAGAAGTCTTCTGTGCTTCCTCTTCCCCATATCTATCCTGAACCCTGCCTCGCCTGGCAGTGATTTCCTGACCATTTGAAATGAGTTGTATTTAAATATCACGTATTTATTATAAATGGGGAGACTGCTGGTGGGTTGACGTTTGCCCTTGGCATATGTGTTGCTCCCTCTTGGTCTGCAGTGATCATCTCTTTTTTGCACAGAAGACTGATTGAGCTTTGTAGCGTTTTCCCTTTCCTTCCATCTGCTTTTTTATTGGCTGGCAGTTCTTAGTCCTTTTTAAAACAAAAACCAAAAGCTGGAGCCTATGGACACTGCCTGCTGCCTAAGGAATTCTGGAAATGGTACAAGTGAGTTAAGCATTTCTAGTAAACCTTTGCCAAAGTGCAATGTTCAGGATTCCTGGGGAAACCCAGGAAGGCACACTGGTTTGAGACCAAGTAAGTGTTTTTACAAGAAATGCAGGTACTACATTTTTTTTCTTTTTCTTAAACCCAAATACCATTTTGTGCAACTGCATCAAAAGTCTGTTTAGTCAACAAACTACTTGATTCCCCTGAGCATTAGATCAGAACCTCAGTTTCATCAAGCAGATGTTCCTTCAGTGTTGGATGCTTGTGTGTCTTTTTGTCCCAGTTTTGTTTCCGTTCCCCCAAGACTTGAGCTTTCTGGACCTGGACTTCCAAATGCCATCTTGTGTATCAGAAAGGCAATCACATTCTGAAGAAGAGCCTCTCTTAATCCTTGCACTGGAAGAAGAGCAGCTCAACATTGCTTTGATCCTCTTATTGGCTTTGTGGATTTTGTATATTTTGCTCATTAGGTTAATAATGTCAAATGGTTTGGCCAGTCCTGCTTTTTATGACGGGTGGATTAGATATTTCTGTGTATAGTTTTGCCTCTTACTTTGTTTCCGGCTCAATAAAATAAGAACCGTCCACCATATCTACAAGATTCTTGCATGGGCTACCAGTCAAGTCACTGCAGGAGATTAACTGCAGAAATCATTTGAGTTGTTGTAGTTGTTGGCATCTGTCTCGAGAGACAATGAAGTGTGTGCCTCCGGGAGTGAAGTGAAACCACTATGCTAGCAGCACCAAGGTGAACTTTCCAGGGTGCAGGCCTAGGCAGTGTGTATGGAGGTCCTGGGCTGCCCAGATGACAAGACCCCACCCTCGATTTCGCTGATGTGGTCCAAAATATCTCTTGAGATGCATTTGTGTTTGGTAATATATAAGAAAAAATTAAAAATTGTCCAGTAGCACCTTAGAGACCAACCAAGTTTGTTCTTAGCTTTCGTGTGCATGCACACTTCTTCAGATACACACTTCTTCAGATCTGAAGAGGTGTGCATGCACACAAAAGCTTATACAGTGGTACCTCGGTGTCAGGGAACTGCCATCAGTGCCGGAGGGAGAGAGAGAGCTCCAGAGGGACCCCATAGAGCGTCACGGGATTGGGAGAGGCAGCCCATCTTTTGGGGAAGGGAATCAGCTCAGCTCCAGTGGAGAAGGGGGCAGATGGGGGAATCTGAGAGGGAGTCACAGGACTCCTTGCCTGGGACCAGCGGGGGGAGGAAGGGTCCTCCGCTGCCTACGCCTTCCTTGCGCAGAAGGCTTCCGCGCAGGGAAAGTAGGAGGCGACTGGGCGTGAAGAACTTCTATGCTGGAAGAAGTTTAAGAAACGCCCACTGACGGATTCTGCCAGCGATTGAGACAGCCACGGGTGAGTGGCTGTCCGGACAGAAAAGGTTCACTTAGGCAACCCAGCCAGGTGTGGGCACCGGCTTACGCACGAGCAACCCCTTGAACCACTACACTCGGGTAAAGAACTTAATTCGTTCTGGAGGTCCGTTCTTAACCTGAAACTGTTCTTAACCTGAAGCACCACTTTAGCTAATGGGGCCTCCCGCTGCTGTGGCGCCACGATTTCTGTTCTCATCCTGAAGCAAAGTTCTTAACCCGAGGTACTATTTCTGGGTTAGCGGAGTCTGTAACCTGAAGTGTCTGTAATCCGAGGTACCACTGTACCAAGAACAAACTTAGTTGGTCTCTAAGGTGCTTCTGGACAATTTTTTTATTTTTAATTTTTTTTATATATTTCAACTGCGTCAGACCAACATGGCTACCTGCCTTGTGTTTGGTAAAATAGGGATAGGGGTCCTCTTTGAATGACATCCACTCTTACATAAGCTGATAACAAAATGGTGCCTAAGTGTTGAGTGTTTGCAGACAGGAAACACACACAGCCCAATTTGCAAGTTTTCCCAACAGTGACCACACACAGGTGGTCATGTAAAGGACTCCTGAGCCACTAGCCTGAAGTGGAACATCCTTTGGAGTTATCTAAGGCTGCTCTGAGTGAGGAGCTTTGCTTGCTAGCACAATAGCAAGGAAACTCTTCCATGGAAAAGTTCAAAAGGACATTCCTTTCTTGGCTATGATTCCTGCATTGCAGGGGGTTGAACTAAATGACTCTGGGTCCCTTCCAGCTCTACAATTCTATGATCACTCGAATTCTTTTGTTTGAGAAAAGTGAGCGTTCAGGACATGTGTGTAAATTGGAAGGGATTATTTGTGAGAATAAGGCAGTTATTTGTGAGAGAAGGCTGATCGCCGAAGAATTGATGCTTTTGAATTCTGGTGCTAGAGGAGAATCTTCAGAGTCCCATGGACTGCAAGAAGGTCAGACCTCTCCATTCTGAAGGAAATCAGCCCTGAGTGCTCACTGGAAGGACAGATCCTGAAGCTGAGGCTCCAATACTTTGGCCACCTCATGAGAAGAGAAGACTCCCTGGAAAAGACCCTGATGTTGGGAAAGATGGAGGGCACAAGGAGAAGGGGACGACAGAGGACGAGATGGTTGGACAGTGTTCTCGAAGCTACCAGCATGAGTTTGACCAAACTGCGGGAGGCAGTGGAAGACAGGAGGGCCTGGCGTTCTCTGGTCCAGGGGGTCACGAAGAGTCGGACACGACTAAACGACTAAACAACAACAACAAGGCAATGGAAAAGCTACTTCTGTACTCATTCCAAGTGTTTATTATTACCAAGGAGGCTCCTGTGTGTTGGTTGCAAAGTTGTCTCCTGAGACGACAGCCTCCTACTTTTGGTTCTAATAGGGGTGATCTCGTGTGTGTTCCATGATGACCATCAGGGCCAGCCATGTCTCCTCAGCGGTGGGGATGATTTGGCTGGCAGGGAGCATGAACCCGTAACGGCCCGTGTCTCGCAGCTCAAAGGTGTACGAGTATTTGATGCCTTGTTCGTAGGTCCAGTCGACGGTTCCACCACTTGCTTGGTCTAGATCAAGGAAATGGGTACACAAAAGAAAGCAACCGCATCACATCTCTTCTATACAACTCTTGCTACTCTTCCCGTCTGGAAAAGTTTAATTTCCGTCCTGTGCATGCTTTGAAACTCAGCGTTACTGCTGAGGTTCTGGTTGAAAGTAAAGGGTAGACTCTGTTAATCCTCTTTAATAGGCAGCTTGGCATCCAAGCTGTTCACAGCTGACATAAGGCTTGGACCCAGTTCAACACACCTGCTTAGAGGGGGGACTCTGGGTTGTTTGCTATCTCATCTAGGAATACATTTGACTTCAGAAATAATAAAAGTGTGATGCCTTAAGAAGCACATTCAGCATTCTAAAAAGCAAGTGGGTTTCTAGTCTTCATGGTTATGAATCAAACCTGGATCGTGTAGGAGAGACTTTTAAGAGAAGCTTTTCAAAGCCAGAGAAAGTCAGATGTTTCTGGTATCCAGAGGATGGGAATTTCTCTCTTGGGTCTTCTGTAATCCATCTCTCCCCAACCAAGTCCCTTCCACACGCTCCTTCTAACCTCTTTTCTCCTAGCAAAATGTCAGCAAATTAAGCGTTACACAGGAATCTCTAGTTTTTCACCTGTACAGAGCAGCCACATATGAATCTTGCAGGCGTAGCCTAAATGAATGCGGTTGCATTTGGCCTAAAAAAATTTGTAGAAAAGACTTATGTCCAGGAAAGCCATATTTTGTGAATAGACCATACTGTGTACTGTAAATACCAGTTCTGTCCTGATTCCTGCCCATCTGTACTCATTAACTGCTGCATCTACAACTGGCCCTGCCAGTCTTCAGCCAAGTAGCACAGCATATTAACAGTTCGATGGTATATCACCTGGATAGCTCAGTTGGTTAGAGCATGGTGCTGCTAATGGCAAGGTCGCAGGTTCAATTCCCGTAAGGGACAGCTGCCTATTCCTGCATTGCAGGGGGTTGAACTAGATGATTCTCAGGGTCCCTTCCAATTCTATGATGTGCATTGGAGCATCACCAGTACTGCAACCTCCATAGAAAACTATACTCTAAGAGAAGGTAGAGTTCAATTCAAAATAGTTGACTGCCCCCTGGCGGCTTGGAGGACCACAGTTGTTTTCACAAGTTTGGTCACTTACAGATGGTGGTGATGATGCTACCATATCTGTATTTGGTTCCATGGAGAGAAGTAAGGGCTTCGACTGCCTTCTGAGCAAGAGCGTCCTGGAAGGGAACAAGGGGCAGAAGGAGAGGAAGAAAACGTGAGATCTAGAAAGGTCAAACGCATGGGATGAGAACTGCTACATAACAAAGGTGACCTAAGAGATGCAGGCTTGTGGGGGGAGAATTTACCCCCTTCAGCGGGTGGCGCTGTGGTCTAAACCACAGAGCTTAGGGCTTGCCGATCAGAAGGTCGGCGGTTTGAATCCCCCGACAGGGTGAGCTCCCGTTGCTCTGTCCCTGCTCCTGCCAACCTAGCAGTTTGAAAGCACGTCAAAGTGCAAGCAGATAAATAGGTACAGCTCCAGTGGGAAGGTAAATGGCGTTTCCGTGCGCTGCTCTGGTTTGCCAGAAGCGGCTTAGTCATGCTGGCCACATGACCCGGAAGCTGTACGCCGGCTCCCTTGGCCAATAAAGCGAGATGAGCGCCACAACCCCAGAGTCGATCACGACTGGACCTAACGGTCAGGGGTCCCTTTACCTTTACAGTGGTACCTTGGTTTACATACTCTTCAGGTTACAGACGCTTCAGGTTACAGACTCCGCTAACCCAGAAATAGTACCTCGGGTTAAGAACTTTGCTTCAGGATGAGTACAGAAATCGTGCGGTGGTGGCACGGCGGCAGCAGGAAGACCCATTAGCTCAGGTTAAGAACAGTTTCAGGTTAAGAATGGACCTCCGGAACGAATTAATTTCTTAACCCGAGGTACCATTGTATTTTAATTTCTGCACTTTTTCCTTACACAGTTTTCTGCTTTCTGTGCTAGGCCAGCTCCTCTTTCTCTACAGGAAATGTTTTCATGCTTGGGGTCCCTATCTTTGTATGTCCTCCTGCTTTGGTGGTACTTCGCAAGAAGCAACACACCTTATATGCTGTCTCCCAGGTGTGCTTCTCTTTCTTCTTACCCCTCTTGTTCTAAAGAGGTCACTCTAGAGACACACCCATCACTTTGGGTTTCATTCAGCTGCTGTCAGAAGTGACGGCTTTTTAGTAGTTCAGAATGGCCAGCTGAGGTTTTATCAGTGATGGGAGACGGTTCCCTGATAGCTTGGGATTCATTCTCCAGCTTTTGGAAGGGGAAGTCCATTGGAGAACGTGGGGCAGTGACCCAACTCCAGCTGAGTGGTGAGGTGGAGGAGTGATTTGATCTTACAAAGGGTGAGCCTTGTGGGTCGGGGTGTGGAGTTAGCTGAAATGGGGATTCAGCAGGAGCTGCACAGGTTGACCCCTCTGGGGGTCTACTGCTGGTTCCTTACAGACACCGCGTCCCTAAGGGAGGGGACTGAGCCATGGAGTCTGGGGGTCTACTGCTGGTTCCTTACAGACACCGTGTCCCTAAGGGAGGGGACTGAGCCATGGAGTCTGGGGGTCTACTGCTGGTTCCTTACAGACACCGCGTCCCTAAGGGAGGGGACTGAGCCATGGAGTCTGGGGGTCTACTGCTGGTTCCTTACAGACACCGCGTCCCTAAGGGAGGGGACTGAGCCATGGAGTCTGGGGGTCTACTGCTGGTTCCTTACAGACACCGCGTCCCTAAGGGAGGGGACTGAGCCATGGAGTCTGGGGGTCTACTGCTGGTTCCTTACAGACACCGCGTCCCTAAGGGAGGGGACTGAGCCATGGAGTCTGGGGGTCTACTGCTGGTTCCTTACAGACACCGCGTCCCTAAGGGAGGGGACTGAGCCATGGAGTCCTACCAGCTCCGCCTGATCAGCTGCTTTCTTGCTGGTGTAGCCATAAGGATAAAGGAGAAGTTGAGAGTAGCTGTGGATGGAGACGAAGGCTTTGATGTTGCCGTGACTCTTCACAAAGTCCACGATGGCTTTCACTTCGGGCTCAGAGTTAGGGTAGGGTCCACGGTAGGTCTCGGTGCAAGGATTCCCGCTGGATCCAGCCTCTGTAATGCACACAAAAAAGCACTGTTTCATTGGTTGCTGTAGATCAGGAACAATTCAGATAAGGCACTTTGTTGATGCAACCCTTCCATAACCCGCTGATTTGGACATTAAAAACCCATTAATTGATAAGGGCAGGTCTACGCGATAAAGTTAAATGTTGGTTTGAGACCAATATCATGGCTCACTCATCCCCTCAAGTGCTTTTTTTCTTAAAAAAATGTTTAGGGGTACTCTCATTTTGACTCAAGAAAATCACAATTTTTTAGTTCAAATCAGAAGAAATAAATACAGTAAATGGAGAAAAGTACAAAGATTCACAAAATGTTTAGGGCAACCTTTCTCAACCTGTGGGTCCCCAGATGTTTTTGAACTACAACTCCCATCACCCCTAGCTGGCAAGGCCAGAGTTCAGGGATGATGGGAGTTGTAGTCCAACAACATCTGGGGACCCACAAGTTGAGAGCTGCTGGTTTAGGGGTCTGCGTACCCCCAGAAAAAAGCACTGCATCCTCCCAATCACGCACACTTCAATTTTTGGTAGAGAATCATAGAACAGCAGAGTTTGAAGGGACCCTGAGGGTCATCTAGTCCAACCCCCTGCAATGCAGGAATCTCAACTGAAACCTCCATGACAGATGGCCACCCAAGCTGGAGAACTCTAGCTCCAGTCTAGGAGTCTGTGGCTGGAAGTTTTGCATTTTGCCATAATGAGTTGACAGGAAACTGACTATGGTAAATGTCATGGACTGGTTGGACGCAGAAGAGTGGTGGAAAGAACCAGCTGGGGAATCCCCAAGGGTGCTAGGGTCCTGCTTGAGGTTTTCCAGCAGGCATCTCAGTGACTTCCGTGAGAACAGGCCTGATCCCACAAACGCTTCCTGTGTTCTTAACTGGAGGCTGGAATTGAAACTATGACCTTTGTGTGCTCTACCTCCAAGTGATAGTGCTCCACCCCACATCAGCATCCCCAATTAGGCACAAGTAATGATGTATGGAAGTGAGAGCTGGACCATAAAGAAGGCTGATCGCCGAAGAATGGATGCTTTTGAATTATGGTGCTGGAGGAGACTCTTGAGAGTCCCATGGACTGCAAGAAGATCAAACCTCTCCATTCTGAAGGAAATCAGCCCTGAGTGCTCACCGGAAGGACAGATCCTGAAGCTGAGGCTCCAAGACTTTGGCCCCCTCATGAGAAGAGAAGACTCCCTGGAAAAGACCCTGATGTTGGGAAAGATGGAGGGCACAAGGAGAAGGGGACGACAGAGGACGAGATGGTTGGACAGTGTTCTCAAAAAGACCAGCATGAGTTTGACCAAACTGCGGGAGGCAGTGGAAGACAGGAGTGCCTGGTGTGCTCTGGTCCATGGGGTCATGAAGAGTCGGACACGACTAAACAACAACAAATCATTTGCCATGGCGCATTGGATCCCTTCAGACAATCATATTCCGCTCGACCTCACAAAGGTACACGCCTCCCCATCGGGGTGGGGGATGAGGAAGCAAAAGCCTTTACCTCCAAATCCTGCGTCCCAATTCCTGTTGGGGTCTACTCCGATGCAGGATGACCCGCTGTTCTTGGACCTTGTCTTCCTCCACATGCGGTTCTGCAACAGCCAGGAAAGGCCCATCAACAAAGTTCAGAACTTCCAGAGCTGCTTCTGAAGCTAAATGGTTGGTGGTAATTCAATCTACCAGCTTCATTCTGAACACAGAGGCTTGAAAGGGAAAGAAATACCTTGGAGTGGGTGAAGGCAAACCCATCTGGGTTTGTGACAATTTCTAGGAAGATGTCGAAGTTGTCCAGGATGGAGGTCAGGGAGGCATCCTTGCCGTAGCCATCAAGGATCTGAACAGGATGAAAGAGAAGGGCTTAGGGACAGAGCCTTGGAGTCCGTCATCATTCGTAGACAGAGGTGTGTCTGGCTTCTTCAGACAAAGACAAAGACACTCTTCGTTTCCACCCTTCCGTCCATCTTTCCTTTCTTTCATTAATAACCCACCATTTTTTTCCTCCAAGGAGCTCAAGGTGGCAGAAATGGTTCTCCACCATCTCATTTAATCCCAACAACAGCCCTGTGAGGTCGGTTAGGGTGAGAGGCAGTGTGGCGTTTGCCTCCTAGGATGGGACATAAGGAAAGGGTTAAAATGGGTGTGATGTGATTGGCCAGTGGGAATGCAAGGGGGGAATAAAAGTTAGAGTGGGAGGTTTTGAAAGTCAGTTGAGGTTGACGGTTGAGGTTTGGGAGTTGAGAGTTGAGGTTTGGAAGTTGAAGAAGGAAGAGGGAGGTTTAGGTGTGGGTTGGTATACAGTGGTGCCCGCAAGACGAATGCCTCGCAAGACGAAAAACTCGCTAGACGAAAGGGTTTTTCGGTTTTGCGTTGCTTCGCTAGACGAATTTCCCTATGGGCTTGCTTCACAAGACGAAAACGTCTTGCGCTTTTTTTTAAAGCCACTTGAAGAGGCGCAGTTGCGACGGACCGTGCTTCGCAAGACGAAAAACATCGCAAGACGAAAAGACTCGCGGAACAAATTCTTTTCGTCTTGCGAGGCACTACTGTAGTTGTATTGTGAGAGAGTGAGAGGAAATGTTAGGTGGAGTCAGATAGATAGTTGGAATAATCAGTTTGGAGTTGTTAGGAACTAAGAATAAGAAACTGACAAGAGAAAAATTAACTGAAACCATAAGCTTGTTCCTGCATTTAAAAATAAACTTGATTATTTGTTTTTGTTAACAACTGACTGGACAGCCGTGTGTCCCCGTGAGATACGGGGTGGTGGCAGCGGAAAAAGCAATTGCAGTGGCGGCACAGGGTCAATAGACCATCAAACGTCCAGGGGCCCTGTGTGATCGCCACAGGCAGCGACTGGCCCAAGGTCATCCAGTGAGCAACATAGCCAAGTGGGAGGATTTGAACCCAGGTCCAAGGCCAGTGCTCTAACCATTACACCACATTGGCCATTGACACCTGACAGGTGCATTTTCAGGACCCACCCTATTCTTGTGACTGTTCTGGGGCTGTTTTTAATTCTGAATTCTACATTCTTGCGACCCACCCTGGGACCCGCTGTTGAAAGCAGGTAATAAATGCGGTAATAATAAAAATAATAAATAATATATTTTTCAATTTAGTCTGTGTTTGCTAAGTAGTGAGCACCTACTCTAGACGAGAAATGTGTTTGTTATGGTTAGGAGAAGGAAAACACAACTACAGATGAGATCAATTTCTCCAGAAGACCTTTGATTTGATTTATTATTTCAATGTTGCTTTTTTGACAGCACCACTGAGTTCAAGGGAGCTCAGAATGATAAGAGGGCATTAAAATTAGCAATCAGCATTCCCATAAATATAATCCTATCAATAAACACCACAGCATGCAAGTAAATCAAACCAAACTGTTCAAGTAGTTCAATACAAACTCATAATACTATTTTTGTTATATGTTGCCTATGTATGTCAGTTGCTGTCCTGGGCTCCTTCAGGAGGAAGAATGGGATATAAACTGAATGAATAAATAAATAAATGCAACTAATAATTTATCAGAGATCAAACAGGTCTGGAAGCCTTGAATCCTGTGATTGGCATAAATATAAACCAACCAGGATGTATTTGCACTTTTGGATAGCCAGCTTCACTCTGGATTTCCATGTGAAGAGAACAAGGCAATGCAAGACATGGAAGCTGCACTCCTTCTCTCTCAGAATCCTGGTGCCCCCCTCTGAGATTCCACACCAAGTCTATCTCCGCAGCCTTGAGGAGTAGAAACTTCTAGCAGAAAATAAACAATGACATTCTGAAGATGTTGGGTTCTGTGCCCCTAGTACATGGACACATTTGGGTGCATGCACACCATTTAAAACCCACCCACACCCAAGAATCTTGGGAACTGTAGTTCACGATGGTGCCAGGAATTGTAGCTCTAAGCAGGAGACTACAGTTCCCATGATTCTTTGGGAAGGGTGCTTTCAGTGGTGAATATGCAGCCACGAAGTTGTGAAATCCTTACAGCATTGGCATCTCTGAACATGGGCGGTTCATTCTTGGACGGCGGTTGCCAATGGAGCTCTGAGCCCTTCTTCCTCCATCTGAAATGTGTGCCTCTGAGACTAAATTGCAGCCAATACCTTCTTTGCAAGGGACACGGGTGGCGCTGTGGGTTAAACCACAGAGCCTAGGACTTGCCAATCAGAAGGTCGGCGGTTCGAATCCCCGCGATGGGGTAAGCTCCCGTTGCTCGGTCCCTGCTCCTGCCAACCTAACAGTTCGAAAGCACGTCAAAGTGCAAGTAGATAAATAGGTACCACTCTGGCGGAAAGGTAAACGGCGTTTCCATGCGCTGCTCTGGTTCGCCAGAAGCGGCTTAGTCGTGCTGGCCGCATGACCCGGAAGCTGTACGCCGGCTCCCTCGGCCAGTAAAGCGAGATGAGCACCACAACCCCAGAGTCGGCCACGACTGGACCTAATGGTCAGGGGTCCCTTTACCTTACCTTCTTTGCAAAGTAGACTCCACTGGCTTGAGTGACCCATTCTCGGGAGTGGATACCGGTGTCGATCCAGATTGCTGGCCGGTTGCTTCCCCCGGTGCTGAACTGTGCGGAAAGAGGAGAAAGAGAAATCTGAATTCCTACCTTCTCCTCCACAAGGCTGTCTCCAAGTCTGATGGGCTGTACCTGAACAAGGAGACCTCTGGCAAGTCCAGTACCACTCTGCCAGCTGTTGTAGCAATGCCCCATGGAGCTGGGGAGCTGGGTCTTGGGCATCCTTTTAATGACACACAATGACCGGGAAAGTGACACTGGGATTCAGCTACGTGTGTGCCCCTCAGCCGTCCCAATTTGAACGGGGCATCCCAGAATTGCAGAAGCCATCCTGACTTTGGACTGGATCCTGGAATGTCCCATTTTTTGATCAAGCGCTTTTTAACGGAGAAACCTGAAGGCTCCCTTGGACAAAAAAATGAGGACACCAGCCAGGAATACCAGAGCAAAACAGCAGCCAGTAGGCTTGGTCTTTATTAAAGACTGTCGCGACAGGACTACCACCTGCCACAAGGTGGAACAAGATGGAAGCCCCGAACAAAAGAGAACCCAAACTTTTATTAGCTGCTAATCCCCATGTTACGCCCCCCAAAAAACTACATCACTCATACATCACGGTTACATCATGAAAGGGGAGGTCTGGTGGCAGGAATCTGAGCATCCTGGACCCTGCCCCATGGTTCCCCTTGCCCTCCACGAAACACCCATCCAGTGTAACAAAAGAGATATTTACATTTCCCTATTTCCCAGCCAAGTGAATCACACCCTTTTGTCTTCATCTGGGTTTGTTATTTCTGGAATGGCTACCTGTCTGGCACTCAGGTATCAGGATGCCAGGGATTATCCCTCAGACAGAGGGGCTACTGAGTAGCTGAGCTCACATGTCTATATGAATTTCTGAAGTTACTTGATTGGATTTCCTGGGGAGCCTGGCTAGTCTTTTGTAGTGATAAATTCTTAGTTCCTGGGCCAGGTCACAGCTCACACCCTATTCATATCTTAAATGAGCCCTTAAGACAGGCTTTGTGAGGAAAGAGACAATGGGGAGGTTTCCCACTTTGACCTTGCAGAGAAAACATTTGCTCAGTTTAGGAATCAAAATGGTTCCGGGTTGGTCTTCCTGTGCTGATCTATATACGTGCTTGGTTATGAACATTTATGAACATTTCCGTATATCTAAGACCTCAAAATTCCTATCACAGTATGAAACTGCTCGGCTGGTGGTGTGTGAATTAAGGGAGCCAAGGGCAGCGACCGTACAGCCATGGGCCTGCAAGCTCCCCAGGAATGTTGCGTACTGAAAGTGGCATCTTAGCATCCAGGCCTATAAATCTGAGCACTTTGTTAAACCTCATAATTCCCTAAAGCAAGTTCTTTGGAGCCTGGGGGCACATTTGAAAAATCTAAGGAAATGTTATGCATGCCACAAAATGCCCATTTCACAGAAGGAGAATCGGTGGTGCTTGAAACACACACACACTCTCGAAACAACGGGGGGGACACACCCAAAAACCAACCTCCCAAAAAAAAACAATTTCTCAAAACATAAAAATTAGGAGGGACAAGGGTCCTGTTGAATGCCAGAAGGAAGTATTTGAAGAAGTCGGGGTGCCCACAGGTGCCATGTTGGAGACCCAATATTTAAAGGCCGAAATATTAACACATTATATCCGTATGTGTTAGAGATGTGGGAGTTCCACCTCCTGCATGGCGTGGGAAGGTCAGGAGTGGAAATTGATGTTTGTTTGTCCAAATGCCCCAGAAGTGACTTACCTTCAAGATGTTGATTGGTCGGCCCTCGTAACTCTTCCCAATCTGGATTTTACTGACCAGTTTGGGGTTTTCACCCACCAGGAGGTCCATGAAATCGTAGATCTAGTGGAAAGAAAGAGAGAGGGCTGGAGTGAAGTGTGCCTGTGTGTGTCTCTGTAAGAGTCTGTGTTCTGAGATTCTGCCTCAAGAAAGCAGCCGTCAAGACTCCAGGGGTCCCTGAAATGAGGGCTTTATTTTCCATTGTGAAATATACTCGGAGTCAAGAGTGGATTTCATGCTCTTTATTCAGCTCATAGTGGTGAGGAGGAATCGAAGTTCCCCCAGAATGTCTGATTTATATACATTATTTACACAATGGGCCCCACATGATTGGCTAATTCCAGGATTCACCTGTGGGCCAATCAGGTTGCGGGTTCACTTCCACCTGGAGCTGGATTGAGTGGCTCCTGTGGACCAGTCAGACTGCTGCATTCTGGACCCTATTGTTCTAGGACCAATCAGACTGCTGCCTTTTAGATCCTATTCAACTCAGTACATAACACATTGTGTTCTACATGGCAATGTTAGTCAATTAAATTGCGGTGTGGGCTAAATCACCTGACTTGCACATACCCTGTGCCATGGAGTAGAGAGACCATTACTACACACACACACCCCAATGATGACAGCTGCTATCTCTTCTTATTTATTACATTTATATACCATTTATAGGGACGCGGGTGGCGCTGTGGTCTAAACCACAGAGCCTAGGACTTGTCGATCAGAAGGTCGGCGGTTCGAATCCCTGCGACGGGCTGAGCTCCCGTTGCTCGGTCCCTGCTCCTGCCAACCTAGCAGTTCAAAAGCACGCCAGTGCAAGTAGATAAATAGGTACCACTTCGGCAGGAAAGTAAACGGCGTTTCTGTGCGCTGCTCTGGTTCGCCAGAAGCGGCTTAGTCATGCTGGCCACATGACCCGGAAGCTGTACGCCGGCTCCCTTGGCCAATAAAGCGAGATGAGCACCGCAACCCCAGAGTCGGCCACGACTGGACCTAATGGTCAGGGGTGACTTTACCTTTACCTACCATTTATATACCACTTCTATCTTTCAATGAGTTCAAGGTGGGTGAGCCAGTTCTGCACTCTTTCCCTCTGGACTATCCTCCGCAGCTTGAAAAGCATCCCCCTTGTTTGATGACATTTTGATAACACTTGCAAAAATTTCCACCTATCCACTACCATTGCCCTCGCTCGCTTGCTCTCTCAGTTGACTTTGCCCAAGGTGATGTCACGACGTAACCACCCCTGATTGGCTATTTACACATCCTATTCACTGTGTGGTCTCTGATTGGCTTGGACTGGTGAAGTGATGAGCCCAGAATGCCCTCACTCTCAAGTGGCTTGGTTAACCCTCAGTATTGTCCCCACATTGGCAAACCTGTTTGACTATATACAGTAGCACAGGGGTCAGCAACCTTTTTCAGCAGTGGACCGGTCCACCGTCCCTCAGACCATGTGGTGGGCCAGACTATATTTTGGGGGGGGGGGGGAATGAACAAATTCCTATGCCCCACAAATAACCCAGAGATGCATTTGAAATAAAAGGACACATTCTACTCATGTAAAAACACGCTGATTCCAGGACTGTCTGCGGGCTGGATTGAGAAGGGGATTGGGCCGGATCCGGCCCTCAGGCCTTAGGTTGCCTAGCCCTGATATAGCATAGTCATGACATCATCCCATCCCATCCAATAAGATTACATACAAGTTCAGGAAGCAATAAACAGGAGAGAAATGTACCTAAAGCAGCAACAAAAAGTGATAGGTATTTCTGCTATCAAAGCATTAGCTGGAAAATATTTTTACCCTCTCTCCTAAACCCATGTTTTTGCTCCCCATATAAAATAATCACATTGAAATGGGATATTTGCAGTTACAACAAGTATGCATTTATTTCACTCACCTCATCCAAATTGTGGTAAGAAGCATAGTTAAATGTCTCAATCGACCGGGGCATAAAATGTTGGCGGGACATGAAAAGCTTCTCCTCATCCACCAGTGACTGGAAGGGACAATGGGAAGAGTCAGGGAGGAGTGGGGGTTGTTGGACAAAAGCACACTCCCTTTTCTTGAGTTTGTAGCTAATGCACATGTTACTTTAAACCACACAAGCCCATGGCTTGTCTAGCAACCTAGCCAGCACTTACTTGTGAAATCTCTAAGTTAACTCTGCCCCTAAAAGCTGAGCCATTTTGTGGTTCTCTCTTATAACCTTCAAATAGTTCCTGCTCTTGCATGAATAAAGCCTTTGAACTCTCCCAGTGGAAACAGGAGTGTGTGCACAGCATATATCTGAGGTTTCAATGATTTGGACAGCATACACATAATACTTTTAAAGCACACCTGAGACACATTTCCCCCCTCAAAAAATTCTAGGCACCATAGTTTGTTAAGGGTTGCTGGTGATAGATAAACTATTGTACTCAGGATTCATTGTACTGTGTACACAGCCTAGGTTAAAGAGGTTTGTCTCCAGCATGATAGTGGCGGTGAGAAGGTAGACTCAGTCAGGGAGAGGTGCCTCTGAGGGGAGGCTTGCCTGAGGTCCCTCAAGAACCAGCAGCCGGCCCTGGTGTCAGGTCTCAGGGCTGACAACACACAGGTTTATACAGCAGGGTCAACCCTACCATTAGACGGTGGTAGAAGTGAGGTCTTGAAGGACAGAACTGGGCCAGGCCTTGCTTTGCAGGCCACACGCACCTGCACCCGTTTCCCTTGTCATCTGGGCAGGTCACTGACCTGAAGGTCCTGGATCATGATGGAATAACGGATGCCATTGGATTCCAGGAACACCTTGACTCCTTGGAGGCTCTCGAATGGGACACGCACGTCTATGGGGAACTCGGAGTGAACTGGGTGGCGCCAGAAATCCAGCTGGAGGAGAAAGGTATTAGTTTAATATATGTCTATGGCCTTGTGTTTTGCAATCTCTCCTGTGGTGCATTAATGTAAGAATTGCCTTGCTGGCTTTGGAACCTGGGGAGCTGCCTTATATTGAGTCAGACATTGTTCCATCTAGGTCAGTATTGTCTGACACTGACTGGCAGCAGCTGCCCAGGGTTTCAGGCGGGATATTCCTAGCCCTTCGTGGAGATGGTACTGAACCTGGGACCTTCTACTGAATCTGGGACCTTTTGCATGCAAGCAGATGTTCTGCTCACTGAGTTACAGCCCTTATCTACCTCCCCCCCCCCGCCCCAAATTCCGACAGTGAAAAGTTAAAGTACGGCTTAAATTCGCCACCTTACAAAAATTGGCTTTTACAATATCGCTGCTGAAACAGGCATACGGTAAAACGGAACAAAAGAATGTTTTATTGCCGATTTGCGAGATTGAGACTGTTCATTTGCTATTTGCCGGTGTGAGTGCCTGCGGAATTATAGCAATAGAATAGCGATTTGCAATTTTAGCAATTGTAAGGTAACTTTTGCAGGCTTGCAAGATCAAAGGCTTAAATTGGCTCAGAGTTACAGTTCTACCAACCGCAGCGATTTTCAGCCTGTAACCCAATTTTAAGGGAGCGGCTTATATTTGGGTATTGTCTTTTTTTATTCCACACCCCCCCTTGAATTTCAAAGGTGTGGCTTATTTGCGGGTGCGGCTTATATTCGGGCCAATACGGTATCTCTCTGTCTATCCACCCACTCCTCCATTCAGCTGCCATTCGCTGTAAAGTCCCAGGGTGGGTGTCAGGGGCAGGGAGCCAGGCAATAAATCACACGGCATCAGTGAAGACAAGTCTTCATTCATGAACACAAGGTCTACTCAGGAGGCCAGGCCTAGTGAGCTCAGCAACTCATCCCAGTAGATCTTGCTCCATGGGGCAGTTGTGGGGACTGAAGGTCCCCTCCTTCCCACAGCTGCCTAGGTTAGGGTTACCAGACGTCCCCGGATTTGCAAATCTGTCCCCGGGAAACGTGGTAGCGGCAGCCTCAGCAGCCCGGAGCCAGCCTGGTAGCGCAGTTGGCTCTGGCTGGCTTCAGGAGCTGCTCGCTGCCGTGGCACCCGCCATTTTTCCTCACCGGAAGTCCCCATATGATGTGTCTTGTGCACAACACATCATATGGGGACTTCTGTAGAGGAAAAATGGCAGGCGCCACGGCAGCGAGCAGCTCCTGAAGCCAGCCAGAGCCAACTGCGCTACCAGGCTGGCTCCCGGCTGCTAACTGCCGCTGCCACTGCCGAAGGGGAACTGGGGACGTCCAGCAGTACAGATCTCCTGCCCCATTCTCCCTTTGTTTTGACTGTTCGGGGGAGGCTCGGGAGTCTCGAGCGGCCAGCCGTTGCCCAGTTTTTTAAAAACTCTGCACATTTCTGTTTCACAGGGTGTGAAAGAAGGCTTTGCACCTTGCCTGGCAGAGAAACCGTGTGCCCCCCCCCCTCGGGCAACGGACACCCGCCCGCGACTCCCGAGCCTCCCCCGATCTGTCAAAACAAAGGGGGAAGGAGACTGGAGGAGACTCAGGAGTCACGGGTGGGCAGTGTGCTGTTGCCCAGTTTTTTAAAAAACATTTATGTTTCACAGGGTGCGAAAGAAGGGTTTTGCACCTTTATACAATATGCATGCGTGCTTGGGCCCAGGGTCTTTTGCCTCACCGTCCCCACTACTGGCTCCCTGTTGCTACTCAGCTTAAAAAAGAGAAAAGAAAAAAAGTGTCCCCGGATTCAATGAAAAAAATCTGGTAACCATAGCCTAAGTCTCCTTCTCTTCCAGGTTGTTCCCAAGCAATTTGAGACTATGCCAGCATTTGCTCCTCTTTGCTCCTCTTACTTCATCCCTCTCCTGGTTCTGGGAGACCAGAGGTAGGGGAGCTAGTCGCAGCAGGAGCGGAGACTCCCTGTCTTCTTCACCAGCCTGACTCATCTCTGCCTCTCAGCCCTCCTCCTCTCCAGCCTCTGATTCTACCTCTGATTCTGGACTGCTGTCTGCCACAGCCTCTCCCAGCTCACTAAGCCCTGTTGCCTCTTCAGCTTCTGACACCTCCTCCTCCCAGTCTTCTCCCTCTTCTCTCCCTGACCACTCATGGTCGTCCCACCACCACTCCCCAGGCTCTGAGCCTTCTTCGCTTGGGGTTCCCCAACTGATGTCTCCCACCGCTCCCCTCTGTGATGGCCTGGGACTTGGGCTCAGACTCGGAGCCAGAGGAGTCTCAGTCCGCACCGGATCCTTTGCCACAGGCGGCATCTGAACCAGGTCTGGGGCCTGATTCTGAAGAGCCCCAGTCTGCACAGGTTCCCCTGCAACAAGCACCAGCTGGGCCGAGTCAGGGGCCTGAGCCTGCCCTGGCTCCAGATGCGGGGATGACCTCGTTGCCTTTAGCTGGGCCATCACGTACAGCTGCTCCACTACTGGTATGGTCAGGGGAGGCTGAGGCGGCCTCTGGGTCTAGTAACCCACCGACGTCTCCCAAGCTGCAGAGACTGAGAGAAGGAGAGACCTGAGTACTTGCAGGAGGAGTACTTGCCTTCGGGCGAGACAGGGAGGTGAGTCATCGGGGGATCAGGACCGGCCGTTACCCCGACAGAGATAAAAGGCTGTTGGATCCCGCCCCAGGTTGCGGGAGCAACGTTGCTGTTTGCCAGAACCTGCCTGTGATCCTGTGCCTGTCCTTGCCTGGTTTCCTGCCTCGTGTCCTGCCTTGGCCCTGTCGGACTGACTCCTTGCGGAACCCTTGGATTCGGGACCAGACCTGAACCTGTGGCTTGGGCTACCCCCGGGTCCAGCACATCCTGCATTCAACCAGTCCATGAAGGGGTGTTACATCGAACAGAGATAAACAACCCCACCTGCATCTCTGCTCCAAGGCATTACCTGAAGATGCTCAAGAGCTTCCAGCTCCTTCACCTTCTCCACTTGGAATTCATCTGCAGCAAAGATCCTCAGCACCTGGTGACTGCAGAGACAAGTTATGTGAGCCTTTGCTGCCGTCAAATAGCACACCTGATGATGGGCTTTCGTGAAGGATAAACGTGGTTGTCATTCTGTGGCTGGCTAGCTGAATTTCCCCCACGGGCTTCTGTGCTTGCTGGTTGTCTAGTCAGGCAGCACTGGTGGAATGGGACAGAGGAATGTGTGTCTCCACGCCCCACCTCCCCAATGCCCAATATACATCCGTTAGTTCAAGCATGGCCAAAGTTGGCCCTCCAGATGTGTTAGGACTACATCATCCCTAGCTAACAGGACCAGTGGTCAGGGATGATGGGAACTGTAGTTCCAAAACATCTGGAGGGCCAACTTTGGCCATGCCTGGTTTAGTTGATGATCTAAATTAGAGCTGTAATACTTGTGTTCCGTCACTAGGTTCCGCTGTAATGCTGTTTTCTTCAGTAGATGCAAAAAGAATTTCACATCAAGCTACGAAACAGAAAATCTTCCCGGCGTAGAGCACAAGATATCAAATAAATGCCTCCAACACAGCTGCTCCTTCAGTTATTACTTACGAAAGGTCAGGTGTGTCTTATGGCCAGGTGTGTCTTATGGAGCGAAAAATACAGTATAAAAAATAAACAAAAAATGAAATGAAATGTGGAAAACAAAACCTATAAAATAAAATGCAGAACTAGCTGCAGCTTGGTTCAAGTAAAAAAAAAAACCCCAAAAAACACACACACAAAAAAAACACAAGTCAAGCATTTCCATTTCCCTGGACTATTCTATCTATCTATCTATCTATCTATCTATCTGTCTGTCTGTCTGTGTCTGTCTCTCTTTCTGCTACCTGGAGATGGAAAGTGGAGCTAGGTAAATCACGACACGGACCCCCCGAGCTTGTGTCTACGTACCCCACAAAGGTCTCGGTGCCGAGCGCAACAGCCACGAGGGCACCAAACCACAGGAGACTCCTCATTTTGGCCAAGACGGGATAGCCACTAGGAACTGGGGTGCCTCCCCAAGGCCTCTTATATTCCATCCACAGTGTGAACGCTGGCTGGAGCGTGGCCAGCAGCTACAGGGACCAGCCTTCCGCCAGCCGCCCTCCTTCCCACAGCTCCGTCGGGAAAAGGGCTGACACTTCCAACCCCTTTTCCTGATTGATGTTCTGGGGAAGGTAGCAGCTGCCTTGATAAGCGAGAAGGTCGGGGACCCCCAAAGTTTCCTTTTGTCTCTGCCAAGCTTTCGTGCAATGCCAAGGGGTTGTTGAATCATCCGCACCACAGAGCTCAAACAGAGCAGAGGGCTTCAGACCCTGCTGAGATCCATGCCAGGGGATATGTGAACAGGCTGTGACCCAAATTAACCCCCCAGACACACACCTGTAGTTGAAGGTGCTCCTAGATGGGTGTAGGATTTATTTATTATTTGGGGATTTTATGCGCTGCTTTTTTTGTGTCCCAAAAAACAACAGCAAAGGGGTTTCTGTAAAACAGACGCCAATCACAATGAAATGGACAAAAGGTGCCATTCAAACAGAGTTTGCCAGCCTGGGACTGACTGCCCACTTCTTTTGGACTTCAGCTTCTCAGCAGTTCGGCTGGGTTGGGCTGATAGTTAGGGTTGCCAGCGTCAGACCCTCCAAGTGCCCCTATTTCCCAGAGACAGTTACCGAATTTACAGAAGCCATTTCTGATTTGATCCCGGAACGTCCCGCTTTTCCTTAGGACGCCCCTATTTTCATTGGAGAAATGCTGGAGGGGATGGAGTTTTCCAACCATATGAAGCCAGCTCTCTGTTTTATTATGTTTTTATATACCGTATTTTTTGCTCCATAAGATGCACTTTTTTCCTCCTAAAAAGTAAGGGGAAATGTCTGTGCGTCTTATGGAGTGAATGTGTGGTCCCTGGAGCCGAATTGCCCAGAGGCAAAAAGCAGATCGTGCTCTTTTTTTTAGAAAGAGGGAAGGGGGTGTTGAAAGGAAGCAGCTGATCGGCAAGTGATCGGGAGGGAGATAAGGGACTCTAGTGATAAAGGAGGCTGCCTGGGAGTGGGGAGGTAAAAGCCCATGGATCCTCAGGATTTTTGCATTGGGTCACCCCAAATTCACCATCAGATCACATAGCATGTCCATAGCTACAGCCTGCACCAAAAAAACCGCACCCACTGTTGTGTGGGGCCGCAATGGCGCAAAGCACAGATCCACATGGATCCTCAGGATTTTTGCATTGGGCTACCCCAAACTCCCCATCAAATCACATATCATGTCTGTGGCCACAGCATGAACCACAAAAATCATACATCCACTATTTCGTTCAGAATATTTTTTTCCCTTGTTTTCCTCCTCTAAAACCTAGGTGCGTCTTATGGTCAGGTGTGTCTTATGGAGCGAAAAATACAGTATGTTGGACAGGAGGGCTGGGGAAACCCAGTCAGATGAGTGAGGTATAAATAATAGGCATATCATTATTATTTCCATCTATCTCCACTGTGGAACACAGACAAAGAATCATAATTTGGAAGGGACCCTGAATAATAATAATAAATAATAATTGTTATTATCATATCATAATTATAATAATATTAATATAATATAATGATATTATAATCGTATATCTAATATGTTGTGTTGAATAGGACGTACTTATTTTCATCAGATAAATGTTGGTGGGTATGCACATTTGGTTGGGCAAAATACAGGACAGGTCAGGGGAAAATTCTACCAAGTAATTCCATTCTTCAAGAATTTTGTCCTGTAATTTAGTTTTGTCCTCTCAGCATATTCCACCATCTACATAAGCCAGTCTTCTGTTGGGATTTTAATAGTCTCTCGGGTCAAAGTGAATATGTGATGTCCTCCACAGATTACGTTTTTTCGTGTTCTAGTGAGTAACTCGGCAGCTGTTGCAACCAGGGAAGGACACAGAGAGATTAGCCACTAACACTATTTTTGCCACTGTGCCAGAATAAATGTTAACCTTCGGGATTAGATCATATATACCACCTTGGACTCCTTTGAGAGAAAGTAATAATAATAATCATTGGGACGCGGGTGGTGCTGTGGTCTAAACCACTGAGCCTCTTGGGCTTGCCGATCAGAAGGTCGGCAGTTCGAATCCCTGCAACGGGGTGAGCTCCCGCTGCTCGGTCCCAGCTCCTGCCAACCTAGCAGTTCGAGAGCACCTCAAAGTTCAAGTAGATAAATAGGTACTGCTCCAGTGGGAAGGTAAACGGCGTTTCCGTGCGCTGCTCTGGTTTGCCAGAAGCGGCTTAGTCATGCTGGCCACATGACCCGGAAGCTGTACGCCGGCTCCCTCGGCCAATAAAGCGAGATGAGCGCTGCAACCCCAGAGTTGGTCATGACTGGACCTAACAGTCAGGGGTCCCTTTACCTTTACCCTTTACCTAATAATAATAATAATAATAATAATATTAATAATATTAATAATAATAAATGTCCTGAGCTATTTTCCTTTGAGTAGCCTGCCTTGGACCCTCTCTTAAAAACAATCATTTTGCAGCCGACACTTTTCCCGGCACTGTATCTCCATCCTAGAAAAAGCTACAGCTTTTTAATGTTGACGATCCAAGCTGCTAGTTCACAAGCATCCGAGCCTCACCAGAAGGCTGTGGTGTGTGGCCAACCCTCAGTCTCGGTTGTCAGGTACCCCAGGAGACCACGGACTTCGTACACTGATACAGAGGCCTGCAGAGCTCAGAGCTGGGACGAACGGCAGCCCCCCGCGCTCTAGAGACAAAGGCGATCGCAACCCTTTGCCACAAGTCTGTGTGGTGAACGTGCAAAAGCTGGAGCACGAGAGTTTCCAGAGTTCAGCCCCATTCCATGGAATCGATTGCCTTCCTGCCTTGCTTTGTGGCATCTGGCTAGTCGCTGTTGATTTGTTGATTCCCGAACAAATCGGCTCCCGAACGCCGCAAAAACGTTTGCAAACGTTTTTCGGAAGCCAAAAAGTCCGACGCAGCTTTTGCAGATTCTGATTGAGTGCAGGAAGCTCCTGCAGCCAATCAGAAGCTGTGCCTTGGTTTTCGAACAGTTTTGGGAGTCGAATGGACTCCTGGAACAGATTAAGTTTCAGAACCAAAGTACCACTGTACAGGGTTGTCCCTTATTTGAGTGTAAAATGCTGTGACCTGTGTTGATGCAATACAGGACGCAGTTTGTCCCAGATCTCCCCTATTCATCTCTCTCCTGTCCTGGATTAAACTGTACGGAGCCCCCTAGGCAGTCAAAATCAGGGGAGGGGCCTCACCTCTCAAATTATCTCCTAATACATGTTTTTATTTTACCAACAAACCATTTTAATAAACCCATTTTATTACACAAAACACTGGACGAAGAAAGCTTGGTTGTCATGTTCTTCCAAGATCAAATCAATATTAAATCAATATTGTATTGATCCGTTGTCGCGGGGCCCCTAAAAGGCGTGGGGCCCAATAAACCGGTGTAATCGGGAAAACTCCCCTCTCTCTTTCTCCACGCTTCACTTCTTTCCTTTTCTTTTTTCTCCTCGCTGCCTCTTTTCATCCTGCTCCCAAGGAGCAGCAAAGCAGGGCAAGGCTTTTGTGTCAGTGCAGCCCAGAAGTCCCTATTCTGAATCTACGGTAGTTATCTGCATTATATTTGGGAGTGGGGCGGGAGAGAAGCAGCTCCCCACAAGGCTTATCTTGAGCTGGCCCCGACCGCAGGGGTCCCACATCTTTGCACTAGACCAGGGGTCAGCAAACTTTTTCAGCAGGGGGCCAGTCCACTGTCCCTCGGACTATATTTTGAAAAAAAATATGAACAAATTCCTATGTCCCACAAATAACCCAGAGACGCATTTTAAATAAAAGGACACATTCTACTCATGTAAAAAAACGCTGATTCCCGGACCGTCCGTGGGCCGGATTTAGAAGGCGGTTGGGCCGGATCCAGCCCCCGGGCCTTAGTCTGCCTACCCATGCACTAGACCAGCGGTTCTCAACCTGTGGGTCCCCAGGTGTTGTTGGACTACAACTCCCATCAACCCTGAGCTCTGGCCTTGCTAGCTAGGGGTGATGGGAGTTGTAGTTCAACAACATCTGGGGACCCACAGGTTGAGAAAGGCTGCCCTAGACCAAAAGCTTCAGACACTGGATGTTTGTGAGACACCTCAAAACTTGCACCGCTTTTGAAAGACAAGAAAGACCCTAAAATCTGGCATGGCTCCATGCTTTGTGGGGCCCTGGGAGCAAATTGTGGAGCAGCGTAGTTTGTTTTCTGTGTGTTCTTCTGCTTTGAATGCATTATAATTCTATCCATTGCTTTATTATTAAATATGCCCTGCGACTGTCCTTCAGTAATGAACAGAGTGAAGGATTCTGAGTCATGGGGATGGCGAGTGTGTGTGCTTAGTTTATTATTTGGTTCCTATTTTGCTCTTGTTGTTAATATTGTTTTATAGATTATAAAGGTACTCATTTGTTAATCATATAATAGGATTTTTGCTGTGATTGTGAGGTTTAGCTTATTTTTTAGTTATTGTTTTGCTAACAATGTTTTACAGATTGTAATTGTTTTACTGATGATTTGTTCATTATTCTCTAGGCTGTATTTGTGATGATCCATTATGTTCTATCATATTTATTATTATTATTATTATTAGTGATTCAGCTGAATGAAAAACAGCATAGAAATATAATTACCAATCAAATCAAATATTGCATTTGAGTCCAAATTCAGACCTCAGTGCCCATAATATTGCATTCACTGCATTAATTTACAAGTCCCTTAACAGCTGGGGTCCAGGATACTTTAAGAAATGTCTGCTTCTTTATATCCCTGAGGACTTTTGGGGGGGTCACTATTAAAGATTCCCCACAGCCCAGTTGCACAGAAGCCATTCATTCAGTACTGGGCGCCCAGTTCTGTGGAACTCCCTCCCACTTGAGACCAGACAAGCAGCCGCACTCCCTGTTGAACCTGCAATACTCGCTTCTTTTTCTTTCAACAGGCGTTTTAAAAAGCTTTCTGATGATGTGGTTAACTATTTTGTTTCTATCTATCGCAACTTTACTGTACCCTGCTTAGAAACTGTGGCTGTGTACACACCTATTGAAATATACTTGGCGTCGAGTGTGAATTTCATGCTCTTTATTCAGCTTATAGTAGCAATGAATGAATCTTTTCCCCAAAACGTCTAGCTATATATATATTATTTACACAATGGGCCGCGCGTGATTGGCTAATTCCGGGCTGCTCCTGTAGGCCAATCAGGTTGCGGATTCACCTCCTCCAGAAGCCTGATTGGCTGCTCCTGCAGGCCAATCAGATTGTTGATTCACTTCCACCTGGAGCTGGATTGGGTGGCTCCTGCAGACCAATCAGACTGCTGCATTCTGGATCCTATTGTTCTAGGATTCAGGTCAGTACATAACACCTATATTTAAAGCACGCGCCTGCTCCCAAGGAATCTTGGGAACTGTCATTTGTTAAGGGTATTGGGAACTCTAGTTCGAAGGGCTAAACTGTAATTTCCAGGGTTCTGGGAGGGCAGAGGAGTGCTTTAAATGTATGGTGTGTTTGTCAGGCTGTTGAGCTTTTATTATTCACTCATTTATCCCATCCTTTCTCCCAAAGGAACCTAAGGCGATGATAAATGCCTGAAATAAATACACAGTGGTACCTTGGTTCTCAAATGCCTTGGTTCCCAAATGCCGAAAACCCAGATGTACCGTATTTTTCGCTCTATAAGACGCACTTTTTCCCCTCCAAAAATTACGGGGGAATGTGTGTGCATCTTATGGAGCGAATGCAGGCTCCTTGGCTTCAGCGATAGCAACGCGAAGACTCCGAAGCGCAGTGGGAGCGCTCCCTCCTCGCTCCAGAGGCTTTGCGTTGCTTTTGCTGAAGCCAGGAGAGCAAGAGGGATCATTGTGCACCGATCCCTCTTGCTCTCCTGGCTTCACTTCGCTGGAGAGGCGCTGCGCAGCTTTCCCACTCTGCGCAGCGCCTTCAGCGAGCGGGAGGAGAAATGGAAGGGGCTCCGTTTCTCCTGCCGCTTCACTGAAGGGGCGCTGCGCAGAGAGGGAGAGAATTCTTTTTCCTTGTTCTCCCCCTCTAAAACAAGGTGCGTCCTATGGTTGGGTGCGTCCTATAGAGCGAAAAATACGGTTAGTGTTCCAGTTTACGAACATTTTTCAGAAACCAAACATCTGATGCGGCTGTCAGCTATTGTTTCCAGGGCGACTGCACTAATCAGAAGCTGTGCCTTGGTTTTCAAACATTTCCGAAGTCAAACAAACTTCCGGAATGGATTCAGTTTGGCGCTTTTAGGGGTTGTTGTTAAAAGTCCAGAACAGATTAATTTATTTTGCATTACTTTCCATGGGAAAGTGCGCCTTGGTTTTGGAATGCTTTGGTTTTGGAATGGACTTCCAGAATGGATTACGTTTGAGAACCAAGGCACCACTGTAATTCATATCCAGGCTAAATTTGGGGCAGGCTTTCTGTGTAAAATGAAATGACCTGGAAAACTTGAAAGTTCCCTTGGTATTTTGTGGCATTTCAAGCCGGTCCCATTTTAAAAATTTCGCCCAACCGTGGCGTTTGGCTTTCCCCCCCCCTCCTGCGCCCTTTTTCTTATGAGACAACACAGCTCCTTTGGGGTTTTTTTTGAAGACGTCTTTATTCATCTTTAAACGGAAGCGTGTGGCTGATTTCTCTCCTTGTCCCTCTAGGCTCCAAAATCCCTCCTCTCAGTATGGATGGTCCTTCACGTGCTCCATGATGGTTTTCAGAGCCAGCCAGGTCTCTTGCGCTGTCGGAATAATCTGGTTGGCGGGCAAGAGGAATCCGTACCGGCCGGTGTCTCTGAGTTCGAGACCAAAGGAGTATTTGATGCCTTGGTCGTAAGTCCAGTCGATGCTGCCTCCACTGGCTTGATCTGGAAGGAAGAAAAATGCTCAGGATGGACCTCTGGCTTGACAATCTGTACGGATAATAATAATAATAATAATAATAATAATAATAATAATATTTTATTTATACTCCGCTCTCCCCGGCCAGAGCTGGGCTCAAGGCGGCTAACACCAGTAAAATTACTATAAAAACATAATAGGGGGGGAAACAATTTAAAATACAGGTTAAAAATACAATTTAAAATGCAGCCTCCTTTTAATAATAGCCCATAGATCAGCAGTTCTCAACCTGTGGGTCCCCAGATGTTGTTGGACTACAACTCCCGTAATCCCTGAGCTCTGGCCTATTCCACAAAGTATTTAACATTTGTTGTGTTAAGGTGTGAAATAATATTGCTAAGCATGTAAGCAGTTTATTGTGCAACCGAAAAACTGAAATATTTATCAGTGCTGGTAGCGAAACTTTGCTGTTGTTGTTTAGTCGTGTCCGACTCTTTGTGACCCCCTGGACCAGAGCACGCCAGGCCCTCCTGTCTTCCACTGCCTCCCGCAGTTTGTTCAAACCCAACCATCTCGTCCTCTGTCGTCCCCTTCTTCTTGTGCCCTCCATCTTTCCCAACATCAGGGTCTTTTCCAGGAAGTCTTCTCTTCTCATGAGGTGGCCAAAGTCTTGGAGCCTCAGCTTCAGGATCTGTCCTTCCAGTGAGCACTCAGGGCTGATTTCCTTCAGAATGAAGAGGTTTGATCTTCTTGCAGTCCATGGGACTCTCAATAGTCTCCTCCAGCACCAGAATTCTAAAGCATGAATTCTTCAGCAATCAGCCTTCTTTATGGTCCAGCTCTCACTTCCATACATCACTACTGGGAAAACCATAGCTTGAACTATACGGACCTTGGTAGTGCAACTACAAAAAGCAATTAAGGTGGGTGCGGCCTCTGTGGCTCCGCCCTCTTTCGCCTCGGGCTGAAAAGCCACTCCCATCCTGAGCTGAGGAAGACCTCTGATGACCACAATATCAGGCACATATACTCACAGATAATGTTGCAAATGGGGCCAACTTTATATACGGTGCCGTAGAGAGAAGCGAGAGCATCGGCTGCCTTTTTTCCTAGTGCATCCTAGAAGGAAATCAAAAGTCAATCGAGGAGAATCACAAAACAACCTTTGGATCCCTGGAACATCTCCTACCAAAGGATGGATAAAACAAAGTTAGAGGTGTGTTTGGTTGGATGGGTTTATTCTATGCATCGTTGGATGGTAAAACAACATTGACAACAACAACAACCTCGCAGCAGTTTGCAAAAGATAAAAACAGGAAAATCCAGACAGATTTACAACCCTGCTTTAAAACATACAAAAGTAAGAAAGAATGGGGAAAGCTTGTAATTTATTTAGAAGACCACTGTAAGCAGATGAAAACATTAGCAGGGTTTTAATCTCACCTGTAATGTAACAATTGCTATGGGCAATATGGATTGATATAAAATATAGATTACGAAACAATATGTGGTTGAAAATGTTGACAATAGGACCTGTGGGGGGGATGGGGGTGGGGGGGAAGTCTCGAGATTTAGAGTAATATATGGATGTGTATTTGGTTTGGTGATAAGTTTATATTTGTAAAATCAAATCAAAACGATTTCAAAAAAACAAAACAAAACAAAACAAAACATGCAAAGGTAATGTGCTAAAACAGTTTAAAACCGCCACGACTTTCTACAGATCTATGACAGATTCCTTTGTCCATTGCTTAGAAACGATGATATTAACCGGGTGAGTAAAAATGAATGGATTCTTAAAACAAATAAAGAATATGATAAATAAATTCAGATAGGTAGCCATGACGCAGCAGAAATATATATATATTTATATATATTGTCCAATAGCACTTTAGAGACCGACTAAGTTTGTTCTTGGTATGAGTTTTCGTGTGCATGCACGAAATATCTGAAGAAGTGTGCATGCACACGAAAGCTCATACCAAGAACAAACTTAGTTGGTCTCTAGGATGGCGCTGTGGGTTAAACCACAGAGCCTAGGACTTGCTGATCAGAAGGTCGGTGGTTTGAATCCCCACGACGATGGGGTGAGCTCCCGTTGCTCGGTCCCTGCTCCTGCCAACCTAGCAGTTCAAAAGCATGTCAAAGTGCAAGTAGATAAATAGGTACCGCTCCAGTGGGAAGGTAAACGGTGTTTCCGTGTGCTGCTCTGGTTCGCCAGAAGCGGCTGAGTCATGCTGGCCACATGACCCGGAAGCTGTAGGCCGGCTCCCTTGGCCAGTAAAGCGAGATGAGCGCTGCAACCTCAGAGTCATCCACGACTGGACCTAATAGTCAGGGGTCCCTTTACCCTTTACCTTTTAAGGTGCTACTGGAGAAATAAATTGGGACCTAAGAGGAGTCTGGCTGTGCTTATCTCTGAGCTGCAGGTCCTATCGAGTCCAGCATCCTTTTCTCCCTGTGGCCAACCAGATACCTATGGAAACCCAAAGCAGGACCTGGGTGCAAGGACAAGAGTCTTCCAGATTTGTGGTTTGCAGCAACTGGCATACAGTGGCACAATTGCCTCCACCAGCGGAAGCAAACACTGCAAAGACTGGGAGCGGTCTCCTCCGTGATTTTCACCTAATCCTTTCTCTTTTTTTAGCTATCTGAGTTGGTGGCTGTCCTGTGGCAATGAGTTCCACCTCTGCCTCTGGCCGCTGGAGTCATAACCTTCGCCGCTGTCATCGAGCAGCCGGCCAGCAGTGGGTGTTGTTAAGTTGTGGGTGAACGTATCAGACGACACAGCGATTCTTCAGACAGCTCTTGTTTATTCACAGGCCAGGACAGAACTGAACTGAAGGGTTCAGCCAGCCTGCTTATATAGAGCTCCACTACAACGCAACAGTAACAACTTTCTGTAACAATCCAATCACTGAATGTCACTTTCAATTCCTTATTTGCATATGCGGACCTGAGTGAAAACTATCCACAGTATACCCCCTGCTCGCCCAGGGTGAGAACTTCAGTACATAACAGGCGTCTCTGCCAGGACAGCCACGTCCAGCCCGGGGCCTTACCAGTTCTTCATAATCCTTGATGGCGATGGTGCAGTTGTAGCCGTAGGGGAACATCAGGAGCTGGGAGTAGCTGTGGATGCTGATGAAAGCCTTGAGGTTTCCGTGGCTCCTCACGAAATCCACGACGGACCTCACTTCCACCTCGGAGTTGGCGCTGGGGCCGTGGTAGGAGTCGGAGCAGGGCTTGTTGCTGGCTCCGGGTCCTGCCAACGTGGAAAGTCCAAAGAACAAGGTGCCAGTCAGTTTTATTGCACATAGCCAAAGGCTGCCGCAATGTACACAGAATCCTTCAACAATTTAAAGAAACTATACTGGATTGAGACAAAAAACCTTAAAACGTTTATATTATCAAGACATTACCTACTCTAAACAGAGCTATAGAAGTACCTTAATATACAAGTTAAGACATTAAACAATAAAAGTTATAGGCTAAAATTATCACATGGCCACTAATATATTAAAAAATAATGTTAATTAATACAATGTGCAATTATATTCAGAGTTTGGTGATAAAGACAGAATATAGCTTGATGTAGATAGGGTCAAATAAATTCATCTCCTTTACAGTTGGTGGCTACCTTGGCTATATAATTTGCTCTATTTTTCCTAGCGGCAGTTGCAAAGAGTGCTACACGCCAGGTCACATACCGTATTTTTCGCTCAATAAGACGCACTTGTTCCTCTTAAAATCTAAGGGGAAATGTCTGTGCGTCTTATGGAGCGAATGTGTGGTCCCTGGGGCTGGGGGTGGGGGGACCCGGGCTTCCCCTGCCAGCCCCGACCTGTTCTTTGGGGCTGGCGATGTTGATATTTTGCCCCGTGCAATGGCTTCAAGATATTTTATGGAGGATGATTCATAAATGGAATCAGTCGGGGAAAGCATCACCCCCTGTTGCGTGAGCCCAAGATTAAATCCCTTCGCCTACCTACCTCCAAAGCCGGCATCCCAGTTCCTGTTTGGATCAGCCCCAAAACATAAGCTGCCAGGAATCTTGGAGCGGGTCTTCCTCCACATACGATTCTGAAAGTCAGAAAGAAGAATGGCGCCGTTGGAAAAACCCTCCACAGAACACAAGGAGAGAGCAGCGAGAAAGGTGGATAAAGGACCGCAATGGCTGAAAAGCTTCCCAGTTTGAATGAGAAGAGAGGGTGGTAAGTTTTCAAGGACTCACTTTGGTTTGAGAGAAGACGTATCCATCCGGATTTGCAACAGGCATCAGAAAAACATCCATTGTGTTTAACAGGGAAGTTACTGACGGATCATTCCCATAGTCGCTGGCAATCTGCAGAGGGCACAAGAGGTCTATTTTTGTCTCAATCTGTATATTATTATTATTATTATTATTAATTATTATTATTATTATTTATTAATACAGTGGTACCTCGGGTTACAAATGCTTCAGGTTACAGACTCCGCTAACCCAGAAATAGTACCTCAGGTTAAGAACTTTGCTTCAGGATGAGAACAGAAATCGTGCGGCGGCAGCGGGAGGCCCCATTAGCTAAAGTCGTACCTCAGGTTAAGAACAGTTTCAGGTTAAGAACGGACCTCCGGAACGAATTAAGTACTTAACCTGAGGTACCACTGTATTCTTATTTGTATACCACCCTTCATTCACACAGATCTCAGAGCAGTTCAGAACATAAAAATCACAATAGAAAAAACCACAAAATACCTAGTGAAAATAAGAACAGCAGACCAATACAGTGGACGCTCGGGTTGCGAATGTGGTTTGTGCAGGAGGCACGTTCGCAACCCGCAGCGTTCGCAACCCACAGCGCCGCGTCTGCGCAGGCATGGGTTGTAACCTGTTCCTGTACTTCCGGGTTCGGCGCTGTGTGCAACCCGAAAACGCGCAACCCAAAGCGTCTGTAACCCAAGGTATGACTGTAATCACCCCCTCCCACAACACATTTAAAAGGGCATTGGGTGTCTTTCAGCCGAAGAGGAACATTTTTACCCTGGTGCGTAAAGATGTATAATGAAGGTGCCAGGCAAACCTCCCTGGGGAGAGCATGCTACAGGCGGGGAGCCACCACAGAAAAGGCCCTGCTTTCGTGTTGCTGCCCTCTGTACATCTCATGGGAGGAGGCACACAAAGAAGGGCCTCAGATAATGATCACAGGGTCCAGTTCTGTCAGTTCATACCGAGAGCAGTGGTCCTGGGGGTATCATGGTCCTGAACCATTTAAGCCTTTATAGTATGTGCACATACTCCTATTTGCAGCACACTCTCACGGCTGGTGTGGGAAGTGATGCAGACACAGTGTTGGCCACAATCCATATTTATCCTGTGTCTCTCATGTTGTATCTAACCCAAGGGATAGCTCAGTCGGTAGAGCACGAGACTTAATCTCAGGGTCATGAGTTCAAGTCTCACGTTGGGTGAAGAATTCCTACATTGCAGGGGGTTGGACTAGATGACCCTTGGGTTCCCTTCCAACTTTGCAATTCTATGATTCTTAGGGAAAACTTTGCTTAGATGCATTTTCCCCCAAACCAGCTTTGAGCATAGCTGTCAACTTTTCCCTTTTCTTGCGAGGAATCCTATTCGGAATAAGGGAATTTCCCTTAAAAAAAGGGAAAAGTTGACAGCTATGGCTTTGAGAGGAGGGAAAACAGCCGTTCTGTGTTTTCAGCTGGTAATCCTCTTCACCTACAGATGGCCAGCTTGAGTCGGACCTGAGCTTTGGTGGAACTCCAGGCCAAAAGGGCTGCAGTGGAACCTCTTTCTGAGAAATAGTTCTGCTCCCTTTTATTCTCCAGCGGTATGTTCATGAGCATGGGTCCCACTCATTTTGGCCATGCTCACCGCTGGCATGCGGCCCTCAGAGGCATGCCGAAGGCTCAATGCGGCCCTTAGGCGAAAAGGGATTAGCCATAGTTCAGTCGGAAAGAACAGCCAACCTTCTTCGCAGTCCAAAGGGCAGTAGCTTGGGTGACCCATTCTCGAGCGTGGATGCCGGCATCGATCCAGATCGCAGGGCGGCTCCTTCCTCCGGTGCTGAACTATTGGACGGAAAGGGATGTTTCAGGGATGTTTACTTGCTGGATCCGCACCCTGCCTTTCCACCAAAATGTGTGCAGGGTGGCTAACAGTGAAGCAGGGTCTGGAGGAATTTCACCTTTGTGCTATTCATATAATCAGTTATCCATGTAATCAGTTATCAGTTATCAATATATTCACATATGCTCACACATAACCAGAGTTTTACAGTGATTTTATAATCCATTTGAATCATAAAAGCTTTTTGCCTAGCCTAACAGCAAAACTGCTTGAATCTGTAAGTTTCCAGAGATGAACCTTGCCCCAGTCCCTTTTTGAGTCCCTACCAAAGAGGAAGCTATAAATCAGGAGATGCTGGTATATCTCTCCCCCCTCTTGTCCAGACTAATTCTGTACATGAAACAGGAAGGACTGACCACAATGTCCTTACATGAACAGATGTTGCAGGGGAGTTAGAGTCAGGAGTTCCTCTTAGCTTAAGTTTCTATTCTCCTTTCAATCAAACTGGGGAAAAGGTCAGACTGTTTGTGCAGACAAAGAAAGCAGAAGTTGGGAGTAGTACTCTGCACACGGTCAGGAGCCTGGCTGAATGCGCTTATTGGCTATTTTTTGCTGGCGTTCATGATTGTCTCATGATCTGTGATGCTGTACTCAGGTATATAGCCCCAGAACTTCAATGCTCTGGGTCCCAGTCTTTTGGAAAGGATTCCAACTGGGTCCATTATTGCTCAGCAATAAAACCTCACCTTCTTTTTCTCCAATTGCTGTGTCTGTCAATCCTTTGTCTCCATTTAAGTGGGTACCATTGCTAAAATATTTGCAACAACAGAAGCAAAATACAACCATTGAAACTGTTGGGATACTGCCAGGGAGACAGTCATCTCCCGACGATCCATCGGTCTCTCGTAGAACAGTATCAGCCAGTTAGCGACACGAGCCTCAGACACATTCCAGGACTCGTGCACGCCCTTGCAGCAGATTCCGCAACAGAAGATGCACCCAGAAGAGCATATTTACAACATTATTCAGCGTTGGTCAGAACGAAGGAAAAACACGACTGCCTGCCTTCGTGTCGAGGCAACAGACAGAAAACGAAAGCTATATACAAAACGAAAGCATCCTATGAGCAGGAAGTACGCAGGCTTGTGACACACAACATCCTGCTCCCTTTTTAAGGAGGAACGGAAATATCCTAACATCCTCCCCCTTTCCGTGTAACCTGTAGTACCTGTGGTTCAACCCAATTGCAACCTCTGTACATAAACCTTAAGTTGTTCTCTGTTAACAACCTTAGATAACAGATCAGCAGGAATTTCATTTCCTGGCATGTAGGACACCTGAATGAGTCCTTTCTGAATACACTCTCTTGCACGATGTAGCTTAATCGGCAAGTACTTGGTTCTTTGCTTGCAATTCTCTGAGTTCAGCAAAGCCAAACAGGATCTATTGTCTTGATACACTTGTATAGGACACTTCACAGAAACTCTGATGTCCTGAAATAGTTGCATCAACCATTCACAATCCATGAGTGAAAATGACAGAGCATTCTGTTAGGAAATATCCTAACAGAAACATGGCAGCAGGCTGATTAAATTGTTGGGATACTGCCAGGAAGACGGGGGCATCAGGCAGGCCCCCAGCTGGCTCCAGCCACCGGCCGGCAGCATCCCTAGGAACAGCATCAAATAGTGACACAAGCCTCTGATACATTTAGAGACTGATACATTTAGAGAGATGTGCAAGCATAATGCACAGCATTTTATTCAGCATAGGTCAGGAACAGAGGAAAACATGTCTGCTTCCCTTCGTCTCCAGCAAAACAGCAGTAACACAAAAGCTATATACAAACGGAAGTTCCCAGCAGATCTGTGCTGGAAGTAAACAGGCATGTGACACACATGTTCCCTTTTAAGGTGGAACGGAACTATATCCTAACATAAATAGGCAAGAAGCAGCTAGCTGGGGGAGAAATTGCACCATTTGCAGTTAGCTAATGATGTGGTAGTTAACATGAAATTGGCGTACCTTGAGGACGAAGAGGGGTCGTTTTTCATAAGACTCCCCAATCTGATGTTTGCTCACAAGCTGGGGGTATTCAGCCACAATATCATCCATAGCGCTGTAAATCTAAGATACAACATTGTGTGTTTTATACTGCTGTCGGAGAGAGGAATGTTTATGAGAGAGAGAGAGAGAGAGAGAGAGAGAGAGAGAGGGAGAGGGAGAGAAGGAGAGGGAATGTATCTGGGGACAAGTGTTGGGTGTAAAGCAACAATGCTTGCAGTAAGAATTTTTCCTGTATTATCCTGGCTGCTGCATGGAACAATGCATGACTGAGACCTTGAATCTGTAAGTAAAGCATGTTTAACTTACTTCGCAGTGTGTGGTCTGTTCCTCGCAAAAGAGGGGAGTGTTGTAACAGGATAAGAAAGGTCTAACAAATTATATTCTTATTGCTACACCATTGGGCAACTTTTATGAGTTTAATTCTCTGCTACTGGGGCTCTCTGTGTGCTAGCCCAACCTTTCAAATCCAGGTGCCCAGCCGTTTGTTTTTGCTGTCGGTCCACTCACACGAGTCCATTCAATTATTTAATTCCCCACAAATACCGACACAGGCTGGCCAACAATCTGGTTCAGCATGAGGCATCTTCCTAACGTCTCTTCATCTTAAGGATGAGTGACAGCAGCAGATTTGGCACGCCAGGCCATGGCACAGGACTGGCTCTCTGGGGCTCCTGATTGCCAGGATCAACTACCTGCACTTGAAATGGGCATTTGGTGCAAGAGCAGGTCCATAGGTCTCTGCCTGTGATGGCCTTGGAATCTGATTTGGATGCTGAACCTGAGGAATCCCAGCCTGCACAGGAGTCCCCGCCTCCAGGGCCGGCTGAGCCGGGGCAGGGGCTTGAACGTGAAGGGCCCTCACCTGTGCCGGATCCTCAGGAGCAGACACCAGATGAATCCACTCTGGCTCCGGAGGTGATGGAGGACCCATTGCCCGCAGGTGCTCCTCTCCCAGCCCTGTCAGGGGAAGAGGAGGTTGCCTCTGGGTCCGGTAACCCTCCAGCCTCTCCTGAGCTGCAGAGCCTCAGGGCAGAGAGGCGGAGGGAACTAAGTTCCCGCAGGAGGAGTGCTCGCCTCCAGGCCAGGAGAGGCAAGTCACCTGTGGACTGGGGCCGCCCTATGCCTCGGAGCAGATAAAAGCCAGTCAGCCCCAGTTCCAGGTTGCGGGAGCAACATCGTTGGTTACCTGTTCCTGCCGGCCCCCTGTCCTGCTTTCTGCCAGAGTTCCTGACCACTCCCGACTCCCTGCCTTGGACCCTGCTTCAGCCTCGGACCGGACACGGACCACATCGCACGGTAACTCCCCCTGCCCCCCCGGGACCAGCACACTGCCTCTCCCCCATCTCCATCTTGAGTTTGAAGAGAAAGACAAAAGCGGCAGGTTAGAGGAGGTGATCAAATCTTTATCCCACTTACGGATTCCAAGGGGTGATATGCGGCGTAGTTGAAACTGTCGCTGCCACGCTCCTTCCGTGCGTTGAGGTTCATCTCTCGGGCTTCTTCATCCACAATAGCCTAGGGCAAGAACCAGTGCTGGATTTACGTATAAGCTAAACAAGCTATAGCTTAGGGCCCCACTCTCTTGGGGGCCCCAAAAAAATTTGAAGGAAAAAACTGGATGTACATTTCCAAGATATAAGATAAAAAAGAAATAAAATTAAACCTACATACAGCAACAGTGTTTTATGTTGTATAGGCTCCTATTAGGTCCATCAATTACCATATAGCATATATTCAATATGAAAAACAGTGACAATTTGTTGTTGACAAAGGACAGCTGGACATATCAAGGGCCCCATTACCTTCAGTAGCTGAGGGCCTCATTAAACCTAAATAAAACCTACATACAGCAACAGTGTTTTGTGTTGTATATGGACCTAGGCTCCTGTGGCGCTGTGGGTTAAACCACAGAGCCTAGGACTTGCCGATCAGAAGGTCGGCGGTTCGAATCCCCACGACGGGGTGAGCTCCCGTTGCTCGGTCCCTGCTCCTGCCAACCTAGCAATTCGAAAGCACGTCAAAGTGCAAGTAGATAAATAGGTACCACTCCGGCAGTAAGGTAAACGGCGTTTCCGTGTGCTACTCTGGTTCGCCAGAAGCGGCTTAGTCATGCTGGCCACATGACCCGGAAGCTGTACGCCGGCTCCCTCGGCCAATAAAGCAAGATGAGTGCCGCAACCCCAGAGTCGTTCACGACTGGACTTAACTGTCAGGGGTCCTTTACCCTTTTTTTTAAAGGTCAAATCCACACCATAGTTTTAATGCATTCTCAACAGCCTTAACAGACATAAGGCTTCATGGTAGATTTCCTCCCAGCTCTTTCCCCTGCTTTTCCTACCTGGACATCCTCAATCAGGACGGAGTACTTGATTTGATGTGACTCCAGGAAGGCTTTGACATCTTGCAAGCAGGCAAAGGGGACCTGGACATCTGCCGGGCGACCAGGATATGAAGGGAAACGCCAGAAATCCAGCTGACAAGCAAAGATAAGCAAAAAAACATGAGTCAATGAATCGTCGAAAGAGATGGCATAGGCTCCGATGCCCCTGAAAATGCCGGGAACGTCGCAAAACCCTGAAGCCATCGCAGCGTCTCACAGCCACGGAAAACCCCAAATCCCCATCTTTGTTGAGTCCGCTAGCCAGAAACAGTGTCACGATGATGGGGAAGCATGGGGTGGGGGCAGGGAGAGAGTTGCCTCCTTTGCCGCCACTCCTGGGAGTCAGAGAAGCCAGTCAAGTCGAACCCAACATGGGAGGGACATTTGGACCTGCAGGGACTGTGTACCTGCTTGTAATAAACAGAAATCTGCCCTTATTCCCTTATGAGGGACACAAGAGCCCTTACAGAGTCCTTTGCAGGTTCTCCATCGGTTGGAGCAAAGAACAGAGGCCAACCAGAGAATATTGAGAAGCAAAGCAGCTGGTAAGCCTGATCTTTATTGAACTGTTGCAACAGGGTGCTCCCCTCACACATAGGAGAAGGAGGAGGAAGCCAGAACCCAGGTGTGTCCGCCCTTATATAGACATTTTTAATTTCCTGCCCTGGATTCCAAGACCACCCCCAGAAACATCATACATACATCACAGAAGGGGTGTAGCTCAAGACCACCCCCAGACAC